TAGCAGGGCCGGGGGTTTAGTTCAGTGGCACAGGCGCCTGACTGGCAAGTGCTAGGTCATTGGTTCGATCCCAGTACAAAAATTACAGAGTAGCTTGGAGCTGGTGGGTGGACATTGTTAGGGCACAGAATCTATAGGCTTGGAGCTGTGTGGAGGTGAACATGGCATGGTTTTGTATTGGTTGGTGCAGCTCTTTATCCAAAAAACATTACTTTTATTTTCATGTTTCATTGCAGCCATATCTGTCTTTTCCTCACCAGTTCTGTTTCAATACCTTTTCCTCATTGAAGTAAAACTTTTCTGTTTCTCTGACCTGGTCTGGGACTCAAAGAGAGCCTATGTTTTTTATACACACTATTTTGAATATCCTTTCTTGCTGTCTGCCTAGAGAATTAATACCTTTCAAGATCTAATACTTAGCTCAGATATTGCATCCTCTGGAAGTGTTCAGAGTTAATTTAGGTTCTCCCTTCTCTGTATTTCTGTTCTTTTTTGTTTTTGTTTTTTTGGGATGGGATCTCTGTGCAGCCCAGGCTGGCCTCAAACTTGCAGTGATCCTTCTCCTTCTGCCTGGGATTACAGGCATGCACCACATGCCTGGCTTGTGTTCCCTTTCGTATAGACCACTCTTAATGGCATCTTACTCTCTGTATTCTAATCATTTCCCTGGCATCTTCTTTGCCAAGCAGTGTCCTTTTTCTGTGCCAGGGAACATTCCTGACTTTTCTGCTAGGCTCCAGTTCTGCTCCTGCATGTCTAGATTTTTCAGGTGTGGGGTAGATTCATGGCTGTACTGAGGGGCTTTTAGAAAACCTTTAGATGTCCCTCACTGGGAATGAATGACAGCTGGCCTGGCTTTCTGGACATCTGCTCTCTCCCTGCTAACATCTAATCGCCAAGGTTTTGTTTTGTTTTGTTTTGTTTTGTTTTGTTTTTAAAAGGAACTTGAATACAAAATGTCTAGTCTCTTACTTCTTTAAAGGTGGCTTCAAAATTCAGATGTAGGCCAGGTCTTGAGGGGCTGGGGTTACAGAATAATACACCAAGTAGGTTGAGATAATTGTGTTTGGTTGTAAATGTTGGGAGTATGAGAGGTTGGAGGTGGGATGGGTTTCACCCAGATGAAGAATAAAATAATCTAGATACAGCTCTGCTGGTTGCCTCAGGTGAAAACTCATGAGACTGTTACCAACATTTGTCAAAGGAACACATGCTGGGATGAGAATTAATAAGCAAGGGGCTGGGGATTTAGCTCAGCGGCATAAGCGCCTGCCTTGCAAGCAGGCAGTCGTGAGTTTGATCCCTGGTACAGATAAAAACGAAAAAGACAAAAAAAAAAAAAAAAAAAAAAAAGAATTGATAAGGAAGTAAGTTAATGTCTATGGATTACAAATTAATTTTACAATTTTATTGTTACAAATTAATTTTTTTCAGTGTGAACATACTTTGTTTCCATAAGTAAAAATTCAACTTTCTGATATAGAACACCCACAGTGAATTATAAAACACAAGACAATATTTAATATCATTCCTTTAGGATAAAATTCATAAAGCAGTTTCTCAAAAAATAATAGAAAAGTGAAGGAGACCCCACTGCCCAGCCCTCCCAGACCCCCTTTCATCTTGCTGTCTTCCTGGTCCTTATTCTCTGCTTTCCACTGGCCTCTCAGATTTACAAAACAAAACAAAGAAACAACAACAACTCCCCACCCCATGAGGCCTGTGAAAAAGGGAAAAAAAAAAAGCCCCGGAATACAAAAGAAAAGAATTTTTCCACAAAATCCCCTCTATCTGCAGGGGATGCCTCATAATCCTAGTGCCTGGGAAGCACTGCAGGTCAAGGGCATAGACACAGGGAGAAATGCACCCCAATAATGGCCCCTCACTCACTCATCTCAGAAATAGGCCTCACGGGCTTCCAGAGAGTTGAGAGAGGCCAGGACCCCCCCCCCACACACACACACACTGAAAGTATACAGAGATGCTTCCATGTGTCGGGCTGTCCAAGAGGGAGGGTTGGAAGGACACTTGCTATCCACTGAAATTTGGAGCCTTGACCAGAGCAGAATATCCACCTTTTAAAACTTTCTATATTTTTTGTATTGTTATACTTGGTTTTTTTTTTTTTTGGTCTTTTTCGTTTTTTATCGGTACCAGGGATCAAACTCACGACTGCTTGCTTGCAAGGCAGGCGCTTATGTCGCTAAGCTAAATCCCCAGCCCCTTGTACTGTTATACTTACTAAAAAAAGTAAGCAAGGAGCCTTAAAATATAAAAAGTTTAATAAAAGTTTGATTTAAGGGAAAGGAAGAGGATTCCAAGTTAGAGGACAGTCCAGGCAATTTAGTAAGATTTTGTCGCAAAATAAGGAACTGGGGCTGGGGATTTAGCTCAGCGGTACCAATAAAAAGGAAAAAGACAAAAAAAAGAAAAAAAAAAAAAAAGAACCAATTGTGATGGAGCATGCCTATAATCCTAGCACTCTGGAGACTGAGGCTGGAGGATTACTATGAGTTCAAGGTCAGCCTGAACTATATAGCAAGACCCTGTCTCAATAAAAAAAAAAAAAATACATAAAATAAAAGGGGCTGGGGATATAACTCAGCGAGAAGGAAGAATTCAGTCCTCAGTACCATAATGTCATTAAAAATGAAAGTGGTGGTCCTGGCATCATACTCTTACAATCCTACCACTCTAGAACCTGAGATGAAAGAATCACAAATTTGAGGTCAGCCTGGGCAATTTAGTAACTCGTCTCAAAGCGAATTTATCTAAAAATTTAAAAGACACCAGTATGTAGCTCAGTATGAAGCCCTGAGTTTAATCCCCAGAATTGTTTGATTAAAAAAAAAGTTGGGGGCCAGGAGAGAGCAAAAGGGATAAAAGGCAAATGAAGCAGGTAAAGATGATACTGCACATGTGAACCGTCTAAAAGCCTATCACCTTTCTTTCCCTTATTATTAACCTTAACAGTGAAAACAACTGGGAGGGGAATGGGCCGGCCAGATGTGCACAGCAGGGCACCTGGGGCATGAGAGGGCAGGTGGCGCTCCTGTGCTGTGCCTCTGGGCCTTCTTGAGTTGCCCCAGCAGGGGAAGGTGTGGGGCTGTCAGTGCCCAGCAGGTGGCAGCACCTCCCGCAGGCCGTCATGCGCCAGATGCTCTGAAGATGCTTCCTTCGCATACTTAGGTGTAGCACTACTGGCCACTTACTTCTGAGGAGTCTGGAAAGCCAGTGTGCCTCGCTTCTCCTCCCGGGAGTTTGAGCAGCAGGTAACCTGTATGCAGCCACAGCGTGGGCCAGAGGCCTGAGAAGCAGGGGCAGATTCTGTGATCTGTACTCTAGCTTCATTTACACCAGCTAGGTAGGCCATCCATGAAAGAGAACCTTGGTAACTATATTTATTTTTACTAATGAAAGATATGTTAGGGTTTCTTTTTTTCCTTTTCAGATAGAGTTACAAAGATGAAAACTAAAAGTGGACCATAACCTCCCCAGATAAACGCTGTTGACAATTTTTTTAAAATGATAATAAGGGACTAGGGACTTAGCTCAGTGGTATAAGCACCTGCTTGATAAGCACAAAGTCATGAGTTCAATCCCCAGTACCCCTGCAATGATAAAAGAAGTGCCCTTTAAGGTCTGAACAATCACAGAGAGATATAAAAGAAGTAAATTCTTCTTCCCCCTCTTCCTTCGTTCTCTTCAAAGGAGACTACCATTAAATTTCTTAGCAGTGCCTTGAGAAAAAAAATTAAACTGTGATCATGTTCAAGTATCCATAATTGTGTTTCATGTTTAAAAAATTTAAACCTAAAAATGATCATGTAATACAGTTGTGAGTTGGTTTCTTTTTTAAATGTTATCCCTAAGATTTTCCTAGCCAGGTGTGGTGATGCACGCCTGTAATCCCAGCACTCAAGAGGCTGAGGCAGGAGGATTGTGAAAGTTTGAGACCAACCTAGGCCACAAAGTGAGCTTAAGGCCAGCCTGAACTGCATCTGAGACCCTGTCTCAAAAAGACAAAAAAAAAAAAAAAAGAAAAAAAGAAAAAAAAGATTTTCTTGAGTCATTACACAGACTTCAGTGTATCATGTTTTTAATGGGTGTCTGTTGATGGAGATCCAGCTGGTCCCAATGGGCACCTAGTATAAACAGTGTTGGAATGGACATGCTTGTGTATTTACTTTGATGAGTATTTTAAGTATAGATTTCTAGGCTGAATCAAAAGAAAATTTGCGTTTGTGTCTTTGTGTGTTACTTGAGATTGAACTCAGGACCTTGCACATGTTGGGCAGTCACTTTACCACTGAGCCACATCCCTAATCTTTTTAAAATTTTATTTTGAGACAGGTTCTTGCTAGGTTGCCCAGGCTGGCTTTGAACCTGTGAGACTCTACATGAGACTCTCTACATGAGAGTTAGTATTCTACATGTGAGTAGCTGGGATTATAGGCATGCACCACAGAGGAGAGAACATTTTAAAATTTGATGGCAAAATTTTCCACTAGAAGGTTTTCCATAGTGGCACACACCTGTAATCCCAGCTTTCTGAGAGGCTGAGGCAGGAGGATCACAAATTCAGACTTTGCCTGGGCAACTTACCAAGACTGTCTCAAAATAAAAACTAAGAAAAAGGGATGTACAATGCCCTGGGTTCAATCCTCAGTTAAAAACCAAAAAAAGGTGTATGAAGAGCAGCTTCGTGCAGGTGGCTATAGAGAGACCAGGATGCTATGCTCCCGCCTCTGCTGGAGACCTTTGACATCGGCAGTGGTGAGACTGAGCATCCGCAGGAAAGAGGCCTGCTTCTCTGTGAGCTGCAGGGCTGGCTCCCTCCAGGGCCCTTGCCTCTTCCCTTGCAAATCTGCTTGGCAACTGTGAAGAGGGGCAGCAGCCTCTCTTTCAGATGGATACGGGGTTTCCCGTGTCACCTTAGCAAGGTCTTCCTGTTCATCCCTGGGGTGGGAATGAATGACATTGTCCTCTGACTCTTCCAGGTGAAGAAAGCATACAGGCAGAAGGCCCTCTCCTGCCACCCAGACAAAAATCCAGATAACCCCAAAGCAGGTGAGATTCAGGACAGGATGAGAAGATAGACCCATTCCCCTGACATGCGTTTCTCCGCTCTAAGTCATGGGTGTGAGGCCGTGGAGGGAGGTGCTCTGGGCAGGCGCACCCAGGGCCTCATATACTGGAGATGACCAGTCAGTTGCTGATGTTCTCACCAGTTCTTGCTGGTCTGGCATCTGCCAATGCCAGCTTTTCTAACTGCCTGTGGCTGCTTTAGAATGCTTTTTTTTGTGGTACTAGGGATCGAACTCACGACCTTGCACTTGCCAGGCAGGCACTTACGTCCCTGAGCTAAATCCTCAGCCCTGGAATGCTTTCTTTGAAAGAGGACGCCGTCACCAAATTTAACTTCATTTTTCTCCTGTTTTTTTTTGGTTTAGCCGAACTCTTCCACCAGCTTTCTCAGGCCTTGGAAGTGTTGACTGATGCTGCAGCCAGGGTGAGTGCCTCCTCGTTTAGGTGATGTCCCCTGTGGACAGAGATCACTGCTGCCATCAGCCTCCATGCTCTGGCCTCAGTCCTTGCTGTCTGAGCCTTGGAGACCCAGTCACCAGGCTGCTACTGGATGGCCCTGGGCTGGAAGTCAGGAGTCAGGAAACTACTGGGCTGTGTCTTTTTCTTTGGCCAATCTACTGCTCTGTATTCCTCCAGGCTGCATATGACAAGGTCAGGAAAGCCAAGAAGCAGGCAGCAGCGAGGACCCAGAAACTTGATGAGAAAAGGAAAAGAGTGAAGCTTGGTAGGTGACTTCATGGCTCCGAGTGGGATTTGGCTTGGCCCTCCCTCAGTTTTCTTCCAGGAACTTCTAGCTGTGGAATGCTTCTTAGTTGAGGCGCTGGGCAAAATACCCTTAGGAATAATAACAGTTACTAGATTTACTGTTGAAGTTTAGAATCTTGCTGGAGCCTAGATTTAGACTGCTAAAGTGTGAGTAGAATTGGTGTTCTTATTCCCTGTGGCAGGCCAGGTCTCTGCCATTCATTCCAGCCTCAGCCTGGCCCAGAGTTAGTACTCTGACAGCTCTCTCTGCAGGATTCCAAGAGGTCCAGGCTTGTTTGCTTTTCTCTGTGTCTGTCTGTCTGTGTCTCTGTCTTTCTGTCTGAGACGGGATCTTGCTATGTAGTTTAGTCTGACCTTGAACTTGTAGCCCAGGCTGGCCTTAAACTTGTGATTTTCCTGCATCAGCCTCCCAATGTGTGTCATCATGCCTGGCTTTTCTTTTTTCTTCTTTTGGTACTAAGGATTGAACCAAGGGCCTTCACATCCAGGAGCTACCCCCTCAGCCTGCAGTCCTCCTGCCTTAGCCTCCGAGAGTACTAGGTTTACAGCTGTGCAATACCAGTTCAGACTCTTTCTTTCTTTCTTTCTTTCTTTCTTTCTTTCTTTCTTTCTTTCTTTCTTTCTTTTTCTTTCTTTCTTTCTTTCTTTCTTTCTTTCTTTCTTTTTTTTTTGTGGTACTGGGGATTGAACTCACGACCCCGCATTTGCCAAGCAGGCATTTATGCCACTGAGTTAAACCCCCAGACTCTTTCCTTTCCTTTCTCTTTCTCTTTCTCTTTCTCTTTCTCTTTCTCTTTCTCTTTCTTTCTCTTTCTCTTTCTCTTTCTTTCTTTCTTTCTTTCTTTTCTTTCCTTTCCTTTCCTTTCCTTTCCTTTCCTTTCCTTTCCTTTCCTTTCCTTTCCCTTTCTTTCTTTCTTTCTTTCTTCCGTTCTTTCGGTTTGTGACAAGATCTCACCATGCAGTTCAGGCTGGTCTTGAACTTGCTTATGTAGCGCACTCTGGCCTTGAACTACTGGTGATCCTTTTGCCTCAGCCTCCTGAGTGCTGCGCCTACAGGCATGTACCACCATACCTGGTTTCCTTCTTTCTTTTTAAGTAGGGTCTCACTCTGTAGCCCAAACTGGCTTCAAACTCCTGCCCGTGTCTCCTGAGTGCTAGAGTTATAGGAATATATCACTATGCCTGATAGAGGCATTCTCTTTTAACAGCTTTATTTGGAGGTGTTCTTTGCATACCATAACATCTACCATTTTAAGTGTAAGGATCAGTGATTTTTAAAAATTAGCTGATGCCACTGTGACTACAAATCAATTTTAAAACACTTGCATCCATTGGATAAGACTGATATAGGCATCCTATAGCCTTCCTGCCTGTTCAATATGCACATATTTTGATAAGTACTTATATCATTCCAACACAGCCATTTCTACCCAGAAAAGAAGGATGGGTTGCAAACGTAGCTCAGAGGCAGAGCACTTGCTTAGCATGTGCAAGGCCCTGGGTTCAATCCCTGGTATGGCAGGGAAGAAAAAACGGTCATAGATGAATGAAGTACACAGAAAGGAAAGCAGGAAGTCCCAGTAGCTGGTCTGGCACAGGGCCACTGGCAGGTTTCCTGGGGAGGTAGGCAGGGTTGCAGAGCAGGGGTGATGCTTCCTGTACCCTTCTGCCTCTAGGGGAGTCCACAGTAAGGCGGGGAGGACAGGAGAGACAATGAAAACTTGAGCTCAGTGGTCCAACTTGAATCAACCCAAAACAAGGCCCCAGGTCAGGCCTTGGTGCCAAACCACAGGAGCAGAAGCTAGCACTCCTCCCACAGGTATCCCTGACACACAGCCCTGGGCTGCTGACATCAGCACCCACCCGCACCTGCTCCCGGTGTGTGTGGAAAGAACCAGCTTGGTCAGAGCATGAGCCGCTTTAACTCTTCCAGACCCCTGGCCACCTGGCTGGAATCCATCTGTCTTCTGTGCTCCAACCTTTGTCAAGAAAGTAACTTGGAGACCTATGGCAGGGTACAAGGGGCAGCAGATACTCTATGGCTTTGTCCTGTTGGACACTTTGGGGAAGCAGGCAGAGCTGGGGTGAGCTGATGCCATGCAGAGACTGCATAGACCAGCAAGTGGATCACATAACCCTTGTGTCTAGACCTGGAGGCCCGGGAGCGGCAGGCCCAGGCCCAGGGGAGTGAGGAGGAGGAAGAGAACCGGAGCACCAGGACTCTGGAGCAGGAGGTAAGCATCTGGCGTGCCATTTGCAGTGGCAGCAGGAGAAGGGATAGGGACAGGAGGGATGTGTGCGGGGCAGGGCTTGTTCTCCCCCGTTCTCCCCCGTGGGAGCTAGGTGATTTGTCCCATCTGCAGGTTACTGAGCACTTGCTTGCACGTGGAATCTGCCCAGGGATCTTTACAAGGTGAGCCAACCTGGAATTGGATCGGCACAGCATTGTCATCCCTCCGCCCTCACTCTACAGATTGCACGCCTACGAGAAGAGGGTTCCCGGCAGCTACAGGAGCAGCAGAGGCTCATCCAGGAGCAGATACGCCAGGACCGTGAGCAGAGGCTGAGAGGTGAGGGCACTGTGCTCTCCTGTCCCCTAGGCAGCTCCACCTTGCCTAGAGTGGCCACAATGACTGTTCCATTGAATGGCTTGGAGGCTTCCACCTACAAGAACCCTACAGTCATTCCATGGCCCCTCCGACATACTCTGCTGGTCCCTGCTTACCCGTTCTTTGGGGCCTGTGTGCCTTTACTATCTCTGGAACCTCCTGGCTGTTTTGTTTGGTCTTGGTCCCAAGCAGATGAGCAGGGGAAAGGTCCAGGGTAATTGCTTCAGTGGAATTGTGTGGTCTGTGCTCTGCCTCCTGCCCAAGAAGGTTTTTCCAGCTCTTCATTTAAAGAGAGCTACGGGTGACCTTCAGGAGGTGGGTGGGTAAGCCACCTTGGGGTTGGGGCAGGACAGCATCTACTTCCCCACCAGCCCCTCATTGTGGCGGGGCAAGTATTACCCTAGGTCAAGGGTGACCTTATCGGGTGGCTCTGGCTCTGGGCCACCTTTCTTGTGGATGCCTCATATTTTCCCTTTCTTCTTCTGCCAATATTTCTAGGAAAGGTGGAAAATAATGAAGGCAAAGGAACTCCCAAACTGAAGGTGAGCCTGGGCAGCATGCACGAGCCACCTAACAGCACCTCCCTCAGCAGGGACATACGGGCTTCGGGTGGGACACTGGGTCCCTGAGCAAGCTGGCACCAGTACCACATCCTTGCTATCCCTCAGTGCCTGGAGACCAGGCTGCTTCTCAGAGCTGGCCATGGTGGCTGTAGCCCCGGCGGTTGTAGGGCAGAGTGTCCCTCAACGTCCTCTAGAGAGAGTATCTTACAGGGTGGGCAGCATCGCTGAATGGGACTGGCTGCCTTGCCTCTCAGTTTTTATGAGGAAAACGTTTTTGGTGGTGCTCCCTAGATTACAGGTGCTTGGAGACGAGGGAGGCCAGGAAGGCCTCTTGCACACCACTGAGCTCAGATCAGGGTCTGATGGTGCTGAACCAAAGGTCAGTGCTTGATGATGCTGTTTTTTCAGCTAAAATGGAAGTGCAAAAAGGAAGATGAGTCCCAAGGTGGCTACTCCAAAGATGTCCTCCTGCGGCTTTTACAGAAGGTCAGCCTGCTCTCTTCCTCTCTGCCCTGTCATCTCAGCCCACAACTTTGCCAAGCCCAGGACTCTGCCCTGCGCTTCCCTTAACATCTCTACCTGCTTTTTGTGTATGTGTGTGTGTGCTGTCTCATAGACCATGGGGCAGCCTGGAAACTTCTCCTCAGGCACAGTGCTCCTGTCTCTTGTGTTGCCATGTGCTTCCTCCAGCTAGGTCTGTCTGTCCTTCCCTGCTTGGGTGTGCTGGGGGACAGGAGGTGGGGTCTGGCATGAAAGGCCACCCATTTTGCTCTTCCCAGCTGAGGCAGCTGTGCCATCTTGGCAGCCTGAATCACAGGCGTTTGCTCCTCTCTCCTTTGCAGTCCTGGACTCCTGAAATAAACTTATTTCCTACCTCTGATCTTGCTTGTCCGGGCCCCTGGTAATTATTCCCAATCTGAAAATGTACCAGCAGGCTTCGGGGCAGCCCTGGCTGGTTTCTGGCACAAGCTGGTCCCTGCCAATAGCTCAGCCACTGGGATCCCCTTATCTCTACAGTATGGTGAAGTTCTCAACCTGGTGATTTCCAGTAAAAAAGCAGGCACTGCCGTGGTGGAGTTTGCGACTGTCAAGGCTGCGGTAAGTGCTGTCTGCGTGTGGCTTAGGAATCTTTGTAGGGCAGGGACCCAATTTTGTGGACCTTTAGGATTTGGTGACCCACACTCTCTGGAACTCTCTGGGCTAGCTCAGAATGAAGCCTTACTCAAAAGTCCCTCACCCTCAAAGTGCTTGGGAGAACCCTCTCACCTCTAATTTCATGCTGGCTGGCTCACTACCTTCTTCCCTTCCCCACTCTTGGTTTGGAGCCCTGGGTTTTGCTCCACCAAATCAAAAAGCACATTCCCAGCACCCTTCCATGAGAAGGGTCAGAGCTTTGGTCACCACCATTTCCAGATAGCTGGGTTGCCAGCTCTACTAAGAAAACAAAATGTAGGTTCTTTCCTCTCTGCGGAGTACAGGGGGTCCCTGTCAGCTATTTGCATGCATGGCACCAGGACTGGATGCTCCATTTGACAGGAGCTGGCTTTCCGGAATGAAGTGGGCCTTGTGGATAACCCTCTGAAGATTTCCTGGTTGGAGGGACAGCCCCAGGACACAGCAGGCCCCAGCCACCCAGAACTGTCAAAGGTAAGGAGCCCAACCTTAGGCTAAGGACATCCTCCCGTATGTGTCCCTCAGGGGCCTTTCCTCCCAAGTCAGGTCAGCAGGAGTAAATTGAGATCCGCAGGTTCACCAGCCTGAGAAGGAGGGCATAAGTCCCTGCTGATCCCTTTTCCTCTCTGAGGGCCAAAGGCATCTTACCCTGAATGTCATTATTGCTGTTATTTTTGGTGCTGGATCAAGCCTAGAGCTTCATGCATGCTACATACATGTGCTGCATCACAGGGCTGCACCCCTAGTCCAACACAGTGCCCTTCACCCGCCTTTCCTTCTACATCCATCTCCTCTTGGGGCTTCCCTCACCCAGAGGGCCCACAGGTTTCATGTGAAGCACTTGGAACCTAGATAACCTAGTGCTATAGGGAGAGACCGCTACCTAAGGCAGTCATTTCTTTCCCAGGCTCATCAGTTTTCCAGGGGTGTCTCTGGCTACCCAGAAGGAACTATGAAAGTGTTCTCTCTAGAGAGAACACTGTCCCCTTGAAGGGGGACTGCCTGCTAAGTCTGGGTGCCCCACTCCTGCAGAAGGGTGCAACTTCCAGCTGATGCTATCCCAGTGCTGGCTGTTAGTCCTCGGGGTTCCTGGAAGGCTTGTGTTCCCCACACCTCCCAAGTCCTTGTGTTTTCCGACTTAGATGCAGGGGCTGGGGTTGCAGTGCTCTTGGTCACACCTGACACCTCCTTAGTGGGACAGATTGATCTGGGGAGGAAGCCAGTAACCTGGCTTTTCATGTCTCTCAAACACTCCAGGTGCCTGTGGAGTGAACCCAGCCCCACACTAGGTTAGCAGGAGCTCTGCTCACCATCAATCTCTCCATCTGCATCAGGGGCAGAAGCTTTCTGTGTGTCTCCCCCACCCAGAACAGAGGAGGACTGTGAAGTGGGCTGAGCCCAACTCAGGACTCTGGTTTAAAAGAAGCTTCGTTCCCCTACCTTCAAGTCCCAGCACTTTACAGCCCCAAGTAACACTGTACAGGTTGTAGTGGAAAGAATTTTATTATCTCCTGTACATACAAAGGGACATATAGCTTGGCATCTCCACACAAGAGGAGGAAAGGAGGCCAGAGATTTAGGTTGTGGAGGCAGCGTGTATCAGAGTGCTCCTGAGCTCTGGCTTCCAGTCTTCTTGCCAGGCCACAGGGTGAGGCAGTGGCACACTGGCTCACTGGACCTAGTGGGCTTGGCTGGGCTGGTAGTCCCACTGTCAGGGGTTGGGCAAGGCAGAGCTCCCCAGGTTTGGTGGAAGATTCTGGAGACCAGGTTCACTGCTTTATGGTTTAGTATCCGCCCTGATCCAGTCCTCTTGTCTCCTCACGAAGGAATCTGCTACCGTTTCTGCAGTATTGCCCAAGGCTGCCATCGTTAACACTTGTGGGGATCCCTAAGGCACCCTTTTGCAAGCTGTGTTGGTACCTTTGGCTGACATTCCCTCCCTCGGGCCTCAGGGTTGCTCAGGCAGGTGTGGTGACAGGCTGTCTCTTATGTCCTCTTTCCTATTAATGATTTGTTTGGTGGTCTTCCTGCATTTCAGTCTCTAACTTCTGCCCTGCCAGCCTGTCCAAGGAACTTAGTCCAAGGCTATCCGTGTTCTTGCTTATGCCTCCAGCGTGGCACCATTTACCAGGTATAACTATGCAGCCAGGAACTCACTTTGCAGTTTTACTTCAAGGTATTTGAATAGCCACATGTAGCAAGTGGCTACCAGACTGGACAAAGCAGGCCTCTTTCCCTCTCTTCTCAAGCCTCCCCACTGCCCCTTCAGCCTGGGTTGGACCACTTTTGCCCAGATGTGTCCTGTGACCCCTCTGCTGACAGTGGCTCCAGAGGAGGCTGCTGCAGGGCAGTGTCTATTCTGCCAGTTGGTGCCCTCGCCCTGGCTCGCCCCTGTGCCATCTTGTCACTCTGCTGGCCTCTGTGGTTATCGGGTGTGGCCCCTCCTTCCTGGCTTCAGCAGCTTCCTTCAGGGCTCCTGCTAGATAGAAAATGATCCCCCACATGTCCACTGGCTGGTCTTTTCATTCTGGGGTGCCTGGAACAACTGTTCAGGACTGAAGGCAGGAAGCACCCCTGCCTTGCCCTTGTTGCTCAGCTACACCCTCCTCCCCTGGGTTACCAGGGTCCAGCTCTTCTGTTGCCCCCGCTCTGCCCCGCTCACCCCACTCAGAAGCTGAGCTCGCTGGGGAACTGCTCCCTCAGCATCTGTAGAACCTCCTCAAGAAGCGAAATCCCCAGGTCCACCTTGAAGGAGGAGAAAGGATCACTGAGGTCCGGAGAAGGTGTCCTCTGGAAGGGGACAGTGTCTGAAAGGTCTTCCTCTGAGGACTGGTGGAGGGTGCCCACCAGGGAGAGCGTCGAGGGCAGGGTGGCCGAGTAGGCAGCAGCGTAGGCGGCTGGGGGCTCCAGGATGTTGGGGCAGCTGGAGCTTTCTCGGTAGAGGCGAGGAGGCTTAGGTGGAGCCAGCAGGGTGGCCCGGGGCTGCTCATCCCCCCACAAAGGCAGACGCCGCCCATCTGGCCTCCCTCGGAGTTCCCGGATGACCTCACGATTACTGTACTCCTCGTGGTCACCACCGGCAGTGCTGGCCTGGCTAAGTACACTGCCCTGTCGTCGGAGTCGCCGTGGCCGTCCCAGGGTCAGCCGCTTGAGGAAGGAGGCATTGCGGAAGGAGCCTTTCCGCCAGGTCTCCATTGACCCAGGGGAACTTCAGACACCTCGGAAGCTCAACAGTCAGGCACTTAACAGCAACCAGTGACCATCTGGTCCCCACTGGGCCCTGAATGCCAAGAGTCAGGGACAGCCTGGGTGTGCTAGGAACAGAGACCTGGGTTTCCACTCAGCATGGTCTTCTGGCCAGCATCTTGGATGGTGGCACAAGGCCCAGGAAGAGTGCTTTTTGTCCAGAAGAGCAAAGAGCTGGGAGTTCTGGCAGCAAGAGGTCCCACAGGAACAGGAGTGACCTGGTTACCTGACAGGACAGTGGAAAAAACCCCAGCGGGAACAGAGCACTTACTGAGCTGGAGCGAGGGCAGTGGTGGCACAGGAAGATCCTCTCACAGCTCCATCCGCAGGCGGGAGGGGATGGCCGGGCTCACCCTCTGCTGTGGGCACCGCCGTCTCTAGGCCAGCGGAGGACTGTGCCTTCTCTGCTGATGGCTGTGAGACTCTGATTAGTGGCTTGGCTGTTTGTGCCAGTGTGGCAGTGGCGGTGTTTTGTTTTCAGCTGACTCAGTCAGGTGGGAAGCCGGTTTCATGCTCCAAGGTAATTGCAGCATCCGCAGGCAGGAGCGGGGCAGCTGTGGCCAACACCCCAGGGCGACGAGGAGCTTCGGATTCCTCTTGAGACTGGTCTGGGGGCAGCCTGGGTTGTGTGTCACCATGCTGCTTCCTGTCTCACCATAGCCCCACCACCCTGGCCCCAGCCCCTGGTGTGTCTGGGAGGAGCCCAGAAGGGTGAGAAACCTGTCACTGGGGTAGGTGACTCAGGCCTGGGGCCTAGTGACAGGCCCTCATTAGCAGAGTCTGCAGGAATGGAGACTGTGGATGGAGGCAGAGGGCGTGTTAACGGGAAGCAGCCTGTGAAGGGCTCAGCTCCTCCCAGGGCCAGGCCATGCAGGGTGACTCCAGCAGTAAGGTGGGGAAGGGAGCAGTGCCCTCCCTGTGGTCTGCCAGCCAGCCCGGCTGCTGGTTGCCTGCTCCTCCCTCCTCACCCTGAGGGCCGCTCATCCTTCCCCTCTGCATCTGGCCTCCTTTGGGCCCTGCTTCTGCAGAGGTGCTGGGCCAGGTGATGCTGCTTTGAACTGTTGATGCCCTAGAGGTCTGGCCAGGAGGGCCGCTCTCCAGGGAGAGGGAAGTCAGCTGGGCCTGTGGGAGGGGCTGGGCTGGGCAGGGCAGGGCTGAGTAGTGCTTCCTGTTTCTGTGTTCCCCTTGCCCTGAACCAGTTGGCCAAGGCCTGGCAGCTTAACTCCAGCCACACCCTCTTATTCCTGGGTCACTGACCATCCAACTTTCCTCCTGGCCTGTCTCATAGAGTGTACAGTTCCGCACTAGACAGGCCACCACGCTGTCACTCAGGTGTGCTGCACAGCTCTCCCCGCAGTGGGCAGACCCCACAGAGGTCTCCCAGCAAGGGAGGGCGCGATGGAATTCATCCTGCAGACCTCATCAGGGGCTGGGGTTGGCACCTCAGGCTCTGCTGCGGAGCTGCTTCTCTACCCCACAGCACTTGCCCACTGAGCTGCTTGTTTATTATTCTTTGGATTATTAAAATATAGCTCTCTCTCAGGGCTGGGGATTTAGCTCAGCGGCATAAGCACCTGCCTTACAAGCAGGCGGTCGTGAGTTCGATCCCCGGTACCGATAAAAAAAAAAGTGAAAAAAAAAAATATAGCTCTCTTTCCCCCCACGCTGTGCTGGCGAGATCATAAAAGAAACCATGGGCTCTGCCCTCTGGGAGCTACTGGTGTACACTTAGGGTCAAGCTGGTCTCCTGCTTGCTCTCCTGCTATCTAGAGCGAGCTGTTTGAGGCTGTGTCCTCAGACCCACCCTCAGAGCACAGGCAGCCAGGCAGTGGGGAGGGGACAGTAGGGAGGGGACAGAGCCCTGGTCTGTGCTCAGCAGAGCTGCTCCTTGGAAGCCCGTGTGAGGCAGATGTGGGCTAAGGGGAAGGAAAGGAGCAGACAGGGGGAAGTAATTTGCTAGAGAGATGAAGCAGAAGGGGCCAGGAGTATAGCTCAGCAGTGCAAGTGCTTGCCTGGCAAGCGTGAGATTGTGAGTTCGATCCCCAGTACTTACCCCCACCCCCCAAAAAAGAGATGAAGCAGAGCTAATTATACATGGCATTTGTGGGTGGGAGGCAGCTGTTGCGAGGGTCGAAGGAAGCTGGCAGAGGAGACCAGGGCTGGGGCGCAAGGCCTGTGGTGTCTGAAAGCACACAGGCGAGCCAGGGTCCCAGGAAGGTGTTTCTGGTCCTTCCTTTTGTCTGTCGTCTTCCCCTGTGACACTTAGACCTTATCTCTGCCCCCGAGGCTGGTGCCTGTGGGGCTGTGCCCTCATGTCCCTGACACTTCGCTGTCACTTCTGTCTCCCAGGGCTCAGTGCTGTCAGAGAGGGACTACGAGAGCCTTGTCATGATGCGCATGCGCCAGGCAGCCGAGCGCCAACAGCTGATCGCCCAGATGCAGCAGGAGGACAAGGGGCAGCTCACGTAGCCCCAAATTCTCACCTTCCCTCCCCACTGCCTTTTTCTAAAACCAGTTCCAATAAAATTTTTTAAAAAAGAGTCTACCATTAACTTATGTAGGGAATTGGGCTCCCTTTCTAAGTGTGGCAGAACCCCAGGAATCTGAGTCATGAGTCACTGCCAAGCAGAGCAGAGGAACAACCACTCATCAGAGCCCTTTATTGGCGTGGACAGGCCCTGCAGCACCTGCCTGCCCATCCTGGGCCGTCCTCCACTGGACTGTTCGCTCCCGATGGGCGGCCTACAGCTGAGGGAGATGTAACACCTGGGTAAACCCCGCCCCCCCACACCCTGACTGGGGCAATGCCAACCCTGCCCATCCGTGCTTGGCTGAAGATGACAATTTAGGGGGAGAGAGTGGGCAGTCCGTGAAGCACGGCTTCTAAAGAAGAGGAGCCCCACCTGCATTCAGTGCGAGGAGGTCACTCCTTATGCAGGCACCACACCAGGGTCTGGCCCACCCCCGTCATGCTCAACACTCGGAAGCCCCTGCGTTCCAGCTTGTCCAAGACTATTCGAGGAGGGTCGTTGACATAGTATTCACAGCTGCAAAGAGACCAGGGTGGTGGGCGACATGTGAGAGGACACAGAGCCAGCCCCATACAAAGCTGGGAGCCAGGCCGGTCAGGAGCTCCACTGAGTTTGCCAGGTGCTTCCCGGATGATGGGCTAATGCACATTCACAGCGCCTCCTGGCAAACACTTCACATGCGTTCAATTTTTCCCCATAAGCCTAACAGAGGTTACACCTGAGTACATGGAGGAGCTTGAGCAGCTTTCATTGTCACAGAGTAACCCCATTAATCTGGAGCCCCTCCTTCCCCATCTCAGAAGGAGCCTGCTCAAATTGTCCTGGCATCTGGGCCCCTCTAGCTGCCCCACTGTCCTACAGTCTGGGAACCACGAGGCTGACCCTTCTCTGGCATGGAGAATGTTTGGTGCTACGGGGCTGTGAAGCTGGGAGGGGGAAGGATGCCTCAGGGCCAAGCGCTAGTGTTGGCATCTGAACCCCAGCCCTGACCCAGGCTGCCCTGGGCATGATCTTTGAATTGAAACTCACACTGATAACTCTCAAGAATGCAGTCTGTGTGGTCAGCCCCCCCCCCCCACACACACATAGGGGGCTGCATAGGAAGGGTATGGGCAGAAAAGGAAGCAGGAGTCTTAGTTTTGATGCAGAGATGGGGTGAGGGCCGCCCAGGAAAGTGGGCAGGTCCCCAGGCCAAAGCAGAGCTGGACGCAGGACCCAAGCACCCCTGCTGTTTCTAGGGCTGAGCCTTCTCAGTAGCTCAAGATGGAAAGTTTCTCTGTCTGCCTTTGCGTCATGGGGTCCAGCTTAGAGCTGCGAGGGCCAGACAAGCAATGCCTGCTTACAGAGCCCCACACTTGGGACACTGACTGTCCTCCCACAAGGATGTGCTCCCAAGCCAGTGGGGGCTTCCTGACTGGGGAGGGGGAACTGTGGATGGGACCAGCTGCCAAGTCCAATGCCCCCAGATGAACGTAGCAGGGCCCAGGCTGGATAGAGTATAGAGAATAGGCAGAACGAGGGGCTCCCAGGGAGAAGATGCTGAGGGACACCCGTACTTACAAGTTGTTCCCCAGGACGCTTCTCTTGGAGGCCCCCAGATGCTGCATCAGCTCCGGGTCCGAGTGCTCATCGCCTACCATGGTGGGGCCCACCTCCTGCAGGATAAGCCAGACAGCTGCCTGCTTGTTTGCCAGGGTGCTTGGAAGACCTCATTCTGCTACCTCCTGGTCCTGGCAAACCAGGTGAGGCTGCAGGCAGCAGTGAGGGGCCCTGGAGGCTGAGACCAAGCTGGGAAGGGGTGGGGCCCATCACTGAACAGCCTAGTAGTGTGGGCCTCCCTGACCCCTCCAGGCAGAGCTGGGTGGCACCCTCGAACCAGGCACTACCCCCATGTTTGTGTGTCAAGATCACATGAAGAATGAGAGGCACAAACACATGTTCACACAAAAGCTTGTGCCCAGACAAGTGAATTTAAGTTACCAAATAATCTAAACGTGTACCCGTATTAATTAGCAGCCTGATTTGCAGCCAAAAGGTGGAAACAAAAATTTGTCATTTGATGACTGGGTAAATAGAATGCATAGCCTCAGTGGCAATAAAGGAATAAGCACCAATCCGTGCTGCAATGTGCACGGAGCCAGAAAACACGGAAGGAAGAGACGCCAGACACAGGAAACCACACAGGGTCAGCGCATTGGTCAGTGGTCACTGTGGGTGGGAGAAATGAATGAGTGTAGTGGGTGCAAGGTTCCTCTGGAGATGTCAGAACCGTTCTAGAATTGTTTCCACAACTCTAAATATGAAAAGAAAAAAGTTGAATTGTACACTTCTAAGTAAGCACGTGCATTTTTTGGAATCTGTAATATGTCAGTAAGCTATAATTTTTTTAAAAAGAATCATTAAAGGAAGATATTTCTAAATATGCCTCTCTTAAATTCAGAGAGCTTGTACTGGGAAGAGGTCCAGGAACTCATATTTCAGCAACTGGAAAAGTGCAGGTTACTGGTACCAAACCGCTCTTGTGATGATGAACCCACCCATCTGCACTTTCCTTCATCCCAAGGGGACTGGGTACCCTCTTCTGGTCACCCCAGAGCCAGGAAGTGGAGAGGACCATCTTAATGCCCCAGGATGCTCAGTTACCCAGCACCTTCATTTGCCAAAGACTGAGACCTGGGCTCTTGGCTGTTGTCCTCCCCTCTCCCTCCTCCAAGCAGGCTGGGGCGGGCTCTCCTTCGGAGGGCCTCTGGGCGGCCAGTGGCTGCACGCGGCCAGGGACGGGGCACAGGGCGTCCAGCGCGTTCGCAGCTCCTATTCCTTCCTATACCGCGGTCCTCAGGTAATGCCCTTCGTGTTTGTGGAGCGGCTCCAGGAGGGCATTGTGCAGCACGTGCGAGGCCAGGGCTCCCCCCGTCATGGGACAGGTCCTGCTCGCCCCAAGTCCCCTACGTGCCTTCCTGTGCAGGACGTGTCGCCTGGGACTCGGCCCAGGGTCGCTCCAGGCGCCCTTGTCCCGCGGGGGCCTCATGGAGGAGGTGGGTACTCACCATGCGGATCTGGGTGCTGATGAGCAGGTAGGGCATGGCTCGCGTCCCGCCCGGCTCCCCTGCGGCTCTGGGCTCCGCGCAGCGCTGGATACCAGCACAAGGTTGTGCAGTTGCTGCCGCGGGTCCCGTTACTCGGCTCCGGCCCCCGCGGCGTCCACCCCTCCCCTGTGCCGCCCCTGCCGTCGGCCAATCAGGCGCGGGCGCCGTGCGGCTCGCAGGCTCCGCCCTCCCCTGCTCTCCAGGCAGCGGACTTGGACCCGGGTGCACCTGTGGACTTGGTGGAACCATCGCGCGGCCCGGGCCTGGGTTTGCGGGACAGGGATCCAAGGGGACGGGACGCGTGCTGACCCTGCGCCCCTTTCCTGCAGTACCTCCAAGCCTTGCTGCCTCCGCCCCCCACGCCAATCTCCTTGAGGCAGAGCGCAGGGCAAAGGGTGCTCCGGGCCAGTAGCTACCTGCTCAGGGACGCCACGACATTTTTAGCGGACCCTCACTTCCTCTCAGCAGAACATCTTTCCCAGAGATTTATTTATTTATTGAAACAGGGTCTCAAGCTGGTCTTGAACTCACATAGTAGCCCCAGGCTGGCCTCGAACTCGTCGACGCTCCTCCTGCCTCAGCCTCCCAACTGCTGGGATTACAGGCGTGCTGCGCCACCATGCCTGGCGTTCTCAGAGATTCTTTATGCGCGCGGGAAGTCGACCTTGAATGCCGAGGCTGAAATACTCTCCCTGGCTCATGGCACAGTTCCCGCAGGGACTAATTTCTAGTGCAGGGGCTGCCCTCTGCTCGGTGCCAGTCTGGATTGACTCCCCCCGATGGAAGCCACCCGCATCCTTGGGAGGCACACGCGCAGGAGGTACAAGGAGATACCTTGGGCAGGTGAACACCAGCTACCAAAGAGAAGGTGTCGAGTTCGTGGGCCGTGTCCCCACCTGCATATGGCTGCCACAAAACCTGACAGCTTAACAAACCTTATTTGTCTTAGAAGGTGTGGTTCCCTAAATAGCAAAATAAAATGAAAACACTCCATGACCTCATCCTGCAGGCCCCGGAAACGGTTGCACTTCCTTCAGGGGTGTTCGCAGGCCACCCAGCTCCGTGACAGACTGAGAAGAGGTAAAGGAAGTAAAGTCCTGGCCCTAAAAGTCCCGGTGTGATTCCCACCCTGCCCTCTACCCTGGGCTCCCTGAGAGGGAGAAGGTTCATTCATGCTCCACAAAGAACGTGAAAATGATGAAAAATTCATGCCCACGACCTATAAAGAATTCATACAAACCAGTGAGAAAAGATAAGCCAACGCTATAGAAACACCAGAGGCAAGTGACGTGACTAACACCCCCGAAGAGCCCCAGCAGCACTGGAGCTCCTGGGAATGAAAATTCAGCTACATTTTGTACCATGATGCGATACTGCTGTACAGATTAACAAAAAAGAAGAGACAATTTAAAGTTTGCAGATGTCAGGGTTTGGGATATAGCTCAGCGGTACAGGACTCGCCTAGCCAAGATGACTGGGTTCAGTCCTCAGAGCCAAAACACTGTTTCAAAAAATGGTAAATATTGTCAGGTGGAGGTTTGCATTTATAGAGTAACCAACTCAGAAGGCTGAGGCATAAGAGTCATTTGAGCCTAGAAGTTCGAAACCAACCGGGGATCCCTGCCTTAAAAAAAAATAATGTTTATAATGCCTAACAACTGAGACATCACTGTTAGGTTTGCAGATTGGTGTAACTGATACAACCAATGTGGATCCCCATGCTAAAGCTGAACCTCTCATAGATGAGCCCCAGGAAAACTCACTTTCAAGGACCCAGGCAGCACTATAACTGGTAAAAGTCTGGAAACAGCCCCTGCATTTACTGAAAGTAGACTAGATTAAAAGTTTTTGGTAGCTGGGCATAGTAGTGCATGCCTGTAGTACCACCTGCTCAGGAGGCTGAGGCAGGAGGGTACTTGAGTGCAGGAGTTCAAGACTAGTCTGGGCAACAAAGCAAGAACCTGTCTCCAAAAAAGAAGAGGAAAAAGAGAAGGAACATTTTTGGTAGATTAATACAGTGGAAATTTTGGGGCTGAGGATTTAGCTCAGCGGCATAAGCGCCTGCCTTGCAAGCAGGCAGTCCTGAGTTCCATCCCTGGTTACCGATAAAAACGAAAAAGACCAAAAAAAGAAAGAAAGAAAAGAAAAAAAAATACAGTGGAAATTTTATAGCATTGAAATTAATGAAAAAGCAAATCTCTCTGCATATAAAGAACCCTTTCCCATCCTCATCACGGTCCAGGAAAGTTTATAATTGTAATGCCAAGAAGAAGTTATTGGAATTCTAGTGAGTTAATTCCAGTCTACCACTTCTGGTGCAACTCATGGCAAGAATAAAGACACTGAGACATACATACAGCCAAGATGGTTTCAGCAGAACAAAGGCCCGGCCTGAGAGCCCAACCCATGTTTTGTTAATTCTCCACCAGAGGGGCGGCTCGGGGATGAGTGACAGGAGAGTGGCGGGAAACACATGCCAGCCATGACTACCATGAGCGGCTAGGGAGGAGGCCTGAGATCACCTCCGCGATGTGCAGAGGCAGGAAATGCAGAGAGAGCAACCTGCGTAGCACAGCTGAGGCGGTAGCTAATAACTCGGGGTTGGTGCTTCAGTTCTGATGTGCAGTCCTTTTGCCCTGGAAGCCATGGTCTCTTTCTCTAGGCTTGGTCCCAGCCGGCAGCGTGGAGCGTGGCTCTCCATCCCACCAGGCTCAATCATGTATCTGGGGAGTCACTGGGTGGGTTAACACTGACCTGTCCCCTTGCTTCAGAGATTGCACATCAGCTCCTCGGCCAGCCCCATTTACAAGCCAACTGAAGGGAGAAAGGAATAGCCCGGCCAGCTCTGTACATATCAATAATGGAGATGGGGCCAAATTTATCCAAAATGGAGATAGTTGCTCTTCTTTTCAAGGAGGGTCATCTCTGCGGTTCTCCACATCTGCACTGGGGAGGCTGAGGCCATAGGGTGGGAGTTTAGGGCTTAACCCAGCAGGCAGGGGAGGGGGCGTGTCCTGTCAGGCACGGAGATCCAAGATAGTGCGCAGAACAGTTCCCCAGACCCGCGCCGCGAATCAGTCAGAAAGTGCTGTCTTCTGGTGGAAATCAAGCAGGTTTTTGATAGGATGACCTAGATCCCAGTCAACCTGAGAAGCACAGGACATAAAAGACGGTGGCCACCGCTGCCGCCCACAAGCTCTGTTAATGGCCCGGTCTCAGTCTGCAGAGTGCACCCCTTTCTATACCTTTACTTGGCCCGCACTCACTCTGTAGAGCATGTTTCTTTACTACCTTTAATAAATGTAAAACGTGCCACTTTCTGCACCAGTCCTGTCTGATTCTTTGTACAGGACAAGAACCTGGAATGAATCTCTAGAAGGGGCCCATAGCACCCAAGAATCCCAGTAACTGCAGGAGGGTCACTGCAAGTCCAAGGCGGCCTGAGCTACACAGAGTGCATAGTGATATCCTGTCTGAAGATGACAGTGACAGAATATTGTTTGGAGATTTAAAAACTGTCAATTAGCTGGGCGTGGTGGCTCATGCCTGTAATCCCAGCATTCGGGAGGCTGAGGCAGGAGGATCGTTGTGAATTCAAGACCAGCCTGGCTACAAAGTGAGCTCAAGGCCAGCCTGAACTGCATAACAAGATCCTGTCTCAAAACACACACACACACACACACACACACACACACACACACACACACAAAACCCTGTCAATTAAATAGAAATTGTAAAATTTTTGAAACTGTAAATGTGAGAGAACTTTGGGGGCCGTCGGGAGTCACCATTTGGGAGACACAGACTCAGACAGCCTGATGTCCCAGACAAGGGAGAGCAAGTGGAGCTGATGTTGCCAGGAGCTCTTAAGTCACCACCAATTAATGACATTAGTCAGCCTCACAGACTGTCACTGGAATCGAGAAAGGCTTGTCAGGAGGTTCTAATCCAAGACTAGGTGGTGCCCTCGCTCTAGGCCTCCAGGAGGGCAGCGTGTCTTGCAGGAGGGCATGGGGGCAGACTGCTCCCATCAGGAACCTGGAGGCAGAGACGAGACAGGGCTTCACAATTCCCTTTGGCGTTTGTTCCCAGTGACCTGAGAACTCCCACTAGGCCCAGCTAAAGGACTCACAATCCCTCATACAACCACCCTGGCTGTGACACCTGGGCCTTTGGGGACATTCATCCAAACCATAAAAATAATTAAACTTGTTTGGAGAGAAACCATAGAAGTTGGAAAAGAATGCAGGAGCTGGGGCTGGGGATTTGGCTCAGCGGCATAAGCACCTGCCTTGCAAGCAGCCAGTCGTGAGTTCAATCCCCGGTACCGATAAAAGAAAAAAAAAAAAAAAAAAGAATGCAAGAGCTTCTTTCATGGGCTATGTGGCCAGTAGAAGATAAAGAAAATACTGGATCAGCCAACTAGAAATGTAAACAAGAGCCCCAAAATCTCCTGATAGGCATCTGTCTCCAGCTCTGAATACACTGTCATTATCTGGTCACTCCAGAGGCCAAAGGGTGGTGGTGACCGAGTCACCTTCCTGGGCAGCAGCTTCAGATGCAAGTTCTCTTCCCTTAATGGCTTCCCAACTTTATTTCAAAAAGCCCTTTTGGTGTTGCTTCCATCATCATGTGCCTTTTATTTATTTTTTAAATCCATGTGATCAAATTAAACCTTAACCTAATCCCTAACCCTAACCCTAAAGAAAAGTAGAGAAACCTATAATAGCATTCTAGAAGGCTAAGGTAGGACAGTCTCATGTTTGAGTCCAGCCAGGGTAAGTCAGAGAGACTGTCTTTAAAAAAAATAGAAAAGAGGTTAGTGTGTTGGCACAAGCCTGTAATCTCAGCACTTGGGAGGCTGAGGCAGGAGGATCTCTGTGAGTTTGAGGCCAGCCTGAACTACACTGTGAGATCCTGTCTCAAAAAAAAAATAATCCCCCAAACCACAAATTAAACAAAATTAAATAAAAAAGAGGCTGTGGATATAGCTCAGTACAAAGGACTTTAGATTCAATCTCCAGTATATACATGCACACATAAAGAAAGGAAAATACACTATTCAGGGAGCTGTTACCTCTGGAAGGATGGTGTTACCTACCTTCTGGTCTTTCTTACAACTGTATTTTTGTTTGTTTGTCTTTTTTTGAGACAAGGTTTCACTGGACTTGAACTCACTGTGTAACCCAGGCTGGCCTTGAATCAGCAGTCATCACCTGTCTCAGCCTCCTGAGTGCTGGGATTAGAGACATGTCATCATGCCTGGATATACATGTACTCTTTGTCCTTGTGCCTGTGTTATTAATATTCTTTTGTAATCACAAATTATTTAATAAGAACACTGTTTAACCAGATGTGGTGGTGCACCTGTAATCCTAGTACTTGGGAGGCTGAGGTAGGAAGATCAAAAGCTCAAGGCCAGCCTGGGCTACATAGTGAGACCCTATCTTAAAATTAAAAAAAAAGTCTGGGGATGTCACTCAGTGTTGGAGCACTGGCCTAGTATATGCAAAGCCCTGGGTTCAATTCCCATCACTGGAAAAACAATGAACAAATTTAAGAAATAATGTATTTTTAAAAGTGTGCAAATCTTTAAAGCGGATACAAAGAGAGACCCTGAACTACAGGACTCTGCCACTCTCGGCACAGCCAAGGCAGGTGTTAGGGTGTGGGGCAGGCCTTGGGGTCTGCTCTGCTCAAGCCTCAGGCTGTGACACAGAGTGGGAGGAAGGAAGAGACGGCAGGGCAGGTACAGCTCAGCGGCAGGCTGCACTATGTCTGCTAAACTGAGATGGGGGAGACAAGATAAAGAGCTCCATTCTGAACCTCCGCCTCGCTGCAGACCGCCTTGCAGGACAGATAGCATCTTTAATATCCGGTGAAATGAATTCCCTGCCTAAGCTGTCCGCCTGTCTGGGGCTCTCACCACCATCCGGTAGTCACACAGCTACAGTCCCCTCAGCAGACAGGGGAAACTGTCCCGCAGTGGAACTGAGAGTCTCTTTCTGTTCAAGCACCTGCCTTCCTGGGGCTGTGTTAGGCACCAGGACTAGGGAGATGTAGCCACCATGGACCTCACTTGGACAGGGTGAGCACATTAAAATTAGAAAGCAAACCATCACCATGTCACAGAGGTAACTGCCTCAGGAGCAAAGACACAGATGAATTCTGTGGAGGTGGGAGGTCTGGGAAGGTTTCCCAAAGGAAATGTTTCGTTTCCTTGAAAATTAAAATTACTATGTTTTCTTATTGCAGAAGCCACACATGTTTATTACAGAAAAATATGAAGAATGCAAATTAAAACATTTTTTATAGTTGGGCAAGGAGGTACATGCCTGTACTCCCAGCGACTCAGTAGGCTGAGGCAGGAAGATTAAAAGTCTGAGACCATCCTGGGCAATGCACAAGAAGACACTGATTCAGCAAAACAAAACACTTTTCTCATCACCAAAACAATCATAATTAATACCTCATGCTTCTCAAACGATTTTTACTGAATTTAATTTTAAAATTAAATTTAGAGAGTATTGAAGTTATATTTCCTGGACTGTGGGGCGGGTATCTCAGCATTTTTGTTCTTTACAATATTGTAAGTGTATTATGAGTGTGTGGCTCACCTTGAAAAGATAAATACAGGATCTAGTCAAGGTTCGTGGGAGGACTGGTCTAGATACTTCCACTGTCATTACTAGGACTCACTCTGCCCCAATGTTTTCTATGCATATGCATTAGGAATTTTTAAAAATTGACATAATAAGTGAACATACTTATGGGATATAACGTGATAAACTTTTGAGTCAATGTCTCAACATGTAGTTCAGGCAGGCCTTGAACTCACTTGTGTAACCCAGGCTGGTCTCCTGCCTCAGCTTCTGGAGTGCTGGGATTACAGGTGTGTGTCACCACCTCTGACAATATTTTTGTTTATTTGAGGTACTGGGAATCACACTCATGACCTTGCACTTGCCAGGCAGGCGCTGTGCCATTGACCTATCCCCGGCAGGATTTTTTTTTTTCCAGTTTTACCCGATTGAACTCAGGGCCCCTAGTCCTGCTAGCCAAGTGCTCTATCACTGAGCTATATTGCCAACCCTTTTGATTTTACTTTATTTATTATTTACTTATTTAGAGACAGGGTCTCGCTATGCAGTTCAGGCTGGGCTTGGGTTCACTGTAGCCCAGGATGGTCTCAGCCTTCCAAGTGCTGGGATTACAGGAGTGCGCCACCAAGCCTGGTTTGATTTTACTTTAAGACAAGGTTTGCTAAATTGCCTAGACTGGTATATAACTTTGACTGTCTCGGCGTTTTTTTTTTTTTTTTTTTTCCTGATACTGGGAATCACGACCTTGTGCTTGCCAGGCAGGCGCTGAGCAGCTAAGCTAAATCCCCGCCCCACTGTCTCAGGCCTTAGAGTAGCTAGGATTACAGGGGTTCGCATCCGAGTCCAGCGGAACTTTTTGGTTCTGTGTGCCTCTACAATCGGAGGGGTGTTTTGGGCAAGCCTGCTGAGGTGGCATCCGGAGCTCCGTTCACTCCGCCCTGAGCCATATCCCAGCCCTATGAGAGAGCCGCGTGAGCGGCGAGAACCAGTCGCAGGTACATCTGGTGCATAACTACGTACTTGTTCTTACTGATCTGCTCTGCTACCAGGGTCAGTGAGTGGTTGGTGTGGCAGATCCTGACGCTATTAACTTAAGCTGTAATGAAGTCTGAGCTGAGCCAGTATTAGGAAATGTGGGTTGCGAGCTTGTTCGGGAGAGAAGCCATGTCTGCAGGCGGAAGCGAGGGAGAAAGCATGCGTGACGCTGAGCACCTCGGACGCAGCAGGTGACTGCTGTACCTGGAGGGAAACCGCCTCTGGTGGCCGACCGTAACTCCCGCCCTTTCTGGTTTCTAGCGCTTCCGGGACTCTCGGCTAGTTTCCTTTCCTCTTTTGACTCCGCCCCCAGGCGGTGCCTTGACCACCCAGGATCACGGCGGGAGGCGGGGCCCGGTGAGGTCATCTCTCTGCGCCCTCCTGACTGAGCGAAGAGGATGGCGCAGTTCAATGACGTCACGGTCATTGACAGTGTGAGGCAGAGGCGGTTTTGCTGCCATGGTGGCCGGCGACTGGGTAAGAGTTGGAGTTTACCCGCTGCCAGCTTAGAGCGGCTTCGGGGGTCGGGCATCGGGGAAGAGGAATATAAAGCCAGGACGGCGAGTTCGTTGTCTGCAGCGTGCTGAGGCCAGACGTGGGGAAGATTAGGGAGCAGACTCTGCTCAGGTCGAGGATGTGTGGGAGCATGTTTGGGCAGCAGCGCGGTGGTCGGGACTGGGGCTGGCAGAACATGAAGGTCTGGATTGGGGTAGGACTCGTGGAAGCTCGGGATGTGGCAAGCAAGGGGCGATGTCCGGAGTGGGTACCCCGGGCTCACGTGTCTCTTTGGCTCCGTGGCTGCAGGTACATCATGTCTAGACTGGGCGCCCGCGCTGGCCTGGGGCTGCTGCTTGGCACCGCCGCCGGCCTTGGGTTCCTGTGTGTCCTTTACAGCCAGCGATGGAAACGGACCCAGCGCCGTGGCCGCAGTCAGAGCCTGCCTAGTTTCTTGGACTACGAGCAAACGTCAGAGGCCGGATGCCAGGGTACGAGGCTGACCGATGGGCCTGGGATGGGGTAGCCTTTGGCTGACCCAGGTAGTCAGGGTGCCTTTCTTTGGAAAACTTACTGAAAGGAAAAAAAAAAAAAACATTTTCAGTTTCTATACCCTTTTTCTCTATAATCCCAGGAATGCAGTATATTAGGACGATTGTTCAGCTTTCACTTTTGATTCTGACCACAATAATGCTATGTGTTCATTGAGGTCACTTGCCTGAGTTGGGTAATGGCTGTAATTAGAAGAACAGTCCAAAAGAAGGGAAAAAAAATTCCTGTAGAAAATCTTGTAAAAATTCCTGTAAAAATCTTGAGGTTTATGTATTAAATTACACGTGAAAATTTGAAGGGAACTTGGAGACTAATCAAGCCTTATATCCCTCTTCTGAAGAAATATTCAGGAAAGTTGTGTAAATTTCCTGAGGCTATCACAGTGCAAGTGTCAGGGTTGGGCCTGGTCACCTGGCCCGTGTACTTTCCACAGCACTGAGGCTGGGAGCGCTCACACTGCTGAAGTGGACTGTGGCTGGCAGCCAGCAGCTACAGCTGAAATGAGTTGTGCATCGTTGTCACAGAATCTTCACGTTAACTCACTTAAACAAAGCAGGAGGGTCACTTAGAATGTCCCACCTGGTAACAGTTGGAAGTTAATATTTTCTCCAACTACCAGTGTCAGATAGTTTGGAAAACTTAGCTGTAGAAGACTCCTCCAGGTTAGGACTGTGGATTGTGGCTGATGGTCAGCATTTGATAATGCATTTATGTGCTTTTCTTTTTAAATGTCATTTTAAAAATTAATACATGTTTGTGATACATAATGTTTATGTTCCTTGTGGGGAATTGGTACATGCACCTTCCCTCCCTTTTGTTCATTTGTTTTGTAATTTCTCAGCAGTCATCTGCTTTGTACTAAAGTTGGGACCAAGTGACCACGCTCCTGTTCTACATTCTCGAACACTGCGGGATATATACTGTAGTCTGGCCTAGATTCCCATTAACAAGGGATTTGTGCTTGCCTGTTCTGTGGGTCTTGGCTTCCTATTTTCTTTCCTGTTTTTCCATTTTTCCAGTCTAGTCACCTTAAGTACTTCACACTCCTAGCATTTTCCTGTTGGCATTCACCAGGATCTCAGCTCAGGGTTGGGTTGGTGGGGCTTGGTAATGGTGTTTTCCTGACAGTTTGGATGGTTTTTTTCCAGCGTGCCCATTCTTGGTAACTGTCCCTTCTCTTTTTACCCTCAGAGAATACTTAGCGAAGTTATCAAGAGAAGTGGCGTTTTCTTTATTATTTGTGAAGTGAGAGAGAGCAGAGGGAGTTGAGCTTTAGTGTTGCTGGGGAGTTGGTATTGATTCCCTGCATTTGGCTCTGAACTCAGGCACAGGTTTTCCTTTTACTATAGCAGTGTGGTGTCTTCCAGGTACCACACCCTTGTAAGCAGTTTACTTTATCTGCCATGAGCAGCAGTCCTGCAGAGCCCCGGTGTGGAAGAGCAGAGGGCTCTTGCCTAGAGATTGGGACTTTAATTTTTTCTGGGTAGTCTTTGGGACTTCTTACCAGGCTTGCTGTGAACATGGACTGTCTGAGCTTCAAGGTCCTCTTCATAATTGAACTCCAGTGAGAAACAAGTGTTCCGGGACTCCAGTGAGCCCTTTACTCACTGTCGCCCACGGGGGTCCCTGTCTGCTTCCTTCCTTCAGTGATACCGTTTCGGGCCATCCCAGGTGAGGCTGGAGATGCGGCAGTGCTGCCCAGCCTCTCACAGGCAGGGCAGGAGAAGGTGCTGGACCGCCTGGACTTCGTGTCCAGCAGTCTTGTGGCCCTGCGGCGAGAGGTGGAGGAACTGAGGAACAGCCTGCAGGGACTTGCTGGGGAGATTGTTGGAGAGGTGCGGTGAGTAACGCAGCCCCTGCCCTGCTTTGCTCCCCATCCCACGACTTCTCCATCTCCTCAGCTTTTCTGGGTGTGGTGTGCTCTGGCCTCTGCTTTCTGTCTCTAGGAAATCAGATGTTTGGCTCCTGAGCTAATTGGGGGTGGGTAGGGGCTGCATACACCCGGCTCCTCACTACAGGCAAGTTCCTTGCTGCCTTGTGGCTGAAACTTTCTCATTCCATCTGCTCTACTCTGACGTGCAAGCAGGGCCGGGGCTCCTTTTCTCACCTCAGTAGAGCCCCAGGTTTGTTTCTGCTTGAGGCTTTGGAATGAGGAGGAAAATGGAGGGGAAAGACAGGTGGGATGAGGCCAACAGCACCTCCGGAATGGGATCTGCTTTCCAGATCCCACTTGGAAGAGAGCCAGCGGGTGGCTCGGCGGCGAAGGTTCCCGCTTGCCCGGGAGAGGAGTGACTCCACCGGCTCCAGCTCCGTCTACTTCACTGCCTCGTCGGGAGCCGCGTTTACAGACGCTGAGAGTGAAGGCGGGTGAGTCTGCTCTCCTGGAGGCAGTTGTGTTTTGGGAAAGGTCCTGTTTATCAATAGAAATTTAAACCAGCCTGCTGTGAGGGTGTGAATAAATCAGAACAGCTGGAAGAGAAAGCACATGCAGTTTATGCCACTTAGAGAACTGGAAATGCTTCCAGTGGTTACTGCTTGTATCTGTCATTTTCCTTAGTTAATCTGGTTTTCACATGGTTACTGTAGTAGAATTGTCCGTTGTTCTCACGAGGACTTTGTAAGCCTTGTTCCGTGACTTTGCTCCTTTCTGTGGCTTTGCTCTCTTCACGCAGCCTGTTTCCCATGGGGGAGCTGTCCTCTCCTTGCGGGGGGACTCTGCCCACAAGCCCTTGCACCTGTGTAGTCCTCAGGGGCTCAGCATGTCTGACCTTAGGCCTCACTATGAGGTGGGGCCGCCTCCTGCAAGCGTGGTCAAACTAAGAGCTTTTAAAGTTTTTTCCTAGTATTAGGATTGAACTCGGGTTGCTCTGCTCTGTCACTGAGCCATATCCCCAGCCTTTTTTATTTTTTATGTTGAAACAGTGTCTTGTCAAGTTGACCAGGCTGGACTCAAACTTATGATCCTCCTATTCCAGCCTTCCAAGCTGCTGGATTACAGGCATGTGCTACATACTGGCTAGGGTCTTTCTATTTTAAACCACTGGCACCATTTTGAAACTCTGGTCCCAGGGACACTCCTAAGCTGTTAACTGCAGCTAGTCCAGCTATCCAGGTTGTCTGCATGAAGTAGAGTCTGATCTTTCCTTGTTGCCCTCTGCTGACATTCTTCCTCATCAAGGAGAAGATGAGTTTAGACAGCAGCCAGGCTTATGCCAGGTCAGGGACTGACTTAGCAGTCAACATGCACATGAAACTAGAAGTTAAGTCCAGCCACGCAGGGTGGGCTTTGCACCAGCTCTCATTTATTCTTGACTTCCTCTCACAGACATTAGGCTAAGCACTGTAGAGATATTTCCTCATGTAATCCTCTTAGCAGTCCTCTGGTGAAGCTGATATCCAGCCAAGGATAGTAAGGTGGATTTAGCCTGATGCTGACCCCAGAGGTTTGGGGGTCTGTAATTGAAGGCATGGCTTGGTCATCAGGGCACCCAGCGCTTTCCTAGGAAGGTGCAGCCTGTACGCTTTGCAATTGAGTGGCACAGCATGTTCTGTGCATTGCCCTTGAGCAACTTCAGCCTGATAGTTTGCCCTATTGTATTCTTCCTGCCTCTTCCTTGCTTTTTTTGTAGTACTGGGAATCAAACTCAGCACCTTGTGCCTGCCAGGCAGGTGCTTGTGCCGCTGAGCTATATCCCTGCCCCCCCATTTGCTTTTGTAAGGAAATTAGAAGAACTCTTGTTTTTCTTGTTAATACCATTGTGACTAATACTGGATTTGATTACTGCTCAGGGACCTCTTGAAGCAAGTGAAATCTTTGATGTTTTGGTGCCAGGACTGAACGTAGGGCCTTACACTAAGGGCAGGCCCGCTGTGGAGTTCCTCTCCCAGCCAAAGCAGTGAGGCCTTCATGCACAGCCCCAGTCCTTCCTTCGGGACGACTGTTGCCTGGTTGTCTGATCTTATCATCTGTATTCTCAAGGGCTAGCAGAAGTGGCCCATTTCTGTTCAATTCAACTAATCTTTCTGGGCCAAGAGATGCATCCATAAGCTTTGTTAGAGGAAGGGGTAAAAAAAAAATTAGGTGTTAGAAAAGGGTGCAAAGGTGAAATTAATATTTGACACATCTGGTAGCAAAGGAGAGATGAAGTAGGTATTTTGCTTTGGTTATTGAGACAGGATCTCACTGTGTAGCCCAGGCTGGCCTTAAACTAATGAACTTTCTGCCTCAGCTTCCCGAGGGCTGGGATCACAGGCACCTAGCACCTCACCTATCCAGGATGAAGGTAATGGGCTCTGAGACCTAACAAACATGTTTGTGCCAACCCAAGGAGTTAGGTCCCTGGCATAGGCATTGGCTTGCACATTGTAAGAGGAAAGAACGAGAGAGATCACAGTTCTGCCCATGATGAAATGTACATTTCTAGGGCCTTGATCTGAAGAAGTTGTACAAATTTTGGGAATCAGTGGGAGCCAAAATGATTAACCATGGAAATCTGTGGATCCTTCACTGCTTGGAGCACCCATGGCCACAGGAACAGGGCAGGGCCGACAGCCACCTGTGATGGGGAAGGGGTTGGGTGGCTTTATTTCCCCCTTAATATCGGGAACTAAACTCATGACCTTGTGCTTGCCAGGCAGGTGCTGTGCCACTGAGCTATATCCCTGGCCTGGCTTTCTTTCTATTTTTTTTAAACTTCTTTTTTTTTCTGGTACCGAGGATCGAACTCATGACCTCACGCTTGCCAGGCAGGCGCTTATGCCGCTGAGCTAAATCCCTAGCCCTGGCCTGGCTTTCTTTAATTAGAGTTCCTGCAGGCTCGGCCTCATGACCACTCCTGCAGCAAGTGAAAGCTGGTGTTGATGCAAGACTCTGGCTGAGCCAGCTGCTATGTGGGGCAGTGGCCACGGTAGGTGCCATTTAGGTCACAGGGAAACTCTGGAAGAAGTCCACAAACTCAGACATGGCTTGGAGCACCGTGGGGCTTGGGGAAGAGTTTCTCTAAGGGGTGAAGTGATCAGATTTAATGTGCTACTCTATTCTGCTGAAAGTTCTATTTGCTTTTTCTTCTTTCTTTCCTGTTTTTTTTTTGGTACTGGGGATTGAACTCATAACCTTGTACTTGCCAGGCAGGTGCTGTGCTGCTGAGCTGAACCCCTAAATACTATTTGTTTTCTAAATTAGTAACTTTGTGCTGCCAGGAGACTGACTGGCAGGGACAAGGTGCCTGCCTATTCCTCTCTGAATGCCCCGGGCTCACTCCCTCAAATGGAATTTAGGAGTTAAAACTTACTTGCCAAGAGGGGTCCTTGATCTCTGTTGCCCCCATCTCCCCCATATCTCTATCTCTATGTCTGTGTCTCTCTCTTTAAGACAGGGTCTCATTGTATAGCTCAGCCTGGTCTCGAATTTATGGCAACCCTCCTGCCTCAACCTCCCAAGTGCTGACATACAAGTGTGTGCTACCACAACCAGTGTGAGTCCTTGGTTTCTGACTTGTGGGCTAGAGAAGGTATCTTGGTCTCTTGCCCTCTGTGGGAACAGTGGGTCCTTGAGTGCTTATATCCAAGGGATGTTCTGGTTTGTTATTTTCAGGGAAAGGATTAGACCTAGGACCTCAAGCGTGCTAGGTGAGGTCTTTACCACTGAATCGAAATCCCAACCCTAAAGGGTCTTTTCAGAGGTTTCTGTGTGTCCCTGGAGGTCTCTAAAACCTCCAGGTATGTTAAACAAAAGAGCTACCCCATGCTAAGCTTGATGGCCAATGGCTGTAATCTCAGTACTAGGGGAGGATGTGGCAGGAGAATCACAAATTCAGTAGTGACTTATTAGACCCTATCTCAAAAGAGAGAATAAAGAAAGACTGGGATGTAGCTCAGTATGGAGGCCCTGGGTTCAGACCCCAGTACCCCCCAGTTCCCTGGCCCATGATAAATCTCAGGCACCACAAGCGCATGAGGGGGGCTCTGGCTTGATGAGGTGCAGCATCCTCCTTGAGGTGCCAGTCTTGCTGAAGCCAGCCTGCCCCAGAGGGTTCTCCTGGCCCCTGACCTCTGCTTCTCCTTGGCTCTGTGAGCTTCTGGCTCAGCTCTGGCAGGTGAGTGCAGCGCTCACACTGGGGTGCTCTAGGTCCCCAGAGACTCCTGACTGCGGGGCAGTGCTCAGCCTTGCTGAGAGTGCGGTTCTGCATCTGCCTGCATGGAAAGACAGGGAGGCTGAAGCCCCACTGCAGGTAACCATGGTCTCTTTGCCTTTGGGCATCAGACAAAACGGGCTCCAGGTGGGTCTTCTCATTCTGACCAAGTTGTTGCTGCCTAAGCCTTCGTTTGAGCTGGGCTGCTCCTGTGTGGTCTTGGCCATCATGACCCAGGTTGGTTGTGAAACTGATGTCATTTTTCCTTCTTCCTTAAATCTCCAAAGTTTTTACTGCTAGGGGTGAAAGATGCTAAGATAATGTCTCCCAAAGCAAGGAGAGGTTAGTAAATTTTGAAGTAACATGTCAGTTCTTGTAGCCAGGTTCCTGGACCCTTTTATAACCATTGGAAATACCTCAGTAGAGAAGCAGTCAGCCAGTGTGCTTAGACCAGAGCCATCAGGTCTGTTGCTCATATAGCTTCTAGAACTTGCCCCCTTGTTTTCTCTGGTCTTCTAGATAAGGAAGAAGCCCTTTCCCACAGGTTGTTGCTCTGTTGCCCAGGTGGCCTTGAACTAGCAGTGATCATCCCAGATAATCATCCAGAGCTGGGGATTACAGAAAGTGCCACCGCAACTGGCCGGACCTGTTTTTTTTTTTTTTTTTTTCTTTCGAAACCGGGGATCAAACTCATGACCTTGTGCTTACTAGGCAGGCGCTTATATGCCGCTGAGCTAAATCCCCAGCAGGCTGAGCGCTTTTGATTACAGTATTCATCCTGACTGCAGGCGATCTGTGTTGGCTTTGTCTCCCTCCTCTCTCCTTCACGGTTTTGCATGGCTACTCTTTCATCCCAGGAAAATAAAACGTTTACTACTGAAAGACCCTAAGGCCTTTCTTGTACTTTTGCTTCACTCAGTCTGGGGAACTCTGGTGTCTGCTTCTGGTCCCTGGAAGGCCTGCCTTCTCCCCTGCCCAGGTCTCCTCAAACTTACTTAGCACTTAGGAGAAATGCCCCATCAGCTGCTGGCACAGCCTGAGAGTCAGGAGAAAGTTGGCTCCCTCTTCAGTGGGCACTTCACAGTTAGGCCCTACCTGGCCTATGGCAGCCCTGATAAGCCTTCTGTGGGTGCTGTTTCCATCCTCTTCCTCTCTGGCTTCCAGGTGCAGTGTTCCTTGCCTCTCTCACTCCCTCCATGTTCCCAAGGGCTTACTGGTCGTGGTTGAGCTTTGGTTGTTGACTTGGTTTGAGGTATAAGTTTGAGAAAGGCCAGGCATGATGGTGCATGCTTATAATCCCAGCACTCAGGAGGCTGAGGTAGGAGGATCACTGTGATTTCAAACGTAGCCTGGGATATACAGCAAGGTAAGACCAGCTAGCACCATATAATGAAACCCTGCCTGCAAAAAGGCCAAAAAAACCCACAAAGAAGTATGAGAAAGAACATGGGTGTGTGTGGCTGGCAGGCAGTGGCTGCAGTGGCTGGCATCCACCTGTGGTGGTTGGCTGACAAAACAGATGATTAACAAACCCTTAGCCTAATGACCAGTGTAACAGCTCCACGTGTATCAAGGTTTTTTTTCTTTTGGTGTTATGGTGGAACTCAGGGTCTCAGGCATATCATAACTGAGGTCCTAAACATTTCCAGGGTCTCAGTCATATCACAATTGAGGTCCTAAACATTTTTTGGTACCAGGGATTGAACTCACAATCTCATGATTGCCAGGCATGCACTTGTGCCACTGAGCTAAACCCCTGGCCCTGCAGTGCAATTCTTGTCCTAAACATTTCTTACGTATAAAAAGAATATATGCTCACTGAACTCATGACCTCACACTTGCCAGGCAGGTGCTGTGCTGCTGAGCCCTCTTTTGTTTTTTTTAAAGACATGGTTTCACTATGTAGTTTAGAAAGGCCTTGAACTCTGTGATCTCCCTGCCTCAGCCTTCTGAGTGCTGGGATTACAGGTGTGTGCCACCACACCTGCTGAAGCAATTTTATAACATTAAAAAATAGAAGAATCCCCAGCAAATGTCTTTCTTCCTTTTTTTTTTTCTTTGAGATAGGGTCATAGCCATAATTTCCCAGGCTGAATTTGAATTTGATCCTCTTGTCTAGCTGTCTAGTATTGGGATTTCAGGCATATACCACCACACCTACCTATTGGAAATCTTTTGTAAATAGCTTTCTAGGCTTTTTCCTTTTCTGGCAGATTTAGTGGTAGTTAAGTAAGGGTTTCCATATTGACCCTGACAGCACAGAGCCACAGCTGTGTGGAAGGTCTTCCCCTCCCTGGCCGTTTCCCCAGACCATAGTTCCCACAGGAAGCTTTCACTGTTCCCCCTGTAAGGCAGGGGAATGCTTGTTGGAGGCACTGGACAGCAGCACCATGCACAGCCCCTTTCTAAGGCTGGAAGATTGATCTAGAGGCTTGGAGTTGAATAACCCCCTTTCTTGACCTGTCTCATCCGATTCTCTGCCAGTTACACGACAGCCAATGCTGAGTCTGACTATGAGCGGGACTCTGACAAGGAGAGTGAGGATGGGGAAGATGAAGTGAGCTGTGAGACTGTGAAGATGGGGAGAAAGGACTCTCTGGACCTGGAGGTGGAGGTAGCTTTGGACCCAGCGTCTGGTGCCCTGGAGGATGCAGGTGACGAGGAGTTGGCCCTCCTGCGCCAGGCTGATGAGCTACACCAGGGCGGTGACCAGAGCAAGCGGGAGGGCTTTCAGCTGCTCCTCAACAACAAGCTGGCGGTGAGGCCCCGCTTCCCTCTCTCATCTGACCCCTAAAGAAGGCAGGCCCATGTGCTCCTGATGTGGAGAGCAACAGCCAAGGGCACAGGGCCCCACGCTGGTTCTGTGTATGCTTCCTGGGCTGCCTCCTCCTCGGCGAGCCGGCATGGGCCCTGGGAATGGCGCCCCACTGCCCTGAACTTCCTCACCCTGGCAGGAGTGGCACCCTGCTCTGCCGCGCTTGGAGAGCGATTGCTGGAAGCAAACTTTCCCTTCTGCTTCCTTTGAGGCACAACCTGCCCCTACTAAAGTTTCTACCACAAGGGACAGTTGCCTAGTCACTGCGTCACAATTCCTTCCAGGCTGACAGAATTTATGCTACACCCATCCTCCCATTAGAATTCTTTTCTTGGGCAATTTCTTGCCCTCCTGCCATGTGCCAGCAGGATGGTGCCTTAGTTGAGTTTATCCTGTTGGAATTGACCTTCCCTCCTGGCAGTTTTAGGCCAGAATACTCTCACCCTGTGACTGCACAGGTTAGGGACTGTGTTGTCAGTTAATTGAGTGTAGGGAGTCACCAGGTGGAAAGGTTGTCTAACAGCTGGCTTCAGGACAGTGACTGACCCACTGGGGGGAAGTGCAGACCTGTGCTGTGGGGGGAAGGCCAGGGCTCTGTTCTCCATGGCTCAGGAAGGGGCTCACTCCTTTCTGTTGGGTCTGCAGTATGGAAGCCGGCAGGACTTTCTTTGGCGCCTGGCCCGGGCCTACAGTGACATGTTTGAGCTCACCGAGGAGACGAGCGAGAAGAAGTCGTATGCACTAAACGGTAAGTACTGCCAGGCTCCTGGTGGGACGGGACCTGACTACAGAGCTGCAGCTGTGCTATGTGCTGGGGCCCAGGGAACCACAGCCGGGATGTGGGCTTCACCAACAAAGTCTGGTTCCCAAGGACCCTTGCTTCCACCTCTGGATACAGCCTGGTCTGCTGATCTTCATATCCTGGCGGCTGATCATCTTCACATCTTGGTGGCTGATCCAGGCACACATGATTATTCAAGGAGTAGCAGAATCACACTGTATGACTCTTTGTTTTCACTTCCCAACCATAAAACCTTTTTTTTTTTTTTTTGTCTTTTTCCTTTTTATCGGTACCAGGGATCGAACTCACGACTGCCTGCTTGCAAGGCAGGCGCTTATGCCACTGAGCTAAATCACCAGCCCCTCCAACCATAAAACCTTAACTGAAGCTTTTTCAGTTAGGGAGCCTATGGGACAGGCATTTCAGGAACAGTCCAGGGGGTACACATAGGAAGCACCTGGAGAAGCTGTGGAGACTGCTGTTAGTGTAGAAGTCCTCTAAGCAGGTTTGTGGCCTAAGTCTGTTCTGGGGTGAGGGTGCCTCTGACCTGTCCTAGGCTTAGGGCTGTGCATGTCAGGCAGAAAATCCTGCGACTTTAGGAGACTGATGTGTCCTGCCGGCCACATCCTTGTGTCAGGGGCCAGTGGACTTCCAGGTGGATGGACCAGTTGATTATCTGAATGTCAAGTGGATCCATTGCCTTCCTCAGCCTTAGATGTGTTACTGAGTCTCTGATAATAAGAATATGACACCACCTCAAGATTAATGTCCTTAATATTTACATAATTTGTTGATGGCAGAAGACACTGAGCTCAGTGCTTATTGATAAAGATCCTCAAAAAATCCCTGGAAGCTTTAACAAAAGGTGCTTAATTACTCTTTTGCCCCTCCACCCCCAACCAAAATCTTGGACTAGTAGTTCATATTAATCAGCTTAATTCACCATTAGTACCTATTTCATCCCCTGTAGTTTTTTTAGAACTACTACCTTTTCCAATTCAGATTTGTGTTTCTCTAGCATTTTTACATTTCTAGAAAAGGTATTATGAAGAAGACAGAGTAGCAAGGCTTTTCTCTATCTTTTCCAATGCTTTCTGGAATCAATTTACTGACTACTTCTTTCAAGTCATTTGTGTATACTTCTAGGGTTACAGAGCTGGTTGTAGTGGTGGCATATGACTACTAGCAGTGGGGAGGCTAAGGCAGGGGGACTGTGAGTTGAAGGCCAGTTTCAACAATATAGTAAGACTGTCTCCAAAAGAACCAAAGCCAACCCTCAAACCTCAAGTGTTACGATTTCCATCATCTGAATTTGGCAGATCTGAGCATAAGAGAACTTTGGTGTCTAAGAGTTACTTTTTTATTAAGCTAACACAAAACAGATAAAGCAAATACTCATCAGTAGTCTTGCTTCAATTATGGTCTGCCACTTTTTGGCCACTGTACATTTTGTCATAGGTAGACCCATAACATGAAACTCAGAATTTTTTGCCTTGAATATCCTCAGTAATTAAATTTTCTTTTTTTTTTTTTTTTTTTTTGTCTTTTTTCCTTTTTATCGGTACCAGGGATCGAACTCACGACTGCCTGCTTGCAAGGCAGGTGCTTATGCCGCTGAGCTAAATCCCGAGCCCCGTAATTAAATTTTCTAAACCGAGGGCTGGGGGATATAGTTCAGTGGCACAGCATCTGCCTGGCAAGTGCCAAGTCCTGAGTTTGATTCCTGGTACCCAAAACAAATAAATTTTCTAAACTCAACCTCACCATTTTGGAGATAAGGCTTCCTGTAGAGCACAATCTTTAAGACAATTAAATGGAAATTTGGTTCCTTGAATCTTCATAATCATTTCTTATACTGAACATGATGTGATTCTATATCACATCAATTTTTCTTAGAAAATGGATCAGTCACTTCTTAGCTTTCTTTTTGCTGCATTTTATATGGTGCTTTAAAATTTATTAATTCTTTGACTGAACTCATGAATTTGCGCTTGATAGGCAGGTGCTTATGGCTCTGAGCTAAATCCCCAATCCCCCTTGGCACTTTTTTTTTTTTTTCTTTGAGATAGGGTCTTCTGAAGTAGCCCAGGCAGTACTTTAATTTGTAGTACACCTGCCTCAGTCTTCCAAAGTACTGGGATTATAGCCAGTGCCACCATGACTGGCTTTTTGTTTAGTTCTGAGACAGTCTCAATAGGTAGCATAGGCTGTCCTTGAATATGTAGCTATCCTCCTGCTTTAGCCTCCCAAGTGCTGGGATTCCAGCTAAATGCCACACCTATCAGGTGCTTGTTTGTTTTTCTTTTTTTGAGACAGGTTCTCACTATCTAGTTCAGGCTGGCCTTCACTTTGTAACCTAGGCTGGCCTTGAACTCACTGCGATCCTCCTGCCTCAGCCTCCGAGATGCTGGGTTTACAAGTGTGCGCTACCATGCCTCGTCTCAGGTGCTTATTCTTGCCAACTATGGTGGTGCTACTCAGCCAAAAGGGCAAATCTTATTTTTGTGGTGCTTCACATTGAACACAGGCTTGGTAAGCACTCCTTCCACCACTGAGCTACATTCTTTGCCCTTTCTTATTTTGAGTCAAGGTTTCACTGGGTTACCCAGGCCAGCCTTGCATTTGTGATATCCTCCTGCTTTAGGCTCATTTCTTAGTGCTAATAGGCAGCATGAACCCTGAAGATGGAATTACAGCCTACCAAGTACAGTGGTACCTCAGTTCATGAACTTAATTTGTTCTACAGCTTTGGAAAAGATAGCCACGTCTTGTTTGTATAGGAACGATGGTTGTGTTCATGTGTGAACCTCACCCTGTCTTAAACAAAATTCTAAGAGCACAGAATGTGGTTCAGCAAGAAGGCCTGAGTTCAGTCAATCTCCAGTATATCACCACTGAGTATTTTTGGCATTCAAATCTGAGGTAGCACTAAAGAAATAGTGAGACAAAGGGTAGAAAGGTCTTTAATGTGGGCACAGGAGAGCTGCTAAGGGGTGTAGGAGCTCTCAGCCAGAACAAAGAAGTGAAGCTACTTTTTTCAGGTCTGGCTGGGGGAGGAGTTTGGGACATGGGCAAAACGTTAACAGCTGATTTGAAAGATCATCTGTCTGTACAAAACAGGAAACATTACTGGGGGCTGTGGGTGGAACACTTGGGTGGTTGTGGAGTTCTGGGATGGAGAGGGCTCCACACATGTGCACAAAGGGATCAGGAGGTTTAATCTCTGGAATGAGAAGGCGAATGTAGAAATTACTCTAGGAGAGATAAGTTGCTTCTCTGGGTCTGGTACCAAGTTGGGTGAATGTCATATTACAGATGGCTAACCCTCGGGCTAGAAGAACCTATCAATTACTTCCACCACAAAAGAAGTGTGTTGGAGAGGGCAAAGAGAAATACATTTGAAATGTAGCATCCCTTATTAGATAGCCTACATATTACAACCTCAACATATTACATTTGTTCTATGTTCTCCACGTTCCTTTCCAACCCCCCTAGTTTTAATCAACATGTTTTGTTTTGTGCACAGACACGATTAACGGTCTGGAGGTGTAGAGGCTGTCACCAGCTTGATACTCTAGTGCAGTGATGGTGACTCTTTTAGAGACTGAATGCCCAAATGACAACCAAAAACTCATTTATCACAAAATGCCAGCACTGGAATTAAACCTAGATACTGAGGTTTTAGTTTACTAAAAAATAACTCATACATTAACATCTTTTGTCTTAAAAGAAAATGCCTGTGCCATAGGTTCACCACCACTGCTGCTCTAAGGAATCTGTCTTGGTTACTTTTCTCTTGTTACTGGGACAAAATACCCAACACCCAAAATGAAGGAAGGAAAGATTTATTTAGCTTACTGTTGAGGTTTCAGTCCATAATCACCTGGCTCCAAGGCAGGGTGGCATGGCACAGGGCCAACACTACGGCAGCAGCCAGCAAAAGCAGCCAGAGCAAAAAGCGGGGAAAACAAGCCTCTTTTCCTTTCTTATATTGTAAGCAGGCTACCCTCTCCTTTCCTTGGGCAGGCACCCCATCTGCATGTCCCCCTCTTGCACAGGCTGAGGGTGTTACAAAGTAAGGATGTTGGACCTCTGCTGAACTACTTAATTAAATTTCTAAACTTCTCATGTTGACACCATGTACCAACCATAACAGGAACCCTGTGAGGACTTTGCATGTGTTCCTGTTTCCTTGCAAGTCTTAGTGCCTAGAAAACTAGATAAGACTGAGCAAGAACTGGAGACATAGCTCAGTGGTGCAGTGCCTGCCTGGTAAGCCCAGGGCCCTGAGTTTGATTCTCACTACCCACAAACAAAACAAACCCTCAAACACTGACAAAATACTTGGAAAAAACAGAGGGAAAAAATAGAATAAAGATGTGTATATACAAGTATCAATTCTTCATACTGAGTGCGATCAGTATAGTAAAAAAATAAAATTTAAAAAGACTGAGAGCAAAAGCCTCCTCCGGATCTTAGTCCATCTTGCTCTTGTTAGAGGGTTCTGATGTGAGCTGGGGGAGCAGCTCAGTTGTAGAATAGTTGCACATAAGACTGGGTTTGACTCTCAACATGGCCTTGAGGAGTAGACATGGAGTTGGGGAGTTATGATTGGGGAGTTTTGGCTTAGAGCCACAATAGCACTCATGGGTCTTTTTGAGATTTATACCAAATAACAGCAAACTGGAGAAGGCAGCAAGTCACCAGCCAGCACACTTTAGAAAAATGGTAAGCAATATGGAGAGGACCTAAGATCTCTACCATACGCCTGTCTGAAAGAAACCAGAAACATGACAAGAGAAAAAAATAAGAAAAAGCCTCCAGCCACTGACCATGGGAAAATAAGTCCAGGATAGGTAAATACGGAAGAGATCCACTGCAGCAATCATGCAATATTGGCTACAACATCAGTGGACATAAAGAAATACCTTCGTGACCTCATAGACGAACTTAAAACTGAAATTCTAACACAAGTGAGGCAAGATATAAAAAGATTAATAAAAGAAATGCTAAGCCCCTCTCAAGAAGACACAGATGAAAGAATGGAGGAACCCAGAAAAAGAAGAGAAACCTTTGGTGAAGAATATAAACAAAATCTAGAATACATGAAACAGATCCAAAGAGATTACCAAGAAATTAAAAACTCCATTGAAAGCTGGCAAAAATCTTGACAGAAACTAAAGTTAGACTTTCAAAATTTGAAGATAGATTTACAATGTGTGATTGTGAAAGAAAAGACCTCTTAAAAATAACAAGGAATCAGGAAGTAATAATACAAAGACTAGAAGACAAGAGGATCTATAACTTAATAAAAAAATGAGTGAAAAAGGAGTAACTACAAATGAATTACAAAGGCTATTCACAGAAATAAGGAAAACTTCCCAAGCATATAAAAAAGAAATGATATCCAGATCCAAAATAGAGCTATACCCAGGCATATAATAGCCCAGAAATTCATAAGAACAGAATATTAAAAGCAGTCAGACAAAAGAAGTAGATTACCTATAAAGGAAAATCCATCAAAAAAAACGACAGATTTCTTAACACTATCTAATCAAGAAGAGTCTGGAGTGAAGTATTCTAAGCCCTGAAAGAAAATAACCCCCAACCCAGATTGATGTACTCTGAAAAACTCAAAATTAATGGAGAAACAAGATGTTTTCAAGACAAGGAGGAATTGTGGGAGTTCATGGCCACCAATCCAACCCTACAAAAAATACTGAAGGACATTCTACAGAGAGATTAAAAAATACCAGGATTCCAGTAACAGTGGCAGAGAGGCCTCAATGAACGGGGCAGACAGTGGAATGAAGGAGAAAAGTGGACAAATAATAGCAGAAAAATAGAATAGCAGAGACAGGCAGAGAAGGTAGGCTATAATCTCTAATATAGATAGCCTTGATATACTAACAAAAAGAAACACAGGCAGAGTAATCAGGAGATAGGATCCATGGAGATGCTCTGAATAGGAAATACACTCAACCTGAAAGAGGGTTAATAAACTGAAAGTCAAAGATGAGAAAATGATGCTCTATGTGACAGGGAACCAGAGAAAAATAGGGACAACTCGTCCAGTAGCTGCAGATAGTTTGGAAAGTCATGACACTTTTGTGCAGTGGAGAACTACTCAGGTATAAGGAAGGAAAACCTTGAGGCTTTAGTAAGTAAAGGAACAGCTCAAGATCAAGCTTAGAGGTAAAAAGGTTCAACACCACTTAGTTGCCCCCTCCCCCCCAATCTAAAAACTAAAGGAGCTAGTGGGACCCAAAATATACGAAGCACTCAGAAAAGGAAAGGGGAGGAATTTAGGAAAGAAAAGACCTCTTAAAAATAACAAGGAATCAGGAAGTAACAATACAAGGACTAGAAGACAACAAGAGGATCTATAACTTAATTTAGGAATTAAACAGAGCAGAGGAATTTAGGAATTTTTTAGACCTCCTTGGTCTAAAAAAGGAAGGCAGAGGGTATTGTTAATAGTGTATCAGGATTTAAAAGCCCCATTAGTCTTTTCGCTTTGTTTAGTTTGATTTTATTTTGTTCCAGTCTGTCTACTCATATTAGATTTGAGGACACAGACAGCTATCCCAAAAACAGCAGGATATACTATGGTAACTATCCTTAATTCCCAATTAACTTAAACTGAAGCCCTGTATTACTTACATTGTCTTACTATGACTGATCTTATTTGAATTTGGTATGCTTGATAGTATCAAGTCTAAGAGTAGAGGCAACTACTCTGAAGACAACTTAAGATACCCATTCCAGTTTGATTAACTGCTTTTGAAGTCCTACAATGTTTTCAATGTTATGTTTTCATTAAAATTGCTATGTAATGCTATGTTCAATTATATTATGTCTGATGATGTAGACAATTCTATTGAAAATAACAAGAGACAGCATAGTAACTACTGGAGATCATCTAATATTGTGGTTTCATATGTCTTTTTCATTTCATGTTTTTCTAGGAGTTTGTTTTGTTGTCTTGTTTTGACCTCTTTTTCCCTATAATACAGAAAGGATAGGCATACATGTAGAGATTCACACCTGTGGAGAATTTCTAAACAGTTTATGGGAACAGATTATATAATGCACGATGTAATGAACAGATACCTTGAAGAAGAGACACTAAGATACCCAGTGCTAATTAGGTAGGATTATGATATAAAGTCTAGCAATACTATTATTCACTGTTCAGAGTGATATTAGTCTAGTCTCTTACATTTAATTTCAGCATACGTAAAGATATGGACAGCTACTTCAAAGAGAACGAGAGACGTTATGGCAGCCATTGTTGACTTCCCTAATGTCTGGTCTTGAAGGCCAAAAAAGCCTTCATCATCCTGTTCTGATTAGTTTAGTACTATAATGTTCAGTATGTATTCACTCTGTGTGAAGATGGGGACAACTATTTGGAAGAAAACAAAAGACTATATGATAGTGAAGATCTCCAGTGGTCTTGCTTTGAAATCAGTGTTTCTTAAAATTGTTTCCTTAAAAAAATTTTTTTTCTTATGATTTTGTTTTGTTCTGTTTAACTTTATTCTTTAAAACAAAAAGATTTGCCGGGTGTGGTGGCTCATGCCTATAATCCCAGCAGTTGGGAGGCTGAGGCAGGAGGATCATTGCAAGTTTGAGATCAGCCTGAACTGCACAGCGAGACCCTGTCTCAAAAAGACAAAAAAAGAAAAATAACAAACCACCAAAAAGATTTATACCAAAGCTTGAGCTCTTCTCTCCAATAAAACCCACATGCAGCTACATTTAGTTGAAGTTTTATACAACACTGGAATGATTCCTAGCATTTGGTTACTGTTGGGTACCTCTAACATTTGTAATGTTAGTTCACAGTTCAGTCCCTTCTGAGGGTGGCATAGTTAAGGTCATTTAGACTGGAGTCAAGAAAGACAGGTGGCCTAAGTGAGGCAGGAATAATCTCTGAGAAGTTGTATGCTGCTTTTCATTCTGTGCAAATTCACAAACTACTTCTCAAGTAGTTCAAGCTAGGTAGGGAATACTGAGCCCAAAAGACCATTTTCCAGGGCCCTTTCTGTGGAAGTGTGCACAGAAATGCATGTTAATTCTACATTTGCCTTTGTCTTTCAGGAAAAGAAGAAGCAGAGGCTGCTCTGGAGAAGGGGGATGAGAGTGCCGAATCTCACCAGTGGTAATGACACCTTGCAGGGCTATTGGAGGGGCCAGTAAGAGCAGAAGCTGAGGCCTTTCTTCTCTCTGCCTTGGTCAGAGGCATTTGCCAGAGGAACCAGGAGAGGGAGCTCTTATTTGTATGCCTTACCCTTCCCTTGTCAACATAAGATTTTGATGGAGATGCAGGGTGAGACAGGGATTGAGTACAAGCTTGCTTTTTCTGCTGGGAGAAATGAGTATCTTTGTCAGAATCATCCTAACTTATTGGGCGTGGTAGTGCGTGCCTATAACCCCAGCACTTGGGAGTTTGAGGCCAGCCTGCACTATACAGTGAAACCCTGTTGTCCGCCCTGCTGCCAGTCATTCTAACCATAAGACTTGCGGGTTCTTGACTCTGTGGTGCTGGGACAACTCACAGCTCCCCTGTCCTGCACAAGCTTTTCTTTCCTTCAGCTGCTATCCCTGGCTGGTGGTCAACTTTGGCTTCTTTGCTTGGTTTGCATGAAAAAACAGATGTGCACTCATTACTAGCAAGTTCAGTGGTTAATTTACTAGCTTACTGGGCTGGAGAAGTAGCTCAATGGTAGAGCTCTTGCCACCTGAGGTCCTGGTTTCCACCCCCAGCACTACAAAATAATCAGAACCATAACTCTGATGTCTAGAGTTCTGCCAAGTTGCATGAGATGGGCCAGGATCAATTCATGTCCTAGGCCTAATTCCAACATCAGCTTTAGTGAAAATGTTCTTTTCCTCTTGTTCTGCCCTCAGACTGAGCTAAGTGAGAGGCTGTGTTTCTCCATCTGTCGCTGTAAGGTATCTTCTCAGAGGCCAGGTAACTGTTTCTCAGGTGTCACCACTTCCCTGGGATACCAACAATGAAATGTGGTCCATACTTTCTTAGGTCTCCCTGAGGAGTACCTGTCTGGATTAAACATGGAAGTCAGCCTCTTAAAGTGCCTGATAGGACTACCCTCAAATACTAAACAAATACACGAAAAATGAACATAGGTTTGCCTGGCTAGATGCTTTTTTTTTTGTACTGGGGATTGAACTCACAACCTCACGTTTGCCAGGCAGGCACTTATGCCACTGAGCCAAATCCCCAGCCCCTAGGTGCTTATTGTCAGCTTTTTCTAGGAATGACACTGAGGCAGGAAGACTTTTACTGGTGGTTTTTTTTTTTTTTTTTTTTTTTTTCCCCTTTTTGGTAGTTGCTGGTGTTTTAACCCAAGGTCTCAAACTTGAACATGACAGGCAGTGCTCTACCACTGCGCTACATTCTCAGCCCCCATAAGACTTTATGAAAGATAAAAATATAGAAAGCTAGCTCACTGGTTCCCCTGGAAGAAAGGATGTGGAGGAGAGGACTAAAATAGTTCCTTCCTCCTCTTCGATTAGTTCCCAAGTCCCAGTGATATACCTGTGTACTTTAAAGGTGAAGAAGACCCTTTTAATGTCTGTTCTTAAGACGTCCGTGTGCTCAGGCCACTTTCAGCTTGATGCTAATTATCAGAACACTCACTTTTTACCCCCCCCCCCCAAACTGGATGTTGAACTCAAGGCTTCGCTCATGCCAGGTAGGCACTCCATCACTGAGCTTCCCATCAGCCCAGTTTTCCAAGTTCTTATGGTACATGTGGCTGCACTCTAACCCAGAAAAGGAAACTTGGAGGTTGACTGAAATCTTAACTAAGTATTTTTAAATGTATCTGCGAGTTTTACTGTATATGGGGGGAGCTCATTTTTTATCCACAGAATACTTTGGAGAATTTGACGCCTATATTGTTTGCAGATCTGTGAGCAATTATATACAGGTGAAAATGTATTTTCAGCAATGGTTAAAGGTAGAAGTGGACACTGCAGCTGGGTTGTGGGTAGGGACCTGTTCTCAGCCACAGTACCCAGCCCTGTCCCTGAGCTTGCTGCTGCTTCCCCTTTAGGTATGCAGTGCTTTGTGGTCAAGTGGCTGAGAATGAGGGCATCCAGAAGCGCATCCAGATTGGCTTTAGCTTCAAGGTGAGAATCAGCTTTTTCTCCTTTCCTTGCTCTAGGTTAGTCCAGAGCTCCTGCTTTGCCTGGTCCCTTAGCTCAGTTTTTTTTGTTTTGTTTGAGATAGGGTCTTGCTATGTAGTTTAGGCTGGCCTCAAACTCACATATCCTCCTGCCTCAGCCTCTCAATTGCTGGGAATACAGGCATGCACCAGCTCCCTTAGAAGGGCATTCCCACAGCCTCCATGCCTTACTGCTGCTTTTCCCTGAGCAACTGTGGTCTGATTTGGTTTATATTTTCCCCTTAGGAACATGTGGACAAAGCCATTGCTCTTCAGCCAGAAAACCCTAAGGCTCACTTTCTTCTTGGCAGGTGGTGCTACCAGGTGAGGTGTTCCAAGGCCTGACAAAAAGGGTCCTAAGTGTCCTGTAACATTGACCAAGATCCTCAGCTTCCTTAGCCTGCTCTGGTGCAGGTCCTATTTCCTCTGAATGTCTGTCTCATTAGTGGCTGGCCCTGTCTGCACTATAGAATATTCAGTATTCTGCAAGATATTTCTTAAAACCTTTTTCTATCCTGATCTTTTGGTGGCAGGTCTCTCACCTGGGCTGGCTAGAAGGAAAAACAGCTACAGCTTTGTTCAAAAGCATTCCCAGTGCTACTGTGCAGGATGCTCTCCAAAGCTTCCTAAAGGTATCAGGAAAGGGAAGGGAAGTGCAGAAATGCTGAGGTAACCTTGTTTATTATTAACCCCTAATGGGAGGGGATTGTGAAATGGGGCAATTTTGTTTGTTCTGTGAGGAAAATCAGCCACTGGGAGAATGTATGACCTGAATTTGGGAGCCTCTTAGTTAAATGCTTTTCTCCCTTTTCCAGGCTGAAGAATTACAGCCAGGATTTTCCAAAGCAGGAAGGGTGTACATTTCCAAGGTAAACGCACCAATTTCAACAGAGATCCCAACAGTATTTATGGGAATTTTGGAGTGGGTGCATGCATACTGGGAATTGAACCCAATGCGTTGTGCATGCTGGGTAGTCAGCCCAGCACTGATGGACATCCCCTATTTCTGGAAACTATTCTTTTTGTTCTTGATGGTGGGGAACAAATCTAGCACTGTGTGCGGTTAGGCAAGGGCTGCACCACTGCTGCATCCATCCCACTCCCTCAGAACTCTCAAAAGCACATATACTCATGCCCTTCTAGTGCCCTGGTGTTATTTCTCCCAGGTTTCATTGCTATTTCTTGTTAGTGCTATAGAGAATTAGGAAAAAACTCTGAAGCTAGAAGGTGGATGAAATTGGCCCTGGAGCTGCCAGATGTCACTAATGAGGTAATTCTGTTAAAGAGCTTTTGAAGTACTGGGCTGTACCATTGAGTCGTCATGTGACATTTTCAACAAAGCTTATTTTCCTCTGAGGTCTTATTCCCCTGGATCCCCCTTCATATACCTTTCACCAGGGGAGAAGACAGAGTTCATAAGCCCCAGGCTATCTGGGACAGTAAAGAACTACAGATAGCAGACCTCAAAGAGGGACGCAAAGGGGGATCAGTGGTTTGGAAAAAGTTTAGCTCAGGTTTTGAGTACTAGATTTTTCTTTTTCTTCCTAGGATTCAGCTTTCCAGAAGGAGTTGGAAGAATTGAAAGTAGTTTTAGGGGAATAATGACATTTCAATGGCCTTCAAGACTTGAGGGATACCACTTAGACCCTGCTTTGATTAGGAAACAAGAGTTGCCCTGACTACCCACTACCATTCCTCAACATCTTATGTATTATCCTTAATTTATTCTCATCTGTCACCTAATCTAAATTTGGGAAGTACTTGTAGCTGGGGTTTCCACTGTTCTTCCCCTTAAGGAGATTACTGGAAAACCAAGACTTAGTCGGGCACTTTAGGGTTTGCTTTAGGGTTATGTACATGTAGCCTTGAAGGCTGCTGAGAGGACAAGGCCATGGTACTGCCCTCCAGCTGCTGATGAGGTGGACTGAAATCCAAAGAGCCACAGAAACAAGGCACAGAACCTGTCATTCTAATGTTTTTCACTCATTAATATTTGACATACATCTAGCCCTAAGATCACACCCTGCCTAGTAGGACACAGAGAGGTCAGAGGAGCCCATTTATTACCTGTTTGGATTCTACCTGTACGCCTGGGGTAAGCAAGGGGCTGGACCACTTGACTCCAGTATTCTGGCAGTTTTTGGAATGACAGCAGTGGCACAGTTTATGATACTGTGAAACAGTGGTCTGAAGAGTTGCCTGGAATATATTTTGGTACATGACTGAAATAAAATGGATTTAATTAGAAACAATGTTATCCTTTCTGTTTTAGTTATCAACTCTTATTTGCAGTTCTGATTGTTTCATCCTATAGAGGCAACTGAAGATAGTAGAAAAAGATGTTCCAAATACTTTGTTAGACTAAAAAAAGCTCTTTGGTTAAAACTCTGATCAGTGAAAAATTCAGTTGTGTGTGAAGTTTACATAGGTTGATTTTACCCTAAATAAGGCCTGTTGTAACAAGCGCCCCTGTCCCTCCTAGCTCATTTTTAGCACCAATAACATGAGGCCTAACAAGGAAGATTAAGGCAAGCATCTAGGACTAAGTCACTTAACTATCTTGAGATACTCTTACATAAGAACCAATCTTTTACTCTAGAATCTGTCATGTGCCTTTATTATAGCAACCGAAGTTTATGCAAACAAAGAGACCTTGAGTAAAATCATTTTTGTTGCCCAAAGCTAGGTAAATTTTCTAGATGGTTGGATGTGAAGATGGCTCAGCCTCTGTGAGTGTCTGGGATTAAAATGTGTAACCACCATGACCTAGCCAGAGAACAGAGCTGCTTTTAAAACAAAGCTGCATTAAGTTAACTTTGTGTCTTTCTTGTCTCCCCACATATAGGGGGGATCAACATCTGCAGCAGCAGCAAACCTTCAGTGCCCCTCTTCCCGATACTAGCTAAGAGGGCCTTTGAAACTGAAAGAGCTGGTTAAAATCGATAGAAGGGGAAGTAAATAAGTAGAAGTATGAAGGGGAAGAAGAAAAGTATTTCAAACTTCCAAAGTAGGATGATACGGAAAAGTGCCACACTTCAACATAAGACTTACAGAGGCCATAGATGGGGGCAGTGGCATATGCCTATAATTCCAACATTCTGAAGGCTAAGGCAGGATACCTGGAATTTAGGACTTTAAGACCAACCTAAGCAACACAGAGATCCCTTGTTAAACAAAAAAAATCAAAGGCCACAGGGAATCTATGATAGATCAGTTAGGTAACACTTTCCATTGCAAAAAAGAATACATGCTCAATCATGTGAAGGCAGGTCTTCCTTTTCAATTTTCAAACCTTGTTTTTGAGAGGGGTGGAGGGAAGACAGGGTACTGCTATGTAGTTCAGGCTGGCCTTGAACTCACTGTGTATCCCATACTGGCCTCAACTTACAGCAATCCTCCTGCTTCAGCCTGGAATTACAGGAACGTCTGACCAGTTTTTAAATCTTAAAGCAACAGAAAACTGATCGGTACTCCGTGATAAAGATATTATAGTAACCCTATCTTGACGTATTCATTTTGTACTAAAATAACTGCTACAAAGTGTATATTGGCTCTAAGTAACTATATTAGCAGCCTCACCCCAAATCTCCTTAACCTCTGAATGCTTCAGATTCCAGGATTACAGTTAGTTTTAGCACAAAAAAAAAAAAAAAAAAAAAATCAAGAAAGCTGATGAAGGGATGATGGCCCAGTAGACCTTGTGTAAGACTCCATAACCAAAAAACAAGTTTTCACCTGGGAGTTCAGCTATACAACTTTAAAACTTGCTTCTGATTGCTGGGAGTTTCACTGATAGAGAAAAAGAATCTGTGAAGAAAGCCATTTCCTATTCCCTTAGCCATAGATCTCAGGCATAAACTTTATGGTTATTCAGAAGTGAAGTCAGATCTCCCCAGTGGTAGTTCTGGAGACCTAAGGCTGTCCAGTAGAAAGCTGTCAGACCTGAGTCAGTCCCAAGGCACTGTGTCAAAGGCATTCATACTTCTCCAAACATCAAAGAAATCCCAGAGATGAACACCGGGAGGAATAAACAGATCAGTCTGTGAGTACTGACCTGTCTCCTGTTTACAGCATCAGAAAAGCTGACACAATAGCTGTTGTTCCAGAAGCCCGGTACTGCAGTCCTAACAGGAAGAGGCCTGAAGAACTCCAGGGAGCAGTCCTTTGCATCAGGCTACAGCACTTAATTTTTATCACAGGAAAAATGAAAAACAATGATTCAGTCTTTGGCATCTCCCACTCCATCTGCATTGATGGCAAACATGGCTTCAGCTTCAGGAAGACAGGGAGAGTCGTAGATCTTGCAGATTCTGGTTTCCCCTCTTCCTTTCCTCAGGTACAGCCTGATCCAAAGACACAGACCAAAATATCAAGTTGTTACAATTCTATTTCTGACTGATAGCTTTTAAAAATTAGAATATTTATCAGTTTACATACTTCTGAGGAGGATTTTTAGGAATTTTAATGCACTTCCAACCTATAGGAAGATATGGTTTTTTTTAAATCTTTTTATCGGTACCTAGGATCAAACTCACGACCGCCTGCTTACAAGGCAGGTGCTCATGCCGCTGAGCTAAATCCCCAGCTCCAGGAAGACATTTCTGTCCTGATCTCTCTCATTAGAATGCTCATATTGAAATAAACTTTTTTACAGTCAAAAGAAGCACATCAATTATTCATACTCATCTTCCACAAGAAAGGGTGTTTAATTCTTTTAGGAACTAAAAGCAAACACTTCTATCAACAAAGGCAGCACAATTACATTTAGCTAGAGTTCCTAATTGTTGGTTATACAACAGCAGCTTTATAGGGCTTATATGGAAAGTTTTATCTTCATTTCTTTATCATAGTTATTGTGACAGTCACTCCAAGAAACAGCATCTATACTGTTTGTTGTGTGGGTGTGTTTTTGGAATTTTTTTTAACTTGAAAGAGAAAAAAAATTTCAATACAATAGAGGGTAACAACAGTAATATATAATGTTATCTTTCAATTAGTTATTTAGAGTACAAGATACCTGCATTTCATTATCTAAACAATTAGCACAAACCTTTCTTTCCAGTGAAATTAGTATAACTATCTTAATTATGTTTTACATACTGTTATAGTTTGTGTCTAAACATACCAAAGCCTCATGCAGTCATGGTGGGGTGGTCCTTTCAGCCTTTGTTGTCTAGAGCTGGGTTGCCTGCGAGTGCTGCACCCACACAGGGGCAAGTAGCAGCATGCAATATAAGGAAGGAAAGTAGGCTTTTCCCTTTTGCCCTGTTTTGTTGCTTGCAGCCGTTATGAACAGTTTGCCCCTTAGCCATGCCACCCTGTCTTGGAGCCAGCTGAATATGAACTGAAATCTCCAAAACCTATAAGCTAAAGATACCTTTCTTTCTTTCATTTTGGGCATCAAGTATTTTGTCCCAGCAATGAGAGAAAAGCAATCAATACACACACATTATTTCTTTCATCTTTTCACATTAGGGAGACAATACAATGTTCTTACCTGGTTGTTGATGCATGAGCAATGATGTTTCCTCCAATAGGTTTTTTAGGGTCTGCAGCAAACATGGCTGCTCCATCCACTTGGGCTACCACCTGGTTAGTGATTACCACAGCTACTCCAAACTAATGGGGAGAGAGGGAAAGAATATCAGTTTGGCGGCCATTGACATTCCTGGAAACTTAGTGGCCACCACTTCCTCCAACAAAGCAATATTTCTCAAAAGTAATTTGATGTTATTAAGCACTAATATCTGACCTCTTAGCAAGTAAGGCTCCTGAAGGTAGCCGCTCTGCCCTCCCCGGCAGTTTACCTCATCAGCAAGTCGCAAAAGCATCCGAAGAAACCTGGCCAAGTGCATCTGCCTGGCTGAGAGCTCTCCTCGACCTGAGTAGTCTGTTCTGTACAGAGCGGTGGCACTGTCTACAATAAGCAGTGCATACCTACAGGGAACAACAATTCTCTGAAGCCTCTTTCTAGCCTGTGTCAGATTCTGCTCCCCTCCTCATCAATAAAATCTCAGATTGTTTCAATTGTGCAGAATATAGCTGATTTATAAAATACTGTCTATCATTCACATTTGACTCACTGTTAATGAGTTGTTTTTTCTGGTGGGGATAGGGATTGTGGGATAAGGAAGTGTCTTCTGCATGTTCAGCAAATATTTCACCAGTAACATTTACTTCCAGCTTTGGCTTTTTTCTTTTTTTTCAGTGTATCTTTCTTTTTGGATTATGAGACAGGGTCTCACTACGTAGCCCAGGCTGGCCTCGAATGTCACAGCAATCTACCTGCCCCAGCCTTCCAAGTGCTGGGATCACAGGTGTACCACTATACTGGCAGCTTCATTTTTCATTAGTGATTTGACCTAAACTACAAAATTGGAACTACACTTTAACTCTGCTGAGCTACTCAGGAAAAGGGCTCTAAGCTATACAAGAAGAGGCCCTTTAGTGCTTTTATTGTACATACCTGGACTCGACCATCATTGCTGATGCTTGATAAAGGAGCTGGGTCTGGTGGTCTGTGTTGAACCCACGAGCATACGCAACATTATCCAAGACATCACTGCCAGAGAGACCATATCTAAAAACAACATTTCAACAACATTTTTCTGCATACATGACTCAAGTTGATGAGGAAAACATCTCTAACACTTAAAATTACCAAGATGGATAGGTAATTGACGCTGACTGCTTTTAAGCCCAAGGTATAATTCCCTTTGTATTAATAAATTCAGGCCAGCTATCCATTGAGAGATACAGCAACTACTTTGAAGTAGATCTATCTGGCAATACTTTAGTATAAATTTCTTCTTTGATATCCCAGCCTGGGCAACTTAGCAACTTAGGAGATCCTTTCGCAAAATAAAAAATGGGTTTTGGGTATATAAGACCCTGAGGTCAATCTCCAGTACTGAAAAATCAAATCAAGGATGTAAAGCAGAAAAATTCATGAGATTTATGTACTGTATTGTGTAAGTCTTCTAGTTTTGCCTCAAGAAATATTGGTACATTATATAAGAAATCCAAAATACACAGCAAATTTAAAAGGTAACAGGAAAAATGGAAGAGAACCAAGAGACAGAGGAAGCAGGGAGGAGAGAAGACAAAAACCAGTTTAGATGTTTTGTACATGCATCAACTCCCCACAAGAAATGCTATTACACATTACAAACATGTACTAATAAAAAAAAATTAAAACTGGAAAAAAATGATATAATTTACTATCAGGCAAAGAGATTATCTTCTCCTGATACAGATGGACAGTTTTCCAGGAAAACAGAATTATCCTAACTCTTCTCTCACAAGACTATGGAGATCGCTATGTTATGGCTTCAGATCTTGGAAAATGTTAGCTGGAAATAGTATATTTTCTCATATTTTATGACCTTCCTTAACAATTAGAATAATTTGAATTACCTGTGAAAAAACAAATTCAGGGGCATAACCCAGACTCAGTGAACCAAAATGATATAGGAGGTCTGGCCAAAAAAAGAATGTATGTTTGACAAAATATCTCACATTATTCTTAACATGTAAGTTTGAAAAAAAGCTCTCAGCTCAAAGGAGTTCTGTCATTCTCTCATGGTACAAAGAACTTTTAAAAGCTGCTAATGATCCTCTAGCTAGCAACTGTAGCCATGGCTCTTAAACTTGAGCGAGCACTAGGGGTTACCTAGAGAGCTGGACTATATCCCCAGAATCTCTAATCATTTTTAATTCAGCAGCATTTCTAATACATTCCCAGGTGAGGCTAATGTTGTTGTTCTGAGCTGCAGTAACCTTTGATTTATGGCAAAAATTAATCAGTGAGGGCCATGGATGTAGCTCAGTGGCACAAGAGCCTGCCTGGCAAATACAATGTTCCAAGTTTGATTTCTGGTACAAAAAACAAAAAGAAAACTTAGTGAAAGCTGTTCTGAATGGAAACTAGATTAGCCTATGGAGGCCCAATTACTTATCAGATCAATTAAAAGTAAAATAAAGTTATAAAATTTTTTTTGCTAATGAGGTGGCACATGCCTGTAATCTCGGCAGCCTAGGTGGCTGAGGCAAGAGACCCTATCCCAGTAAGTGCTGGAGATGTAACTCAGTGACAGAACACATGTTTATTTTGCACAAAAGCCCTTGGTTCAATTGCTAGTAGTGTGTGTACATGTGGGATGGGGGATTCTTAATAGGAAGTGATTAAAATGATAAGTGAAAGCTGGGCATGATGGCACACACCTGTATATCAGCACTTTGCAGCTGAAGGATTTCAAACTGGAATGAGACTTTTCCGCAAAATAAAAGCAGGTCAGGGATGTAGCTCAATACCAAGGCCCTGAGTTCAGTCCTTAGCTCAGCAAAATTCTACAATGTGGTCTTGTGTTTCATTGCTATCATGCAGTATATTTGAGGCTCATCTATGGAGTGACATATGAATACTTAGTTTTATTGCTGAAGAACAGTCCACTGTATGGATAAAACATTTTTATTTTTTCATTCACTATTTGGTAAGACACATGGGTTGTTCCCTAGATCTGGTTATTACAATTATACTAAAATTCATATAAGTCTTTGTAGGAAATGTTTTTATTTCTCTTGGGTTCATAACTAAAATGAAACTGCTGAGTTATATGGTAAATTCCTACTTTTTTTTTTGTCAGCACAAGGGATCAAATCTATATCCCTGCACATGTTAGGCAAGCACGCCAGGCTCCATTCCCATCCCATGTTTAAAACTGGCAAGCTATTTTCTAAAGAACTACTTTACACTCTCACCAATAAAGTATGAGGTTCTAGTTTATCTCTATCCCCCTCAACATTCGTTACTTTTTCATTATAGCTATCATGGTGGGGGTGAAATGCTAGCTCATTATAGTTTTAATGTGATTTTCCTGATGCTTATTGATTTTGGGTATTTGGTCCACGTATTTAGCAGCTATTTGTACACTCTCTTTAGAGAAGTATTCGAATTCCTTGCTAAGGGCCGGAGATTTGGTTCAGTGGCATAAGCTCCTGCCTCGTGAATATGAGGTCATGAGTGTGATCCCCCGGACTCCCCCACCCCCAAGGAGAAATATGGTTTTTTTAGGGCCAGGGATTTAGCTCAGTGGCATAAGCGCCTGCCTGGTAAGCACAAGGTCATTAGCTGGATCCCTGGTACCCCCTGCCAAAAGTAATCAAATTTCCTGTTAATTTTTAATTTGGGTTTTGTTGTTGGGCTATAAGAGTTCTTTAGAAATCTGTGCTAAATACTGGACTATTACCAGATATATGACTTGCAAATTTCTTCTTACATTTTCTGGGCTTTCTCACTTTTTTGGGGGTGGGAGGACTGAACTATATCCTCAGCTATTTTATAAAAGTTTCATATTGTTTTACTTTTATGTAGTAGGTACTGAAACCAGGGCTGAGCTACATTTCCATTTTTTATTTTTATTTTTGAGATAGAGATTAAGGCCCTAAATTGCCCATGCAGGGCTTGAACTTGCAATCCTCCTGCCTGAGCCTCCTTGAGCACTAGGATTATAGCTGTGCACCATATCTAGCTTATTTTTATTTTTTGAGACAAAATCTTACAAAGTTTCAGGCTTGCTTTACTTTTTAAATCCTCCTGCCTCAACCTTTCCTCACTTTCCTGAAACACAAAGGTTTTTAATTTTGATGAAGGGAAAACTGACTTTCACATTCTATCATGGATTGTGCTTTTAGAATACACCACTATATTCCAATGTCTCTATGATTTTGAAGGTTCTAAGTACTTCAAATCAGTAAAAATCATAGTGTATTTGTCCTTTATCACAAGTAATTTTGTTTGCCTTTGATTTTTGTTTCATGTAGTTTGGGGTTCTTGTGGTGTGTGTACACTTACAATTACCGTATTTCTTTTTGTTTTGTCTATCTGAGACAGTTTCGCTATGTAGTTCAGGCTGGCTTTGAACTCTCAGGTTGGCCTTGAACTCAAGGCAATCTTCCTGCTTCAGTCTCCTGAGTGCTGGGATTACAGGTATGAGCCACCACACCCACTGTGTTATATCTTCTTGATGAACTGATACTTTAAAAATTATATAACTGGGCTGGGGATATAGCTCAATGGCATCAGTGCCTGCCTGGCAAGTGCGAAGTCATGAGTTAAATCCCCGGTTTAAAAACAAAACAAAATAAAACATATATATATATGATATATATATTTCGTTTTATCTCTAGTAAAACTTTTTGTCTTGAAGTCTATTTTGTCTAGTATAGCCATTCAATCTGTTATGATTGTTTACATGGATACTTTTTTCCTTCCTTTTCAAATTATTTTTGAGTTGCAAGTGTTTCTCTGGAAGACAACATGGTTAGATCTTGTTTTATATCTAGTATGGCACCAACTCACTGTAGATTAAAGAAAGTCATTCTTTTGAACCATACACATAACTGCAATATAGAGTGATGAGACATTCTTCGTCAAAACTGTAGCAATCAATACGGTGGTGGATGCGGCCATACTCTCTCACTGAATTTAGTAACCTACCTCTCAGCCACTGCTAGGAGTCGTTCTGGCCTAAAGGTACCCTCGGTATCGATGTACATGGCCTTTCCTTCACCTCCACCTCGGTCAATGGGAAGCTAAAATGGAAAAAAAAAAGGAAAAACTGAAATGATCATATTTGTTAGAGTTGATCAGTTTCCCCATGTTGTGTCTATAATCTCTCTATAATTCCTTGACAAAGGAAAAACAAATTGAAATGACAATCAGAGGCAAGGAAGCATTCCTTTTTGACAGAAATCCAGTTAGTAGTAGACATAAAGATCATTGTGTCTCATAGCACATGCATGTTTAGGGCCTTGTCAGAGTTACACTGCTTAGAAATACAGTTCAAGTAGTTAATCTATGAAATTGTGACTCAATGCTCAATTAATTCCAATATATCCAGATCAAACTTCATTTTACTGAGCAGAGTTCATTCCTGAGGGTTGTGAGTGTTCTAATGGGGCCTGTCAATGCCACAGAAACATTCTTAGCCAAATACAAAGAACAAACAAGAAAGAAAAGGGAGTTGCTTCAACCCCATACACAAATGTTACAGAAGAACAAAAGAAGAGAAGGGAAAAAACAGAAAAAAAAATTTTTTTTGAGGCAGGGTCTCTGTAGGTTATTTCAGCTGGCCCTGAGCTCACTACCTAGCCCAAGCTGGCCTCCCAGCTTGCAGGCGAACCTCTGACTGTCTCCCATTTTGGGATCACAGGGATGTATAACCATGCCCAGCCCAGAATTGTTTTTTAAGAAACAAAGAAAGAAATGTTAGCAGGTAAGATGGGTAGCACTGCCAGATAATGGGATGTTTTAAAGTCTGTGACCTAACTGTAACTTTCACCTTTATGTAACTTAAATGAACTGAGAAAATCTGAAAAATGACAGCAGATGTTAAGATTTAAACAGCAATCTAATATGTCCTATATTTCTGGTTCTAGTACTTAGCCTGATGAAATATAATTCTATTATTATTACTAACTTCTTCTTCTCTGGAACAAATGTCAAAGATCATAGTTGTTTTTCAACATAGCCACCTGAGAATGTTATTTTTATAAAGGCCCATGTTTCCTTAAGAATTTTGCTTTAATTTGTTGTTAAGAGGCATTTTTTGACTATTTAGTAAACATCCCCAAGCTAGGATTCTATCAATTTTAGGGCATTGTGATAGCCTAAGTTGCTACAGCAATGAAAGATACTGTGCACCATACTCTAAATATTGATTCTATGTGAATCCCTGTCAAAATAGCTGTGGCAGGGGCTGGGTCTAGTGATGAAGCTCAGCAAATTAGAGCACTTACCTACTATGTGCAAGGCCCTGAGTTTATCACAACACGAGGAAAACATTTCTATTTTAAAAGGCCACACATTTAATGATGTATGTCAGAGTAATTTTTTCCCCAGTGTTAGAGACTGAACCCAGAGCCTCACACAAGCCAAATAAGGATTCTACCACTGTATTCCCATAGGGTTACATTTTACTTATTTTGCAGGACTGAGGACTGAACCCAGAGACTTCGTGCTAAGCTACATCTCAGTCCTTCTAAAAGGTCTTTATTTTGAGATAGAATCTCACAAAGTCATTAAATTGCCCAAGCTTGCCTCAAACTTGCAAAGATAATCTAAGAGAAGTAGACCAGGTAATGGGGATAGAGTGTAACCTAAAACATTTGTAAGGGACAATAGCTTCAACAATTATGTAAAATGTAGACTAAAGGAAAGGCGGTAAAACTAGTAGAGCCCTAGGGGACGGTAAGAGAGTATCTGAAGTTAAGTGAATTCAAAGTTTCTATGATGTAGAAGAATACGCAGAAATCTACCCAGCTATAGGATTCTTGAGGACAGAGACAGTGTCTATTACATACATCCTAACAGATTCTTACCAACAGTATATGTCAGCTAATCCCTGATTTCATTAGCAAGAGCCCCAGAGCTCACCTGGCATGTAACAGCCAGTGTGTGACAGATTTGAGTCTTCCCAGTTCGAAATTCTCCAAACATTTCTGTGATAGATCCAGTCTCAATTCCACCTAAAAGAGCAATAGGAAGCCCTTTTTATACAAGGATTTATAAACTATAATCTCAGACTTTTCAGAAAGATATTTACGTAAGCTGGAAACCCAATTCCCAACAGTTATTTGGTAAAAACATTGTTATTATTATTATTATTACTATATTATTTTGGTTTGAGACAGGGTTTTACTATGTAGCCTACACTGACCTCAAACTTACAGTGATCCTCCTGTCTCAGATTCCTGAATGCTGGGATCCAGTTACAACTTTTTTGAAATAATTACAGATTTAGATATATAAAGAAGGAAATGTGCACTCTTTACCTGGCCTTCCCCAATGTGAACATCTTGCATTGCTACCATATACATTTATATCAGACTGCTGAAAATAGTATAATCTGAAGAGTTCATTCAGATTTCTCCAGTTATACATACATTCATGTGAGGATGTATAGTTCTGGACAACTTTATCTAATGTGTACCTTTATGTAACTATCACCAAATTCAAGATTCAGAACTATCCCATTCCAAGTCACTTAAAAACAGCCATTTAAGAAGATTGTTAAGTAATACCATCAAGTATTTACTATATGTGTCTGATATACCTGGTATTGTGCTTTGTACTATTTAAGACAGGGTTTCAGTTTATAATCAACTGACCTTGATCTTGTTATCCTACTGCCTCAGCCACTTAGTTGCTGCGATTGCAAGTGTGTACCTCATACCTAGTTTTTCATTTATTTTTTATTTTTGTTGTGTGTAATTTTTTTTTTTTTTTTTTTTTTTTTGAGATGGGGTCTCGCTATGTAATTCAGGCTGGCCTTGAGGTCACTTTGTAGCCGAGGCTGGTCTCGAACTCTCAAGGATCCTCCCACCTCAGCCTCCTGAGTGCTGGGATTACAGGCGTGAGTCACCACGCCCGGCTGAGTGTGATTCTTGAATTGATGATATTCTGTACTCCCACAAGGAAGAAAAACCTGAATGATTGTGCTAGGGCTTGTATCTAGATGGCCCTCCCAAGCTTCATGTTCCTGTAGGGGCACTTCTCAGAAGTAACTAGATAACGAATGTGTTAAGTATGGATTAAAGGTGTTGATAACTAAATTAGTCCACTGACTGATTTAGCATACTTCTGGATGTGGAGGAAGGCTAGATGTGGGTGGTACTAATCAATAGGCTTATAGCCTTAGTGGAACAAAAATGAAAGGGAGGCTCACTGTTTTGCTGCTTCCTGCCTGCCACCCCCTGAACTGTTTTTCCTCTACCATGTTGCTCTGCTTAGAGTAAGCTGACTATGCAGTCATCCTCTACAAATTGTGAGCTAAAATAAACTTTTCCTCTTTTATCATTGGGTGTTGGGTATTTTGTTCTAGCAACAGGAAAGTAACTAAGACAATTAGATAAATAACTCAATCTAACTTTATAAGAATTAAGATAGCTATGCTTAAAAAAAAAAAAGATAGCTATGCTTCCAATAGTTCAAAAACTAATTTTTCTTAAAGTCCTGAAGGTTAGCGTGTCTTATAAAATAAGTAGTAGTCACATACTGTTTTTTTGGGGGATTGGGAGTGGAGCTCACTGGTAGAGCACAAAAGAACTTTTTTATCCCAAATTTGTGCGTGCGCACGCGCACATACACACACACACATACACACACTTGTACTTTTTATCTAATCCCCAATTTTTAAATCTTATGGTATAGTATGTTACATTTATAGTTATTGCTTTAGGTAGAAGGAACCTATCATCTGGACATTAAATGGAGATTAATTATTTAATTTGTAGAAGCCTGTTATGGCACACACCTATAATCCCAGCACTTAGGAGGCTGAGGAGAATCATCATGACTTTGAAGTCAATCTAGGTTACACAGTGAATTCAAGGCCAGCCTGTACTTTATTTGTGTGTGTGTGACCTGAATGTGTTGCTGAATAGTTTACAACATGAAATTAAAGGCCAACTATACCTTGAAGTAGTTTGTCTAGCTCTTTGGACCCAGTAGTAATCTGTATGATCTCTGATCGCCTTTGGTGGAATTCAGTTGCAGTGGTAAAACCCATTGGAACTAATTTAGCTGCCTCAGCCTGGGGGAAAATAAGAAATGTTAAAGCAATAAGATACAAGTTGAGTAACCCTTATCTGAAATGCTTAGGATCAGTTTTTTTTTTTTTTTTTTTTTGAGACTGTCTCACTATATAGTTCAGGCTGGTATGGAGATTACTATATAGCCTAGGCTGGCCTCGAATTTTCCACAAACCTCCTGTCTCAGCTTCCCAAGTGTTGGAATTTCAGACGTACATTAGCATGCCCTGCTAAATTTTGGAATTCTTACATACAGTGTACCAGCTGAATATCCTTAATCCAAAGAGCTCCAAATCTTAACCCTTGAGCGTCACACTGGGGCTTAAAGTATGGAGAAGCTGGACATGGTGGTGCACACCTATAATCCCAATACTCAGCAAGATAAGGCAGGAGGATTGCTGCAATTTCAAGGCCAGCCCGGAGTGTTTAAGATCAACTTGAACTGCACAGCAAAATCCTACAATGTGCCAGACAATGCCAATGTAATACATATTTATACCTAAGTTCCTGTTCTATCTACTACAAACTATACACTACATACCCTAACTCCTTACAAGAATATTTACCCTTCCATGTTTTCTTCCTTCATGTTTACTTCACTAGCTCTATTAGCTGAGGCTGAAAAATTTGTGCCCTATTTAGTAATCACAGATGTCTTTTATGATAGGGTCAAATCCCAAGTACTACAAATAAATAATAAATATTTTTTAAAATGCAGGAAGCTAGGAACGGTGATATGTGACCATAATCCTAGCAGTTGGGAGGCAAAGGAAGGATTGCTGCAAGTTCAAGGCTAGTGTGGAGTATACAATGAGCTCAAGTTCAACCCAAACTACAATGTAAGACCCTGCTCAAAAACCAAAATAAATAAATAAATAAATAAATAATAAAAAAAATGAAATGCAGAAGTAGGGAATAGCTCAAGGATATCATGTTTGCCTAGTACATGTAAGATCCTGGAACTGATCCCTTTATTTAACAATGTATAAATAACAAATGCAATCACAAATATGTAGAAATTAAACCTCAGGGGGCTGGGGATTTAGCTCAGTGGCATAAGCGCCTGCCTTGCAAGCAGGCAGTCATGAGTTCGATCCCTGGTACTGGTAAAAATACCAAAAAAAAAAAAAAAAAAAAAAAAAAAAATTTTTTTAAACCTCAAACTCCTCAATAATCACAAGTCAAAGAAAAAGTCACAAAAGAAATTAGAAACTATTTTGAAATGAATGAAAACAAAGACAAGAATGACAAACATCTAATTACACTGACCAATAACAAGGAAGCCTAAAAGCTGCTAAAATCTGGATGAATAGAGAGGATGTTACTACCAATCTTACAGAAATAAAAATAATTTAATTACAAAGGGACTACTTTGAATAATTCTATGTCAACAAATTAGGTAGCTTTTAAATATAATTCACTACAGAACTCAGTGGTGAAATGTCTGTGATCTCAGTACTTAGGAGGTTGGGCAGGAGAACTGTCGCAAGTTTCAGACCAGCCTGGACTACAAAGTGAGCTCAAGGACCCCCTGAACTGAATAGTGAGACACTGTCTCAAAAAGACCAAAAAAAAAAAAAAAAAAAAAAAAAAAAAAAAAAATAGAATTCTGATACATGCTTACAGTTCCAGCAGTTAGCAGGCTGAGGCAAGATGACTGCTATGATTTCAAGGCCAGCCTGAGTTACATAATGGGTTCCAGGCCACCCTAACCTCTATAGTGAGACTCTGTCTAAAAAAAAAAAAAAAAAAAAAAACCAAACCAAGACCAAACCAAAAAACAATTCTTTCTCTAATGTTCCAATGTTACTAATGCTTTGTCTTGCAATGGTCCTCATTTTCAAATCCAAATTGATTTTTTTTTTTGGTCTTTTTTGAGACAGGGTCTTGCTATGCAGTTCCGGCTGGCCTTGAGCTCATTTTTTGTAGCCCAGGCTGGTCTCAAACTCGCAATGATCCACCCACCTCAGCCTCCAGAGTGCTGGGATTACAGGCATGAGCCACCATGCCCGGCAAAATTGATTATTTTTTAATTGGCTACCCGTTTCAAAGCCATGTTCCACGTTATCCTTCTGTATACAACATTCTCTATCATTTATAAAGTTTTCCCAGTCTCTCAATCTTACTAGGTATTCTTCTTTATGTAAGTCCCCCTTTCTACCTGAGATCCTCATTACCAAGGCTAGGATGGAGTTCACTGTTATAGTGTGCTGATGACATACAAGGTCAGGATCTGTTGTGTGCACCTGTAAATAGTAGTAAATAAATAATAGAAATTCTCATTTGTTCTCCAACCAAGTCTGTGTGCTTCTAGGCTTCTATTCTGGGTGTTCCTTCACTGAGTATCTGAATTGAAGCCACTCTAAACTAGATTCCATTTTTTCTTTTTCTTTCCTTTTCGGTGACACTGGGGATTGAACCCCGATGGCTACACCATTAGCCTCCTTGCTCTAAAAATTTTTCGAGGCAGAGTCTCCACTGGTTGGCCAGGCTAACCTTAGAATTATGATTCTCCTGCCTCAGCCTCTGAGTAGATGGGATTCAGCTATGCACCACCATGTCTGGCTAGAATCTCATACATGCTGCACAAATTACTTCATTCACAATCTTTCTTGGTTATTTTGATTATACTTTTAAAATGAAAAATTTTTTTCTCTTTGGATACAGTCTTGTTTTTCTACTGCGACAATGAATTTTTTTTTTTTTGAGACAGTCTCACTATATGTATGGAGTTCATGCTGGCCTTGAACTCACTATGTAGTCTTAAATGGAAGCATACAGAAAAATAAAAGACACATTTGTCTACACTACTTTTACTTAAACACTTATTTTATACATTCAAAATAACTGATGTGATTTCTAAAACTCAGATCTGATGGGGGCAAAAGTGAAGATCCAGTTACTATCTGTTCAGTCACAAAAACTGATGGCAGAAGAGTGAGATCATATACCCAGTAGGGACCTCAACTGGCTCAGTCAATATTACAATCTTTTAGCAAAGTATTAGGAACTTAAGAATTTTTTATTTACAATTAAGCCACTACTCCAACAACACATGGATAGCAATATCTATTCACTCTTTGGGGTCAAAGAATCACCTATAGTTTTTAAGCACTAACTGAATTTTAGTACTAAATAAATATTTGAAGTAATAGCCCTGCCAGTGTTTAAAATTCAGCACTCTTAGTTTTAAGATTATCTAGTCAGCAAGGTCCAGGGGTATATTCTTGTAATCTAGGCACTGTGGGAGGCTAAGACAGAAGGACTGTGAATTGGAGCCCAGCATGGGCAACTTAATGAGACCTTGTTACAAAGCTGGGGATGAAGCTAAGTGTGAAGGACCTGGGTTCACTCCCAAGTACAAACATACAGAACCAAAACCAAAACGCCCAAGAATATCCACAATCAAATAGTATGGGTTACATATACTAATGTATGTTGAGATTTTTTTTTCTTTCTTTCATTTTTTTTTGTCTTTTTGAGACAGGGTCTTGTTATGTGGTTCAGACTGACCTTGAGCTCACTTTGTAGCTCACGCTGATCTGGAATGTGCAACAATCCTCCTGCCTCAGCCTCCCAAATACTGGGATGACAGGCATGCACCACCATGCCAACTAAGGATGCATTCTTTTTGAAGGTTCCTTAGCTTTAGAAAAAAATTTCTCTAAGACTGTAAAGGTAAGCAGTATAATATAGGTAAATATAATTGATATTTAGTTTATCCTATGTAAAATTTCAAAAATAAAGCTAGGCTGTGGGTACAGCCCAGTGGTACAACACTTGCTTAGCATGGGAGTCACTGATTTTTATCCCAATTTCCAGGGAGGGGCCCTTTTTTTAGTGGCACTGTGGATCATACTTAGGTCCTCACGTATGCTAGGCAAGTGATCTATTACTGAGGTGTATCCCCAGCACTTTGAATTTTTTTTTTTTTTTGTAGTATTGGGAATTGAATCCAGGGTCTTTTTAACAGTCCTTTGTACATTGTTGAGGCAGGATCTCATAGCTCAGACTGGGCTTGAACTTATACTCCTACCTTAGTCTTCCAGAGTACCAGGATTACATTATGCATGACTATACTTGATTTTATATCATTTAAAACCTTATTTTCAGCCAACTTCACTAAGTTATCCAGTTTGGACTAGAATTTAGGATTCTCTCCCCTCAAGTCTCCCAAGTTACTGAAATTAGCTGGGGATGTAGCTCAGTGGTAGGGAGCTTGCTTATTATGGGCAGAGCCTTGAGTTTGGTCCCTAGCACTAAACAAACAAACAAAAATGCAAAATTCAAATAGCTGGAATTAGAGGCTCATGGTACTATGCCCAGGTGAATGAATATATTTCTAGGATATGAGATAACATCTAAAAAAACCACATCAATGTGTTTATCCTATGTATCCTACATAGCAAGGCATCAGCCTTTGCTAGTGGAAATTTAGATTGCCTGTCAGTTTGGCAACATTTACACAAATTCCATAATATAATTCTCTACAGAAAATTTGAATTTATGCAATGAGACACACATAAAGATACAAAACTGGTGATGCAGTCACTTTTAGGAATGTCAAAGAGTGAGGGTAGGAGAAAGACTATCTTTCAATATATAGGGATTTGTACTATCCCTACTAATGCCTTCTAGCTGTACTTACCAGAATTTTATCAGCTTTGGCTTCACTAATTCCCTTTATATTTATTAACTCCTTCTTTGGTGCATAGGCAACAGCTTCCACAGTATGGAATCCAGCTTCTTCTAATTTCTTCACATCATTGGCATTTATGCCACATTGCTGTAAGTAAAGAAAAACATGAACATTTCTTCCTTTTTTTTTTTTAAAGAGATAGGGACTCTATGTAATTCTGGCTGGCCTTGAACTCACTATGTAGTACAGGCTGGCCTCAATCTCACACATCCTTGAATTCATTATGTAGCCTAGGCTGGACTTGAATTCAGGATGATCCTCCTGCCTCAGTCACCCAGTTGTTTGGATTACAGGCATGCACCACCACATCTGACCCAAACCATGGAAATTTAAACATAAATACTATGTAAGAAATTATTCAACTGTTCATTATCAAAGCAAGTAGTATTAAACTAGCACTGTCTCATGTGTGTGTGTGTATATATATATATATATATATATAATCAGTATGGGGGATAGAACTCACGACCATGCACTTGCAAAGCAGGCGCTTATGCCGCTGAGCTAAATCCTCTTTCTCGTGAACTCTTGCTCAGTGTGGCAGCACATACCCACAATCCCAGCTACAATACTCAGAAGGCTGAGGAAAGAGGATCCCAAGTTAAAGGGCATCCCTAGGTACCTTAGTGAGGCACCGATTCAAAAATAATTAAAAAAAAATAAAAATAAAAAAGGCCAGGGAGGGAGCTCAGGCACCTGCCTAACAACTACAAGGCTCTAGGTTCAATCCCCCATACTGGAAAACCAAACCAACTCTCCAATACGCTGGGCACAGTCACACACGTTTGTAATCCCAGCACTTGGGAGGCTAAGGCAGAAAGATCTCTGCAAAGATCTTGGAGGCCAGCTTGTGGTACATTTAATTCGAGGCCAGCCTGAACTACATAGCAAGACCTTATATCAAAAATAAACAGATAAGTAAATAGAAAATAGAAAAATTTAAAAAATTCTTATTAGGAATTGAGATGAAATCAGTAACTCCTAACCTTCTCTGACCATGACGCTAAATGAACTCTGACACCTTCGGCTCTCTCAAAGGCCACACTGTAAGACTGATTCACAAACCTTCCCACATTAAACACAAGACAGAAAATGCTATTTTTACACTGTGCCAGGGCAAAGAAGTAAGATACTCAAAGTTCAAAGAAGCACTATCTTGGTGTATTGATATCTTTTCTAACAACTGACATTGCCAAGAGGGAAAACTATTTTGCTTGGACCACTAAGTATCACCTTAAAAAAAATTTGTTTTCTTTGCCTTTTTGAGACAGGGTCTTGCTATGTGGTTCAGGGTGGCCTTGGGCTCACTGTGTAGCCCAGGCTGGTCTTGAACTTGCAATGATCCTCCTGTTTTAGCCTCCGAAGTGCTGTGATTACAGGAGTGTGCCACCATGCCTCACCAAAATAATCACTTTTAAACCACTTCTCCAAGAAAACTACACCATAGCAACTTTTCTCCTTATGTACAAGGTTTGCTTTAGTTTTGTTACTACTGAAATCATGAACTGAGATACCATGAGTTAGTGGAAAGAACTCTGGTTCCTTAGTTGTCAACAGAAAACATGTCTGCTGTTAACACTGGAATGATAGCCATAGCCATCTGTGAATATAAGGATGTTCATGGAGCTGGGCATAGTGGTACATGCCTGTTAATCCCAGCACTTTGGAGGGCCCAGCCATGGCAATGTCCTGTTTTTGGTCTCAAGTCAAAAAAAAAATTAAATAAATAATTGCAATTTGTTTATCACAAATCCATTTAAGTAATTTCAAGAGCTCTGAAACTTTGTTGGTAAAACATGCAAAAAGTGATAGAAGAATCTAGCTTCCCATCCTACTTCTTTCAACCCAAATCAACTGTACTAACAGTCAGTCTTTTGTGCAGCAAAATACTGGAAAGTCTCAGCTCTTGTGCTTTGTGTTCTTAAGCAGTCACAAATTTAAGCTAGGCTTTTTTATACCTTAACCTAAGTCCAGGGGGCTGGGGATTTAGCTCAGCAGCATAAGCGCCTGCCTTGCAAGCGCATGGGTATGAGTTTGATCCCTGGTACCAATAAAAAACAAACAAAAAAACCCTAAGTTCTTTTTCTTGCCTATGACAATTGTTTCATTACCTGCTGCAAGGATATGTGTCAGGAGAGGAAAGGTACTTCATTTTCCCCCCTATGTAACTAGTTGAGGGCCACTTTAATTCTCCAGACAGTACTTTCACTATTAGTATAAGCAGCGCTGAGAGTCTACCATGAAATCTTAGGCTTTAGTTTCTAACAATTAACGTCTGAGAAGGAAAAATGATAAAAGTAGGAAGAAAATTACTGATAAAAGAACTCTGGCCAAATGTGTCTAACAATAATCTTAAGCCTTTTCATGGAGTTTTTAATTTTTTTTTTTTTTTGTCTTTTTCATTTTCATTTTTATGGGTACCGGGGATCGAACTCACAACTGCCTGCTTGCAAGGCAGGTGCTTAAGCCGCTGAGCTAAATCCCCAGCCCTTCATGGAGTTTTGGACAATGCCCCCCAAGCCCTAATTTTTTTAAGGTACTAGGGGTTGAACCTAGGTCTTTGTGCATGCCAGGCAAGTACTGTACCACTAAGCTATATCCCCAGCCTTTTTTCCCTTTAATTTTCTGATAGTCTCACTAGGTTGCCCAGGCTGGGCCTGAACTTGGCAATCCTTTTGCCTCAGCCTCCTACGTGATGGAATTACAAATGTGTACCACCATGCCTGGCTCTAATTTGGGTTTTGACCTTAGTAAAAAACTATGGTTTGTATAAAGATTGATATTATCCATTAGATAGAAGGATCTAATACAGCATAAAAAGCCAGCAATTAAGAATGTACCTCCAAGCTGGGCATCATGGTGCATGCCTATAATTCCAGCACTTAGGAGGCTGAGGCAGAAGGGTCGCAAGAAGTTCAAGCCCAACCTGAATCATAGAGCAAGACCCTGACTAAAAAAAAACAAAAAACAAAAAACCAAAACAAACACCATACCTCCAAACGTGAAATAGGCTGTGGGCCAAAGCTTTCTTCATCCACTGAAGTGTCTGCACTTGCTTCCAGCTGCATCTGCATGGCCATTACTAAAAAACACAGATGGCCATAAACACTAGGGAAATACTGTAGGGGCCAGAAAGACCTCCTTATCTACTGGTTCTGCATCAAAGATTCAACCAAAAAAAAAAAAAAAAAAAAGAGAGAGAGAGATTCAACTAATTGTAGATTGAAAATATTTGGTGTCAAATGTGTTTGAACTGAACATGCACAATTTATTTCTTGTTATTATTACCCTCAATATAGTACAACAACCATACAGAACATATGCATTACATTTAGCTATAATGAGCAATGTAGAGATGATTTAAGGTATGTGGGATAATGTATCTAAATTATTTGCAAAGATCAGTTTTATATAAAGGAACTGAATATCCTCACATTTTGATATCTGGATGGGGGGGGGATTCTGGAACCAGTTCCCCAAGAATACTAAGAAACAACTCCACCTGATAAAATGACCTATCATAGAAGGAAAAAGATAAAACCTCTTCTCTACCTAGCCAGCTAACTGTATTAGAAAGACTTCCAGAAAAGCCAGACCCATTCTGCTTCTTACAAATGCATACCTTATGAGATTAACTGTCCCCTGTTCTACTGTTTTATATTCCCCAGAGGATAGGAGCCCAGTCTTTTTTATACATATCCATAATACATTATAAATGTTAGGTGTTTGGTAAATGCATGCAGACTTTCCAGGACTAAAATTTCAAAAAAAAAAAAAAAATTTTAGATTGATGAAAAGTTACATTGCTTCAGCTCCTCTGTTTCCTTCCAGCAAAAGGGTTGAGGGCCAAGAAGACAATGAAATTAAGTATAGAATGGTTGGTCACATGATAAGACATGGACTGAGATAAGCACCTGCCATCCAAGGCAAGGGTTGTAGCTTGTGGTCCAAAAGGTGTGTTTCAAATTTGAGCGTCATTATTTTAGTCAATTTCCAACTTCAGCGAACAAGCAAATGATAAAAAAAAAAAAAAAAAAAAAAAAGAAAAAGAAAAAGAAAAGAAAAGTACCCTGCTTGTTCTGAAATACTACAACTAAGCGTAAGGCTAGTTTGACAGTTATGATAGATTGAAAAGAACCAAGAACAAAAGATTTTAAATTATCTTCAAGATGTGTTAGTAAAATTCAACAAGCCATGTTCATAAGAATAAGTGGATCTAAAAAAAGAACAAATGGATTTAAGTCACATAAAATGAATCTGGAAAAATACAGACAAATTGAATCTAAAAGATGACAAATAGACTTCATTTCTGGAGACTTGACAGAAGATATGAATGTCTGTTTTTGGCTAGTTTAGGTAAAGATCTCCTGAAGGACAGATTTAGCATGCCTTGAGCTGGTGACGATAAATATATCAGAATCCTTGAATGAAATAGTCCCTCTTATTATTTATGAAAAAGCAGAAGAATGGGAAAGCATAGTCTTTTCAATACATAGTGCTGACTAACCTTACACAATAAAATGCACTTGACCTCTTCTGCACCACAGAAAAAAATCAACTTCCAATTTAGATTATATGACTTCACCAGTAATTAGGAAAATTACATTTAAAACCACACAGCTAAAAATTAAAGACAAATATTATGTGTTGGCAAGTACGTGGAAAAACTAAACAGTCAACATGGAAAATTTAAAAACAGTCAAAGTTAGCTCTTGGCAATAGAACTCAATACACTGTTTGCTACTTTTCTCTCCGAAAATATCAGACAAGTGTGCAAAAGTTAAGGCATTACACTCTTTTTTCTTTTTAAGACAGGGTCTCGTTAGTGGTTCAGCTAGCCTAGAACTCGGGGATCCTCCTGCCTGTGTCTCCCAAGTGCTGGGAATAGACATGCACGCCCGTTGACAGGATACCGTTTCTAGATCTGAGTAAAGGACTCATTTCATAATGATTCGTGAAGCTGTACACACTTGTAATCTGTACACTTCACATTTTGTGAATATATATCATTTCACTTTGTAAGTAAGCGCTTCAACACCCAGTGTTACTTCAGATTATTCTCACGCTTTTGCCACACGAGATGATGAAAATGATCTTTCTGGAACCGAAGGCGGGCACTAAGTACAGCACAGTGTCGCAGGAGAACACGACCCTGGGACCCAGATCCCTGGCTCCAAGGGGAGCAGCTGTGCCCGCCCCCTGCTCCCCAGATCTGGGCCTCCTCGCTCAAGCCCCCAAAACAAGCGTTGGCCGTGAAGGTCCGCAAGCTCTGAGGCTGTGCGGCATGGACTTCCCTCACGGGCGCTCTGAGAAGCTAGGTTGGACTGGCCTGGCTCAGCCATCTTTAGTACCTCGGCCGACGCAGAGGGGCCTGCGGCAGGCAGCGGACGGCCGGGCCGGGCGGGTCCAGCGGGAGACCGACGGCGGCGCAGGGCCAGGGCCGCGCTCACTCACCTGGATCACCGCGCTACTCTGCCTTGGCCCGCTGGCTACGCGCCCAACACTGGCGGCTTTACAACTCCTTTGCTCAGTTTTCTGCTCTCCACCAAGAAAAGTCTCGGCTCCAACACTAGCGCGCGGCGAACGGCGACTTTCGGAAATCCCGCCAAATCGTGTCGGGCAGGGCCACGCCTGCGTCAGCGTGACGTCGTGCTGCCCAGTTCGGGCCTGCCTTCTAACCCCTTCTCTTTCCGAGTGAGAGGTGGATCCGAGGAATTTGAACCGGCGTCGCACTGAGGATTATGCTCCTCCCTTCTCCCCTAAAGACTAATTAGAGTTTTGTCACTCGTTGTCTATCAGCCTGGGAACTACAAATCCTAAGAGGCAACACGGCCAATCTCCCAAGATGCACCGCGCACAACCCGTGGTCCTTCCCTGCGCGAGCCCGGCCTCCATGACCTCTTCCGGGATTGTTCCTGGAATCTTAAAACTCAGCCTCTTAGCCTTGAGCTTAAGTTTCGTTGAGGTGGAGTTTCCCGGCCTGAGGAGCTGAAAGGGGTGGAGAAACTGCATGAAACTGGGCATTTTATTTTGATTAATCATTGGATACACAAATGTGTTGTTTCTTTACAAGGAATATTTTACCATAAAAAGGAATGAGAGCAATCAATATAGCAACGCATGCCTGTAATCCCAGGACTCTTAAGAGGCTGATGCGGGGGGCTCAAAAATCTGGGTCAATCTGGTGCAATTTAAAGACACCTTGTCTTAAAACAAAAAAATTTAAAGGGCAGTGATGAGTGTGCCGGCTTTGTGTGATGCTCTGGTTCAATTCCCACGACTACCGAATAAAACTAAAAAGGGATGAAGTACTGATCCATACTAAACACGAACTTTTAAAACAGTACGCTAAATGAAAAAAGTCAAAACATTACAGAAAAACTGTTCTATCCCACTTCTATTAAGTACCCAAAATAAACAAATCTATAAGGAGAATAGGGTGTTTAAGGGTAGGATGGGAGATGAGGTAAAAAGAGGCCATTACCTAAGGGCAAATGGTCTTTTTTCGCTGTTGTAAAATACACGTAACACTTATCCTAATGACTTTTTGCTTTGTTTTGGGAGAGGGTAATGCTATGATGCCTCTGAACCTGACATCCTCCTGCATCAACCTCCCTGGTGCTGGTATTATATGTGTGGTGCCGAGCCTCACTCATTTTAACTACTTTCATATGTATATAATTTATCAGGGTTAAATATGAACATATGATTGTGAGACCAATCTAAGAGTCTTACAGCTATATTTTGTATTTAGGTCGTTGGTCCATTATGAGTTAATTTTTGTATGTGGTATAAAGTGTCTAATTTTATTCTTTTTATCCCTTCAGTGATGGCGATTGAGCCCACAGCCTTGAATATGATAGAGGAGCACTCTATAACTTATCTACACTCCAGCCTACAATTTCATTTTTTGTAAGTGGATATCCAATTTTCCAAGCACCATTTGTTGAAAATTTTGGATGCTGAAAGGCTAAAATTAATAGTGATGATAGTTGTATACATCTTAAGTATACTAGAAAGCATTTAATTGTGCATTTTAAATTGTGTATTATATATTAATTATACTTCAATAAAACTCAATAAAGGAGAAAGCTTTTTGATTCAGTAGTTTTGTGATAAGGCTAGCGCTGCCTGGACTAGGAAGCCAACAAACAAACATACAAACTAGCCAACTCACAAACAACAATTAAACAAACTAGCCAGCAAACAAAACAACAAATAAAGTTTCATGGGAAACAAGACATGCCATACTAATGAGTTTAGAAGTCTTTTAATGGACTTAATAGAAGAATAGATTCCACTAGGTGCTGTTGCTTTCTGAAATTTTATCTGAAATAGCATTTCTGAAAGGGACAAAAAGGATGAGTAGTTTGTAGACAGACATGTTTCTTTTTGTTGTTACAGAGATAGATTCTTGCTGTGTTGCCTAGGCGAGTCTTGAATTCATGGGCTTATGTGATCCTCCCACCTCAGCTTCCCTAGTAAATGGGATTATAGGCATGCACCAACATGCCAGCACCTAACAGATACGTTTCTACTCTAGAAATATGTGCTAGGCCAAACTCAAGAGAACTTAAAAAAATCATAGATCTATAAAATGGAAAAATGGCTAATGTGTTTGTTGGTGATAACTTCTCTTAGAAGTTACTCCTTAGCAGTTATACTAAGCAGAGAGTGCAACTTTGTTAGAGGAGATTTCTTACTACTTATTTAAGTTTGGATATGGAGATGAACCAGTTGATTAGCAGATTAATTGAGAGCATTCATCAGCTCTGACTAGCCATTTAAAAATTAACCTTACAAATTAATGGTAACATTGTCAGAGGAATGTTACTAGGCTTCTTTGATCTAAAGACAAACACCATGGAGACCCCACGTGTGTATGTACTCTTGTTTGGTTATTATAGCTCTTGTTCATGAGTCTAGGGATAGAAGTGGCAGTCCTGAAGTAGATCTTGGGAAATACGCTTGACTACATTCTTCAAATAGTTGTCCTCTAATGGCACTTTAGATATAATGGAAGCAATTTCATCTTGGCTGAAAAGAAGAAAAGGTTAATTAGTTTTTCTGGAAACTTATACATGTCTCCAATTCATTGCTACTCATGTTCTTAGGTACAGTGTGTCTCAGTTTCCTAGAAGGCACAAACAAGACATTTCTGGACATAAGCAGACTGTCTATTTGAAATGGGATCTTAAAATATGCTGAGAACTAATTCTGAATGTACTTGTCTGGTAGTGTGAGCCATTTGCTTTCTTTAGCTATAAAATTTTAACTGCTGGTACTTGCTGATGGATTTACGGTAGGCTTTCCTAAGTTCTGCCATCTCTCAATCTGTCAGTAGTGGATCTAAAAAGTCATAAAATACATCACAACCTATAAGAATGAGACATTTTTAGGTTTGCTTGCACAAACTGATTGAAAAAAGGTATTATAGGGCTGGGAATATAGCTCAGTAGGTAAGCACCTGCCTGGCAAGTGCAAGGTCCTGAGTTCAATTCCTGGTACAAAAAAAAGAGAGAAAGAAAAAAATAGTATGAACATTTCTTTTTTTTTTTTTTTTTTTGTCTTTTTCCTTTTCATCGGTACCGGGGATTGAACTCATGACTCCCTGCTTGCAAAGCAGGCGCTTATGCCGCTGAGCTGAATCCCAGCCCCCATGAACATTCCATTTTAAATTAAGGCCATAAAATTGTTTCCCTATGATCTGAACTAAATTTTTTTCTCCTTAATTCCTGTTCTAAGTGTAAGTGAATTAAAAAAGTGAAAAGTATGTATAAAAGAACATATTTTCAGCTGGGGATGCTGACAGATACCTGTAATCCGTGCACCCAGGAGGCTGAGGCAGGGGAATCACCACAAATTCAAGGCCAGACTGGACTACATAGTAAGTTCAAGGCCAATATAAACTGCATAGTGAGACTCTGTCTCAAAAACCATAAAAGGGACCAGGAATATAATCCAGCGGCACAGTACCTACCTGGTAAGCTCGAGGTTATGAGTTTAATTTTTGGTAACAAAAAAACCAACAAAAAAGGAAACAAAACCAAAAATCATTCTCAGGGATAGGTGTATGGCCCAGTGGTAGAGTACTTGCCTAGCATGCATAAGGCATAAGGTTCTGGGTCGGATTTACAGAACTGGCAAAGGAAAAAAAGAAAGAAAAGAAAAGAAAAAATAACAGTTCTTATGACCCATTTGCTGACCATTTGAAGGGATTTTTGAAATGAAATAACAAATGTGAAAGAGTAGTCGATCTTATCCTGCTGGTCCTTTACTTACCCAGTGTTCCCCAGGTGATTTTGAATGGTAAAAGGTAATGGGACTAATGGATAATTGGCAGAGAGAGACAATGTTATCTCAAACTTTGCAAATGCCACAGAGCTGGAGAATAAAAGCCTCAATCTGTAAAAGACAAGATCCACAATTAAAAATATAAAACAACAAAAAAGACTGAACCAACATATTTTCCATTTCACTGGCATCGGAAACTTAGTATATATTATTTCTTGTCCTTATCAAATGGAACAGAAGCTAAAACATCCAGTATAAGGTAGTTGAATGGGATTTTTTTCTTTCCATCTGTTACTCTTGAAGAACATTAATAAAATAAATTATTTTACTAAGTTCTTGACTCCTTACTTAATGCTATGGGTGGAAATATATGCCCTAAAATTTGTTTGTTAAAGTCCTAATCTCCAACACCCAGAATGTGACCTTCTTTGGAAATTAGGTCATTGTCAATTTACTTAAAATGAGTTTTTATTGCGGTATTGTTTGTAGGCCCTACTCCAATATGAGAGGTGCCCTTATCAAAAGGAGAAATTTATACAGATACTCAAGATGGAAGAACGTTATGAAGGTAAAGGCAGAGATCAAGAGTATGCATTTATAAGTCAAAGAAGGACAAAAGTTGCTGAAGAAGCACTAGAAATTATGCTAACGGGTAAGACACATTTCTCCCATAGTCCTTAGGAACCAACCCTAACTGATCAAACCCTGATCGTGGCCTTTTAACCTCTAAGGTTAGGTGATAACCTGAGGTAGTAAGTTTCTCTTGTTTTACCCAGTTTGTAATACTCTGTTATCACTACCCCAGGTGACTAACACACTTACTCAGTATTATTCACATATATGTCCATTAGGTTATAATTTGGTCCCCATCTCTTTAAAAACTCAATCTCTTCTCCAAGAAGTCTGCAGTGGCTCACTACCAGCGAAAGCTCCTGAAGCATCTAGAAAAATTATGGAGTGTGTGTGAGGAAATTACAAAAAAGAATTTCAATGTTTAATGGCTCTTTAATAATGAGCCCTCAAAGTTAAACTAAAGATATATGTTATGTCAGAATACTATTATATGCACAGAAATTTATTTCTGTTTTTATGAGACAGGTAGCACAAATTTTCCTTTAATGGCTTCAATCAGACTTTACCTTAGGTACCTGATGCTGTGTTGTACATTTCTTCTTCCAGGATTCCTGTTCCTCAATGTATTGAAAAATAAGCTGATGAACCAAAAGGGAGGAAGAAGGAGCTTTAACTTCTGAGAAAGAAAAAGAAAAAATGCAAAGGCAGGGTATTATTTGGCATTCATATATTACATAAGCTAAAAATACTTTATTTTCTAAGCAAGAAATACCTTCAAACTATTAGGGATCAAGGTGTACTCGTCATTCTTATTTTCAAACATAATTATATATGGTATACAAGACATCCCTACAAAAACTCCACCCTTTATCATGTGCACAATAGTTTTGTAAAATTTTAATTTTTTTATTAGTATATGTTTACAATACATAATGATTACATTGATCATGGGGAGGTAGAACACGAAAACAACGCATCTTCACTCTTATTTTTCCTTTCCCACTTTCCACCTCTTTTGAGACATGGTCTCCCTATATAGTTCAGGCTGGCCTTGAATCACTATTTGTATGCAAACCAGACTGGCCTTGAACTTGTTGTGATCCTCCTGCTTCAACTGTCTGAGTACTGAGATTAAAGGTGTGTGCCACCACAACTGGCCTCACATGCAGAATAGAACTTGCTTAAAAGCATAAATTTATGATTGGGAATGATCTCAGTGGTAGAAGGCTTACTTAACATGTATAGTGCCCTGGGTCAATCAGCAGCCTCACAAAGAACAAGCATACACCGGAACTCAAATCCTGATTGGCTTGGTTTTTAAAAAACTACTATTTTTCTCTTTCTTTCTCTCTTTTTTGGAGCCAGGGTTTGCTATGTAGTTTAGGCTGAATTTGAACTCACTGTGTAGCCCAGAGTGGCCTCAAATTCTGGTGATCCACCTAATCTCAGTCTGAGTGCTGGGATTACAGATGTGTGCCACCACACCTGGCTCTTGTAACTACTTAAGTAATTTTAAACACAACATTTAATTTTTCTGATCTGTAGTTTCCTATCTTGTAAAATGGAAAATAATACCTCAACATTAATGTAAATAATACACATGCTCACCAGGCATGGTGGCACACACCTGTAATCCAAGCACTTGGGAAGCTGAGGTACAAGGATTGCCATATATTTGAGTTGAGCCTGGACTATGTAGTGAGTTCATGATCAACATGGATTACAGAGCAAGACCCTATCACAAAAAAAATAAAAAATCAATCAACCAAACAAAAAATACATGGTAATTTTCAAGCTAGGGAATACCTATTATTAGTCACTGCTCAAAAATCTAATAATAAGTAATTTCTTTCCAGGGGTTTAGCTTAGCGGCCTATGTACCTGCCCTGCCAAGCTCAAGGTCCTTGGCACCAAAAAAAAAAAAAAAAAAAAAAAAAGAATCATCCTATAAACTGGGTATAGTGGTGCATGCCTATAATTTTAGCACTCAGGATGCTGAGGCAGGAGGATCATTGTGAGTTTCAGTTTGGGCTATATAGTGAGACCCTGTCTCAGAAGGTAAAAAGAGAGGGTAGGAAGGAGGGAGGGAGGGAGGGAGGGAAGAATTTCAGATGAGACTGGGTGCATTCAGGCTGGTATGGCCATAGACAGGAAATTCGATATTTAGAACATTACCTAAGCAGATTGATATCCAAAAACATATTTTAAGGACAAATTATTGTTGTTGTTGTTTATAGTTAACTTATTATGTGAAAGAGTTACATCAATAAACAATTACTTTATTATTTTATCTATCTATCTATCTATCTATCTATCTATCTATCTATCTGTATGTCTGTCTGTCTGTCTCTGTGCTAGGCACTGACACCAAGCCCTTGCACATGTTAGGCAAGTGTCCTGCCATTAAGCTGTGCCTCCAGCCCAGAAAATACAATTTTAAAGTATCAATAATCCTCTATTAGATCAAAGTTAGGATCTTTGATCTCAAGACTGCGATGAAACAAACTATCATACTGTGAAAGCCCCACTGATCCAGCCTCTTGGGGACTTCTGAACAGGACAGATAAAAGAGTATGAACTCAGCATGACTCAGTACATCTGGAACAAGTCCTGATAATGTATGTGTTTTTCTGATTCTAACTCTGGTTATTTCTTGAGTTTTCAAGCATTCAAAACATCTAACATTCACTGAACTAAGTAAGTTTGAGAATAGTAGCCAGTTTAGGGATTCTTATATCAAATTGTGTCATTTAAAAGATGACTGGAAAGCTCAGTATAGCTATTTCTGGCCCATGCTCAGTTATGAGGACAGCGATGAATTCAAAAGCGAATGTCAGGGACTCAGAGGCCTAAAATTATAGATTACACTAGGTTGGCTAAATCCTAATAAATAAATGACTCTGGTCCTGACCCCAGGCAAGCAAATGACCCTCCCTTACATGTTTTGTTTTCTCACGATGGGGACATTGTTTACAACTTAGGAGTAGCTGACAAGGCTTTTGGAAAACTCTAAAACAATTATGTTTACTCTATAAATCAAATTTCTATCACTAATTTGTATCATTCTCCATAAGAATTAACACAGAAGCTGAGCATGGTGGTGCATGCCTGTAATCCCAGCACTCAGGAGGCTGAGGCAGAAAGATTGTTTCGAGTTCGAGAATAGCCTGGGCTACAAATACAAAGTGAGCTCAAGCTGCATAGCAAGACCCTGTCTTAAAAAGACCAAAAAAAAAAAAAAAAAAAAAAACCAGAAAAAATAACACATGAGTTTAATAAAGTAAAGGTTCAAATTTTAAAAATTTTTTGGTTTTTGGAAAATAGCATTTTATGGTATATTAATGCTCAAAAATTACAAATTAAAATTTTAAAAAATTAATATTATTGCTGGACACAGTGGTATGGAACATGCCTATAATTTTAGTTAATTAAGAAGGTGAGGCAAGAGGGTCATAAGTTTGAGCCTAGCCCAGGCAACATAACGAGATCCTCATTTTAAATCATGAGATCATCTGTGGTGGCACGCTCCTATAATCCCAGCAATCAGGAGGCTAAGGCACAAGGATTGTTGCAAGAAAGCGCCTCATTTTTAAATTAATTAAACATGGCAAGCATGAGGTTGTGAGTTTAATCCCTGGTACCAAAATAAATAAAATAAAATAAAATAACATAACAGAGAGATGGAGGAAAAAATAAGTGAGAAAAAATGAGAGTAGATTGAAAGCATATAGTATATATATAAATATAAATATTAGGCATATAACTGAAAATATTAGTAGATATCTCTAAGTGGTGGAGCCACTTTTTCGTTTACTTTGCAATCACATCTTGAATTTTCTTTTTCTTTTTGAGACAAGGTTTCACTATGCAGTTCAGGCGCACCTTGAACTCACTTTGTAGCCCAGGCTGGCCTCAAACTTGCAGCAACCCTCCTGCGTCAGTTATTTGAATGCTGGAGTTATAGGTCTGTGTCAACAGCTGGGCATGAACAGAATTTTCTTAGAACAATAAATATTTTACTGTAATAGTGATAAAAACAAAAGGAAATGCTCTATTACTTAAATACTTTTTGCTAAAAATAATAAAAAAATAATAAAAACTAAAAATTTTGCTAAAAAATAATAAAAACTAAAAAGTTATAATTATCAAGATACTATTACACAAAGTAAATATCATATACAAAGTTAATCTTCATTTGTAACAAAATCTTTACATTTTTTGAACATTACCCCTATAGTCAACAGGGCTGCATTCCTGCTGATGGACTGGTAAGAGCTGATCATCTCCACATGCAGGGAAAATGCAAACCCACAAACAATGTCATAATACCACATAACTTGGGAGAAAGAGCCTAGGAAAAGTATGTTTTTCAAAGCCCCAGAGTAATACACCACGTGTCTATAAAATGGTTCCTCCTGAATACTAGTGAACACTGCACCTGTTTTTCATCAGTCAGTTCTCGTTCATGAGTAGCTTCTTCTGCCAGCTGCTGGGGACTGTGCAAAGTTCTTGGTAAGGCAGTTATCACCATACCCTGGGGCAAAGCAGTAGTTGGAGCCCTGATCTGGTAAGCTGGCATGTCACCTGTGGTCAAAGCCATGTGACTTGAGGCAAGTCAGTTTACACATCTTGAACAACAACCTGGCTGACTGGAACTAAGGAACGCTGTGTGGCATCAGCTGTCCACACTGTGCACTATACAACTGTAGCACCTGGAGGAGGAAAGCCTGAATGTGTCATGGTTAATGCCTGAAGTACCTAAACACCTTCATCTCAGGACAGAAATCTGGGTTGCTCCACCTTGGGCTATAGCTAATAGAACTCAGGGTCCACTCCTCTCATGGCCCCTTAGTGCATACATGGAGGTCTAATGCCTAGCCCCCTGCTAGAAGCCTGCATCAAGGACATAAGGAATAAAAGCAGGAATAATAGCAGGCTAACAAGAAACAATTTATACCTATAAATTACTAACACTTTTAGGGCTTTAAATCAAACTTACCATCTAACAAAGACTGAAAATTCAGGTCAGCAATCTTCCTGTCAGTCTTTTCCAGGAAAGGGACACCAGCTAAGAACCAGAAAAAAGAACAGTATTTCTTTTTAGTATCTTGTTCTAAATTACATAAAACTCAGTACTTTAAAATCTTACCCAGATTCTGGTATCAGGGTTTCATCATGATAATTGAAGGTATCCTTGAATCATACTTTTATCTGTATAGGTAGATTCTCCCAAGACTGCTCAACTAAATATATCTATATCTATATCTATCTATCTGTGTGTGTAGGGGTTTTTTTTTTTTGTTTGTTTTTTAGATTGGGTCTTGTTATGCAGTTCAGGCTGGCCTTGAATTCACTATGTAGCCAGGATGGCCTCAAACTCACAGCAATCTTCCTGCCTCAGCCTCCTTGAGTGCTGCGTTACAGGTGTGTGTCACCACATCCAGTTTGCTCAACTATATTGCTTAGTGGGCCCTTGAAAGAAATTTAAAGTGTAGAATATAGCTACATTTGTTAAGGCTTCCTTTCACCCCTAATTTTTGTGTAAAGGTAATTTTTTTCAGGAACAGCTATCATTTCCCCACACTTATCCCTGAGTGAATACAATAAAAATAAGTTTTAGCATTGCTCTGATGAAGTACACGTAGCCAGGATAGTAGTTCACTCCTCCAAACTCTAGAGTTATCTTTAGTCTCTTAAATTCTGATTCTTTTCACTTTGTTGAATGGTTTGCAGCTTTGCTTTTTACTTTTTCTTTCTTTAAAAATTTTTTAAATTTATTTTTTGGGTTTTTTTTTTTTTTGAGACAGGGTCTCACTATGTAGTCTTGGCTGGTCTCTATACTCACAGTGATCCTCCTGCCTCAGCCTCCTGAGTGCTGGAATTACAGGCATGCAATACCACACCTGGCAAAAAATTTTATTTTTAAGGGTGACATTTATCCCCTTTTCACAGTAAAACCAGGTAGAAGAGAATGATTTTAACAATTAGGAAAAAAGTATAAATCTGGGGCACAGCTGTTAAAAGCTATTTACAACAGAAAAATGTACAAAGGTGATACAAGATGAAGCAAGGGGAAAAAAAGGAAAAATTCAGTACATTCAAGGGTTTACAGTTTACATAAGACATTTTGGTCATTAACCTAAGATAAGAGTAGCACAGATCAGATTTTCAACAATCACTACAGCTACAGGGAAGAGAGGAAAATGCTACAGAAAGATTAGTCGGAATATAATTGAATTCATTTGAATTAGAGAAAAGTGGACAAATATTTAAGAAAGTAAAATCAGTGTGTCTTAGCTGGGTGGTTGCTCATGGCCTGAAATTATTAGCACTTGGAAGGTGAAGGGAAGAAGATCAGCTGGCTAGAAGTACACAGCAAGTTCAATGACAGACTCTACTATATAATGAGATGCTGTCTCAAAAAACCAAACCCCCCCAAAAAATAACAAAAAGCATAGATACATTTTGTTGATTTGGACAAGTACAATGAGGGAGAAGGAGATGCAGGGTATTTTTAAATTTTGGACCTATACAGAAGGTGATTTTCATTGAGAAAAGTAACTTTTAAGAATAAGGTTGAGACGCTGAAAGACTGAAGTTCCTAAGGTTTCAATATGGCTATGTTCAAATTGACAAGTTATAGAAGAGACTCTAAAAAACTGTGAGGACTCTTTCTAGTTACCTGATAGTAATTCTACCTACCTTAATGAACTCATTTATATACATAGGAAATAGGAGTTCCAACTAACTTTATTGGCCTTTTCCCTACTAGTACAGATTGATTATAGGCAAATATGCTACCAAGAGCTACATCACCAAACCAGGGCTGCAGTATAAAACATCCAATTAAAAGTCACAAGCTATTGAAAGTAAATTCTCTATCACAGGCAAAGATGAAAAAAAGGAACTCAGAGTATTATTAAGGTAGCAAAATCTTATCATCCAATATGAATAACAAAGGGCAACCTTCATGAGTTGCAATTTCATTTCTATTTTTATTCCCCTCCCCAATCTCTAGGACTAGAGATGGAAATTTTGCACTGGATATATATTCCTGTTCTTAAAAAAGTTTTTTTTTTATAATTTTGAAACAGGGTTTCTCAAAGTTGCTAAGATTTGAATCTTCAGGGAGTCTAATCATTTATTTTTCTGCAGAGGGTTATCTCACTTTTGCTACTTACCTACTGGCTCTCCAAAGGTGATGGTGAGTTCTATGGTATCATAAACAAAGGTAAATACAGCTTGATCATCACTCCACTCAATGACTTCCCACTCAGACAAGCTAAAGAGAGAAACAGAAAGAAAAGCATTCTTTTGTAGTAATTAAATTGACAGTAATTAGAATTCCTGATATCACTCCAACAGCACCAACAGCAGCTGCTACTAGATTTGGAGATAACCAATATTCCAATTCAAATACTGTGAATATACAATCTATGCTTTTGCAAGAAATGAGAACTCAGCTCAATTTTTTTATTTTATTGTTTTTGAGACGGCATCTCACTATGTCGTTCTGCTTGATCTTGAACTCACTTTGTAGCCAAGGCTCAAACTTATAGCAATCTTTTTGCCTCAGGCTCTTGAATGCTGAGAATACATAAATACCTCACAAAGACCAACAAGAACTCAATCTTGAAAAATAAGTTTATACAGTGAAAAGTTTTAAATTCCTGATGAATGTGACATTATATATATCAAAAGAGTGCCAATAAAATGTAAAAAGCGAACATTTCCATAGCTCTCCTACCCTTATATTTTCACCTCCTTGTCAAGTACAGAAACTCTTTTAGAGACTGTACAGTACCATATTATAAAAACTTGTATCAGCTGCTGGGCATGGAGTTGTATATCTTAGTCTAGTTACTTGGGAGGCTGAGGCAGGAGAACTTGAGCCCAGGAGTTCGAGAGCATACTGGGCAATATAGTGAGACCATCATCTCAAAAACAAAACAAAATAAAACCCAGGAAATCTATAGGAACACATAAAAATATATAGCTGCTCCAGGAGGCTAGGATAATCACTAAAACATAAAATATAATGTAGACTGATGACACCTGATTTCCTTACCTCAAATGATCCAGTAGTTCTTCAGTTCTATTTATTTGTTTTTGCATAAAATCTATCTGGGAAAGGGTTTGTTCTTTCTGTGCCTCCACTTCTAAGAGCTTTCTGTAAATAAAACCAGACATTCGTAGAAAGAGAACGTCTTCGTTAGAGAACTTAGACTATAAACAAAAAGGTTCATTATAAGAAGTCATTTGCTATATAGTCCCAGGGATGTAATAATATTTTGTTTTGCTAATCATTAATCTAGAAGTAGATTAACTTAGGAAGAATATAAATCATTATTTCTCAAATTAGGACTGCTAACAGTATCAGAGGGATTCCATATTGTATAAGATAATTATTGGAAATTACTTTTTCAGTTCTGATGCAGCATAAAGTAGATAAGGATGCCTACCTTAAAAATGAGATATATCATACATTCGTTGCCTATGCACTAATTTAAAAAAAATTAATGTTGACTGCAATTTTATAGGTTTAGTCAAGATTTATATTTAATTTCTTTTAGTCTTATAGTTGAACTAATTCAAAAGCCTAACATGCCTTTTTTATACTTGTACTTATCTAAGAACAATAAAAAATAGTTTAATGCTTAGTTTAACTTTTTAGAAAACAATTCTGACAGTATTTAAGCTTGAGCAATACCACCTCAGAGCAGAAGCCCTGAGTCAGGCTTAAAAAAGACTCGTGCCTAAACTTGTCTCTAAAGGCAGGAAGTCAACATTGCATTTTTTTGTGGAGTTCAGCATCACATTTTCAAACACTCAGACTATAAGCTGACCTCTGAAGCTCCTCCTCTTCAGTTTTCAGCTGCTCTAGATCTAGGAAAAAATACAAAACAGAAAAGGACACATTAGAATGTTGTCACAACACATACACAAATTCCAAGCAGATGGTTCCTTCAATGTATTTCCTCACCTCTCTCTGCAGCTCTCATTTCAGAATCCCATTCTTCCATAGGCCTGTCTTTCTCTTCATCCTCCAAATTCTTAGCTTCTAAAGTAGACAGTATGATTTAGAATAACTCAGTTAAAGATACTTTACTAAGAAGCCAGAAATGGTGGTATACTCCTGTATTCCCATGAAGCTTAGGCAGGAGGATCACTGTGAGTTGAGGCCAGCTTGGGATACATAGTGAGTTCAAGCCAGCCTAAACTACATAGCAGTCTCAAAAATAAAATGAAGGGGCTGGGGATTTAGCTCAGCGGCATAAGCGCCTGCCTTGCAAGCAGGCAGTCGTGAGTTTGATCCCTGGTACCGATAAAAAAAAAAAAAAAAAAGAAATAAAATAAAAAAAAAAATTAATGTCAAAGATGAAATAAATAAAATTAAATGTTGAGAATATTTCACAAATACCCATCATTCTTTGCCAATTAAACTATGGTTCCATAAACACGTCTAGTGGCAGATTAGTAAGCTTTAAAATACATAGCAGTGATCTCAACAAGCATCTTCTCAGGGGCCACTTTGGGACACAATCTATTTATATACAATACATTTATACAATCTATATATGATATATTGGTATATATAAATTTATACAATCTATAAAATGTATATCATATATTCATATATAATTTATATTTATATATATGTATAACCAAATAAATGTACAGATATGAAATAGTCATTAGACAACATATATGGGCTACGGCTAAGTAGAAACACATACAATTTAAAATCTTAATTTGTTTTTGAAACCTGGGGTCATTAAAAGTGTATTCTCTCTTTATATCCAAGCAAGTTTTATCTAGGTGTAGGTTTTCTTTCAAAAATATCTTTTTTCTTCACCATCACCAGTGTCCCTTAATATAAACTTCTATTTTTATAACCAGATCAGTCCAGTAACTATATAAATTGGTTGAATTTACTCTTGATCTACTAAAATCCAATCTCTATAGCATAGCCAGTGCTTGAAATCCTATAAATGCTGTTACCGTTCTTAGAAAAATTCAAAACTCTTTAAAAGGCCCTCCTAGGCTTGGCTGCTAGTGATATATCCAGCTGTATATGTGTTCATCTTTCTTTCTGCTAAATTGGCCTTAATTTCAAAACCTTGTAGTTGATATACTGTGTCCCACATATGTCACAAATGCATGTGTTATTCATTTATTTTTATTTAAAAAAAAAGATTAAGATAAAAAGAGGACATAACAACACAGGTCAGAACAGAACAATTTAAGCAACATAGTGTTTCACCACAAGATAACCCGACATTTCCTTGAAATATTTGAGTATACCTTCATATACTATAGCATCAAACATAACAAGACAGTGTAAAACCATTCAAGAGAATGAAAATATTACAGGGTATTCAGAATCAACTAACAGAAAATGAACAATGTTACCATATTATCTCCTGGTCTATAAAAAATTTGTTTATACTATCACATATAATAAAATCCAATAAGATACAACATGATAAAACTGATGGAGACAGAAGAACAAAAGCTTGGTAGGACTTCAAAACAAAATGATATTAAATCATCACTAGCTATTATAGTGTCTTATTTTCTTCAAAATAGCTGTTTATACTATCACAGACAATAAAATCCAACAGCCCAGAATAAAACCATTCCAACTAATGAATGAAAACATCATAAGGTTTCAAAGATAGGGAAGGAGACAGGAGGAGTAAAACTGGGTGTGGTGGTGCATGCCGGTAATCCCAGTACTTGGATGAGGCAGCAGGATTGCTTTGACTTCAAGGTCAGCCTGGGCTACAAAAGAAATGAAACGAAGAACAAAAGAAATGAAACGAAGAAAAGAGAAGAGAAGAGTAATGAAATTAGATGGAAAGACTAGCCATGGTGGAAGGGATGGGGGATAAAGATAAAAGAATGACTAAAAATAGACAAAAAAAAAAAAATTTGGTTGTAGGAAGTTTGGAAATTCTAGTTTCAGGGTTTCTATTCTTTTACATGTGAAGCAGAAAGGAAGGTAATAAAGAGATGGGTTAGTCTAACATTATGGGATTTATATATGCATTGTCAATTCAATGTAGAATACACATAAGCATTTATTTTAAGCATAGCATATTAGGACTTTGAAGGATCTGAGAAAAATAAGAGCTAATACCCTGCAGCTTGTCTGTGTAGAGCTGATAGTATAATTTTATTTTATTTTATTTTTAATGGTACCGGGGATCGAGCTCACGACTACGCGTTTGCAAGGTAGGCGCTTATGTCACTGAGCTAAATCCCCAGCTCCTATAGTATAATTTTCATTGGGAGGACAAAGTAGACCAAAAACTTATAAGTTAATGTGACAGAACTATATGAAGTATTTAACAAAATAGTCACAGAAAGTCAATCAATAAAAACTACTTTCCTGTTGGAAACGGCAAGGTCAGGAGGCCTGGTGATGTAATTCAGCAACAAACTGCCTACCTAGCATGTGAAAGGCCCATGTTCCCATCCTCTGGAACATTCACAAAACAACAAACACAGAATTCGAAAACAACAAACAAATGGCAAGATTTGGCTGGAATTTAGGATGTGTAACTGAGTAGCAGCCAAAAAAAGGTAGGAAAGAAAGATGTGAACATGATTGGAAAGAATAGTAACTATCAAGATTAGGGATTCAGACAATTTTTAAGAAATAGGTATAGAGGTTTTTCAAGAGATAATATAATAAAAACTGCCTTTCATAAGTATTAATCTGGCAGCAATGTGCAGGTTGAGAAAAGGAAAAAAAAATACAAGAGATGCTGAAGCAGATATCAGAGGACTTAAAGAATCAAAGAAAATGACAGTGTTTAGTCTTTTACAATATAAAAGAATTGGGGTGTCATAAATAAAGATAAATTTTGTTCTGTTCATTAGAATTTAAGGTGCTTAAGAATATTTTTGCATATAGAAGTTCAGCAAGAAACTAGTAATATAAGACTGGACTCAAGAGAAAAATGTTAAAGATGTCCTTAACCAAAATGATTACAAGCTAAAGGGCAAAATCTGTCTTACACATCCTTATTTATTTTTCCTGATGCTAAGCACAGTATCTATTATGTAACAGGTACTCAAAAATGCTTGATTGATTTAACTAAATTTGGGGATTAGTTACATAATTATTAAGGCAGATGAAAGGATTAACAAACCAACAAACAAATAAAAGATACAGGTCAAGATGGGTCAGAGGTGAGAGAAACCAAATTTGATAATTATGTGGAATATTGTGGTCTAAGAAAGCAGCTTCAAGAAAGCAAAACTAACAAGGATTTATGAAAGGCCAAACTGAAAGGTTAGATAATTTCTTTCTGTTTTTTCTTTTTGAGATGGGGTTTTACTATGTAGTTCAGGTTGGCCTTGAATTTACTTTGTAACCCAGGCTGGCCTCAAACTCATGGCAATCTTCCTGCCTCAGCTTCTCGAGTGCTGGGATTACAGGTGTGCACTACTACGTTTGGCCAGACAATTTCAAATGGAGATAAATTCATCTTTTAAAGAACATAAGATTATGGTTTAGGTTATAAAGGCTTTCCAAAAGGGCTCATTATCTTGAACATTTCTTCTTAATTGTTGTAGGGGCTAGGGATTTAGCTCAGCAGCATAAGCGCCTGCCTTGCAAGCAGGCAGTCGTGAGTTCAATCCCTGGTACCCATAAAAACGAAAAAGACAAAAAAAAAAAAAAAAAAAAATTGTTGTAGATGAACATGGTAAAAGAGTTTTAATTTGTTTTAAGGTCTCAAATTGTTAATATGAATTCTTCAAAATAGTAACAGTAACAACTTTACTGTAGGGAAACGTTTAGATAAAATTAAGTATTATTTTAGGAAGGTAATTATCTATTTTCTGCGGTTCTGGGGATCAAACATTGCATTCCCACTCTCTAAGGGAAGTATTTAAAATACCTTACCAATTTCCATGTCAGTGAGACAGTTATCAATCTTCTTAAGTATAGTGTCCATCTCATCTATCCTTATCTGAAGTTTCTCCCTCTCATTCTAAACACAAAAAATTAGAGACTGTCAAATCAAACTACCACAACAATTGTTCAAATTGTCGATACAACTGCATTTTTAAACCACCAATAGGCAAATTTCACAATGGTCAAACTTTTAAAGGTGTTCTTAAAAATAAAAATAAATTTAATTAAAACCACAAACTAATTTGTACTATTCTTTAGCAATTCTATACATATCACATGGATATATTACTTAAAATTTGCATTTCTCTAAAAAAAGATATTGCATGCAACACTTTCAATACTTATTTTTCAATGGAAATGGAAAATTCCTTTGCATGAGCCTTTTCAAAAAGAAGATCATTTTGAGAAAGACTACTTAAATACATGTACATATGTATACAGGTAGGAAGATAATCCTATACTTTTTTTCTTCTTCTTCTTTCAATACTGGGCATTGAGTCCAGGGCCTTTACACTAAACTACCTCTCTACATTCCCAGTTCCCTACCTTTATTTTGAGACACTGTCTCAGTCAGTTGATCAGGCAGGGGTTGAACTTGTGATCCTTCTGCCTCAGCTGGTATGATAGTGGTTCACCATCATACCCAGCTAAATCTATAGTCTTTAGCAATAGCACAGGAAATTTTGTGAGATATACAAACACTGAGATGAGATAAAAACCCATAAAATAGTACTATATTCTAGTTTACTCAAGATGCCAAATTTTGAGTACTTAACCTTTTTATGAATAACTATTAAATTTTTACCTAAGTCTTATTTACATGCCTCCTAAGGAATATTCTTTATATTTCACAACCACTGTAAAATAATTTTAATAGCACTTTCTGGGTTATTGTCTCAAATTACCTGAGCTGACTGTACCAGCTTGTTGTACAGAGTCACTTTTTCTTGGTGAGTGAAGACTTTAGTCATCTTGGTAAAACGTGACTTTACTTTGTTAAGGTGAGTTCCAAAGGACTTTAGCTGAAAGGAGAATTAAAGCGACACTGTACTAAAACAAACCAATCAGAAATGCAAATGATGTGAGAAGGACAAGTAAGCTGCCACATGTCAGGCTTTGTCCATTTTAGACACTGATTTCCTAAAGGAAAGGGGGTCAATAATTCACTAGGCTGCCTAGGCTAGGCTTAAGACTGCCTCAGCCTCCAAGACTGCTGGGGTTACAGTTGTATGCTCAGCTTCCATTTCATTCTTTAAACAACATAATAAAGTTCACCACCTATTTGTATTATTTAGTAATGAGCTCTAGTATTACTTGGTATAGTCCCTGGCACATAGGAATTATTCAGTAAATACTTGTTGAATAAACAAATTAATTCTTTTTGTTTTTGAACCAAGAATTGAACTCAGGCCCTTGTGCTTACCAGGTAGGTACCACATCACTGAGCTATCTCCCTGGCCCAGAAAATTTAATTCTATGTAGTAATTTGAGAATGAAATCAAAGATATCAGGGATCCCCTGACCTTAGAATACTGGGGGTTAAACCCAGGGGCACTTTAACACTGAGCTATATCCTCAGAGCTTTTTGTTTTTGAGATAGGGTCTGGCTAAATTACTAAATTGCCCAGGATGGGCTCAAACTTGTGATTCTCCTGTCTCAGTTTTCAAGAGTGCTAGGATTATAGGCATGTGCCACCAAATATAATAAAAAAAAAAAAAAACACTTTTAATACATTAGGGCACATATAAATTGAGCTGCGTATTATTTAATTAGGGTAAACCTTTCTCATTTATATCTAAGTGAAGGAGCTGGAAACAGTGGTACACATCTGTAATCCCAATCCTCAGGAGGCTGAGGCAGGAAGACTGCTACAAGACTGAGACCAGCCTAGGCTCTACATAGTGAGTTCAGGGACAGCCTGTGCTACAAAACAAAACAAAAGAAAACAAAACAACTAAGTGAAGGGCAAACAAGGTGGAAACCTTAAGTATATTCCATATACTTAATCATCACAGATTTGAAAGGATTATATAATAACAATTATTGGTGACTAAGACCTTGGTAGTACACTATATCTAAGAAGAAGTAAAAGAACTAATCACTGCTTATCAGGTAACAGTTATTTGTTTCACAATAAATATGCTTAAGATGTCTGTATCGATCCTCATTCAGAAAATGAAATAAAAGTACCTCTTCATCAGAGCAATGTCTCATTTTTTCCCACAGGTTCTTGTTTACATCAGTCAACAGTTTATCTTGGTTCAGTGCAGAGACTTTTAATCTTAAATACAGAAAAATTCATTAGTACAGGGTTCAAAAGTCATCTAGAACACAATAGCTTAGGTCTACAGCCGTATTTAATTTAATTCCTCCTATTTTTATTTTTATGGTACTGGAAATGGAACCCAGAACCTTGTGTATGCTAGCAAAGACCTCTCAGGGTTTTTCTAAATAGAAAACAGGGAATTCACTTGAGGAAAATGGCAAGTTTGATTATTCAACACTTGAAAGCTAGCGGTTTAATAATACTATAAATTAAAAAAACTTCTCTTACAATAATAAATTTCATCTTGGTATATGTTCTGATGTAAAACATGCTGCTTATATCGTTAAGGCCTATAAATGCATAATAGCTATGAAGCAGCAATGAGATTTTAAGTGAAAGTTCTCAATCTATTTCAAAGTCATACCTTACTCCAGTTTTTTAATTTCATTTTATTTTTTCTGACACTGGGGATTGAACCCAGGACTTTTGCACTGAGCTATATCCCCAGCCCATTTTATTTTTATTATATTTATTTTGAGAAAGAATCTCCTTATATTACTAAGTTGCCCAAACTGTTTTTGAATGTGATTTTCCTGCCTTACCCATCCAGAATGCTGAGATTACAGATTTACTCTACCATATGTGGCTCATACTTTTATAGAATAATATTTACTCAAATAACAAAGCTATAACAACCTATGTATTAGTCTCTTGTTAGTAAGTGAAGGAAATAAATTTCTACCAGTTATCATGTGTATATAGGTAAAAAGTCAAACAACAGAACAAACATGAACATAATGTTCATGGAGTACAAAGTTCCATCTTTTTTTTTTTAACTGGGGATTGAATTCAGGGTCTTCAGACTGCGCTACATTCCGAATCTTTTATTTTTCATGTAGAGAAAGGGGGTCAATAATTCACTAGGCTTCCTAGGCTAGGCTCAAGACTGCCTCAGCCTCCAAGACTGCTGGGGTTACAGTTGTATGCTCAGCTTCCATTTCATTCTTTAAACAACATAATAAAGTTCACCACCTATTTGTATTATTTAGTAATGAGCTCTAGTATTACTTGGTATAGTCCCTGGCACATAGGAATTATTCAGTAAATACTTGTTGAATAAACAAAGCAGAACTGGGAAAATTCAAAGTACTATGATTTAATAGTACTACTTTTTGTTTGTTTATATTTTGTGACAGGGTCTTCCCATGTAGTCTAGGCTGGCCTGGAACTCTCTATGTAGCTCAAGCTGCTTTAAAACTCATGATCCTCCCCACTAAGATTCCTGAGTGCTGGAATTACAAGTATGTGTCACTACATGTGGCTTTAAAACTACCCACTACCCACTTCTTAAAAAGATCACTTTAGGGGCTGAGAATTTAGCTCAGTGGCTCAAGCACTTGCCTGGTAAGCACAAGGTCATGAGTTCGATACCCAGTACCACAAAAAAAAAAAAAAAGATCACTTTCTTTTGTTCATTAGGTTGGTTCACATTTAATTTAGAGGTCTAAATAAATAAGACATAAACATTACTTTGAACTGTACACTATAATTTTACCTGAGCAAATCCAGGTATAACTAATTTTTAAACCAATATCTAACACATACAAATACCAAAGTACTCAGTTGTCTTATGAATAAAACTATGTTCTTTTTAGATAAATAAAGAGTGGATAAAATTAAAAGCCCTAAAGCAATCTTGATTTTGATACCACACAAAAAATTTCCATAGGGTACTAGTATCTCTTTTTGAAGATGTTTTACAATTAATATTTGATATTATATTTTTACAGTTGTTTTTTTATTAAGGAATTACTTATTGCTAGGAATGCTACAATATTTTTTGAACAATATTTTCATTGTTCATTTCCACCTATCAAGTAGGAGTTATTATCCTCACTTCATGGATACTGAGGTAAAGTTAAATAACTTGCTCAAGATCACAAAGCTAGTCTGACTACAAAGGCACAATTTTTTCATTACTCTTCTCACTGTCAACTAATGTCATCAACCAACTTCTTCTCTAAACAGTGCTATTCTAATTCAAACCTTACCACACAGACTATTTTCTTATAAAAAATAACAACAAAACCACAGAAAAATTAAAAAAATTTTTTCCTTACTCTTCAATCTTTTGGTGAAGAACTTCACAATCTTCTCTATAAATCTCTATCTTGGGTCCATAAATATATTGTCTCAACATCAGGTCTTCTGAAGTAGGTAATGTATTTATAGTAAACTGAAAAAAAATAAGTCAATATCTAAGAACATCTGATATCTTTTTTAAATTTCTTATTTATTTTTTTGAGACAGGGTCTCACTATGCAGTTCAGTTGGCTTTGAGCTCACTTTATTAGGCCAGTCTTGAACTTACAACAATCCTCCTGCCTCAGCCTCCTCAGTGCAGGAATTATAGGCATGCTCCACCACATCTGGTTAGAACTGGCATTTTGAGCAAAAAACCAATGACAACAAATACAAATTTGTGAACCTAGGTCCTTTGCAATGAGCTATATCTCCATCTCCCGTCTCAAAAAGACATTAAAAAAAAAGAAAAAGCAACCAACAAATGAGATCATACCGAATTGAAAAGCTTTTGCACAGCAAAGGAAATAACCAACAGAGTAAAGAAACAACTTACAGATTGAGAATGAATTTTTGCCAGCTGTGCTTTGCACAAGGAACTAATATCTAGAATATGTCAAGAACTCAAAAAAAAAAAAAATCCCACAAAAGAGTCAATCAAAAAATAAGTTACTACAATGACACATCTCAGAAGAAATACAAATGGCCAATAAATACATGAAAAACTATTTAGCATCTCTAGTCATTAAAGGAATGCAAATTAAAACAATACTGAGATTTTTACTTCAGAAAGAATGGCAATCAAGAAATCTATTAATGACAAATGCTGGCAAGACTGCAGGGAAAAAAGATCTTTTCTATATTATTAAGAAAATCTACCTAAAACTCAAACTTACCAGGGACCCTAAAAAGGAAGGAAGGAAGGAAGGCAGGCAGGCAGGCAAGCAAGCAGGCAGGCAAGTGAGTTTCTTAGATAATTCTTTTTTCTTTCCATTTTGTAGCCATGATCCTTGCTTCTATTACAGACTAAACTCAAAACTTTCCTGGCATATGACCATTTGTAAAGTAAGACAGTGAAAATATGGTTGTTTTTAAATGTTTTATAGCTCCAATCCAATGTCTTTTCATTATCTTTGATGCTATGTTAGAAAAATCAAGTCAGCTTATGTCACATTTCTTATGAAAACCAAATTATTCACAAGCATTATAGCACAGAATGTCATTTTGCCACTTCATTCATTTATTGAACTTATGACCTCACGCTTACCAGGCAGGTGCTTGTGTCACTGAGGTAAATCCCCAGCCCCATTTTACCACCTTAAGTGTTGGACTCTTCATCTATGAAATGAGCATAATACTGATCAGACTCATTTTTTTTTTTTTTTGTAATACTAAGCATTGAACATAGGGGCCTTCACACTGAGATAATTCCCAGCCCTTTATTATTTGTTATTTTGAGACAAAGTCTTGCTAAATTGCCCAGGTTGGGCTCAAACCTATAATCTCTATGCCTCAGTTTCCTAGAGTACTAGAATTATAGGTGTGTATTACCATGCCCATGTAGCTTTTATTTATTTATTTACTTATTTATTTTTGGTACCAGGAGTTGAACTTAGGACCTTGTGCATGTCAGGCAGGTGCTGCTAGCTAGCTTAAGATTAAAGTAAAAGTTTTTCTTTTCTTTTCTTTTTTTAAAGGTATTTATCTAGAACCTGCTGAAGTAATCTAACAAATGTGCATTTCTTCTCTTTTTTTTTTTTTTTTTTTTTTTTTTTTTAGTACTGGGGATTGAACTCACAACCCTACGCTTGCCAACCAGGAGCTTATGCTGCTGACTAAATCCCTAGCCCTCTTCTCCTTTTTGTTTAGTTGATAAATTAAAAGGAAGTAACTGGGGACTGGGAATGTAGCTGGTGGTGATGTGCTTGCTTATGATGAACAAGGCCCCAAGTTTTTCCCTTTTACAAAAATAAAATAACAGAATGAAGTTTTAATATCCTATCCTTATACCTAACACATATTCTAGAAAATGTAAAAAAGTGCAAAAAGCAATTATAATTGAAAAGAAAACAATGAAAGTCCTACTTTGTATCTTCTTTTTTTTTTTTTTTCTCTCTCGTCTTTTTCATTTTTATTGGTACCAGGGATCAAACTCACAACCACACACTTATAAGGCAGGCGCCTATGCCGCGGAGCTAAATCCCCGGCCCCATACTTTGCATCTTCTAACATAAGATTGACTTGTTCCTTTTTTTTAATGAAAAGAAAGGAGGGAGGGAGGAAAAAAGGAGAAAGTAAGAGATTTAAGGGGATCTTATAAGTAAAAGACAATTTAAAAATTTTAGCTAACTACAGTGTTAAAGCTCATTTGAGTCCCAAGTTAACAAACCAAAAAACAAGACAATCAGAGAAATATAAATACTGATTAATTAAGTATTATATTATATGAGGTGACTTTGATATCAGGATGTTTTAAAAATAGAGTTCAACCTATTGGCAGTAGTATACTCCTATAATCCCAGAAGTTTGGGAGGCTAAGGCAAGAGGATAGCAAGTTCGAGTCCTGCTTGGGCAAGTTAGTTAGACCATGTCCCCTCTAAAAAGTTTTTATCTTTTTTTTTTTTTTGGTACCGGGGATCGAACTCACAACCTCGCTCTTACAAAGCAGCGCTTATGCCGCTGAGCTAAATTCCCAGCCCTTTTTTATCTTTTTTATGGATACACTAAAATATACTTCTCTGTGTCTTTTATTTTTCTCGCCATACTCTTAAGACAGACAATCGGGATACATGGCTGGGTTCCCAATATCCCTCAACCTTACTTCTCATCTCTTTCTCTTCTTTATTTTCTCCTTAATCTGTTTTGAAGTTTAACTCCCAAGGGCAAAATTGACATATTAAGTACCATATATCATTATATGATTTGTTTTACATTTTATTATATAATAAAAAAATCTAGTTCATATGGGTAAAAGTTGCAAATTAAGGGTATGTCATTTTTTAGGCTGTGTGATGCTACTGCTACTATAGCTAACATTGACATAACTGTTTTAAACAGCTGTTGGTTTGGTATTCCATGGCTGAGATTGACTAAGGGTCACGGAAATACCTAGGCGGAGTCCCAAAGAACTAGGGACTAGGCCAAACAAGCAACAACTTTTCATCTCCAACAAACTGAAGAGGTAAGACCATCCAACAGACTCAAAACCCAAAAACCAGCTACACCTAGAAGATACCTCAGAGAAATAGTCATCAGCTAAGGGTTCTTAAATACTACCAATAAAACAACCCAACACAGGCAATTTACAAACATCACCCCAGGAATTAAACTAAAAAGAGAGAAAAGAAAATGAGAAGACATGTAAGCAAAATGCAACCCCAAAAATCCAGTTCACCAAAGGTAACTCCAAGAGGCAATGAGGTGGGACAATCTGAAAGCCCCCCCAGATCTCTCTGAAGTGGTAACAACAAAGCAAGTGAATGAGGCTCTACAAAAAATGAAATCAGAGATAATCTCTCAGATAACTACAGAGATTATGAAAACACATACCGTGCTTTAGTAACATACAACAGAAACAGACAAAAAAAAAAAAAAAAAGACAAGCTTAAGAAAATTATGGAGGATCAGCATAGGAAAGAAATGGAATCTAATAAAGCAGATTCAAGCAGGTATAAAGGAGAATAAAAATTCCATTGAAAGTATTGGAAGACAGGGCTGAGGATTTAGCTCAGCGGCATAAGTACCTGCCTGGCAAGCGCAAGGTTGTGAGTTCAATCCCCAGCACCATAAATAAATAAATAAAGTATTGGAAGATTAGGCCAATGTGAGGACAAGATCTCAGATACTGAAGGCAGGATTGGAGATGGTGACTCGGAAAAGAGTTCTCAAAACTATCAAGGGACCATGTGAAATCAATCCAGCAGCTGCTAAAAGAGACAAAGAATAACTTAAGGTTAATCAGAGCCAATGAACAAGCAGGAGATACCAGAAGTGACATTAAAAATAATATTCACAGACATCATGGCAGAAAACTGTCCTGGTAGAGAAAAAGAATTTTGACATTCAGATAAATGAGACATACAGGAATCAAATTAGCCATGATCAAAAAAAATCTACAGCCAAGCATATCATACTCAAGATTCCAAATATTCAACACAATAATAGAATCCTAAAAGCTGTTAGAGAAAAGAAATAAATCACCTATAAAGGAAAGTCCACCAGAATTATAGCTGACTTCTCAGCCCAAACTCTCAAATCAAGGAGTGCTTAGAGTGAAGTACTTCAAGTTCTAAAGGAAAACAACTTTCAACCCAGACTGATGTACTCAACAAAGCTATCTTCCAAAATTGATGGAGAAATAACATACTTCCATATCAAAGAACATCTGAGGAAATTTATGACCACCAAACCAGCACTTCAAAATGTTCTGAAGGACATTCTAGAAAAAGATAATAAGGACCATGGCTCCATGAACCCTAATAGAAGGAATCCACCAGGGAAGAAATTAGAGGGTGAGGAGGAAAAATGGGAGAGCTAACAACAGGAAAATAACATGACAAGGATAAGTCAATGCATTTCAGTTGTAACCATCAATGTTAAAGGTCTCAATTCACCAATCAAAAAGACACTAGCAACCAATGGTCAGAGATGAAATTAAAGAAGAAATTAGACAGTTGAATGATAATGACAGTACAACATACCAGAACTTGTAGAACACAATGAAAGCAGGCTTAAGATGGAAATTTATAGCAGGGAAAAAGAGCAAACACATATAAACAACTTAATGGTGAACCTCAAACTTGTAGCCAAAAGCTTATGCAAGAGAGGAACTTACAAAGATCAGAGCAGAAATTAACACCCTGGAGACAAAAAAAAAAAAAAAAAAAAAAAAAAAAAGGATACAAAGAATCAGTGAAAGGAAGTGGTGGATTTTTGAAAGATTAAATAAAATTGACAAACTCTTAGCCAACCTTATCAAAAAAAGAAAGAAAAGACTCAAATCAATGCAATTAGGAATGAAGAGTGAAATAACAACAGACCCTGCAGAAATCCAAAACATCATCTCTATCTACTTGAAAAAAACTTGTATTCTAATAAGATGAAAAATACAGAAGAAATGGACAGATTTCTAGATATATATGAATTACCAAAATTGAATCAAGAAGATAGAAAGCATTACCCTGATACCAAAACCCAGGACCCAACTAAGAAGAGAATTACAGGCCAAGTTCTCTAATGAACATTGATGGAAAAATCTTTAATAAAATATTAACAAACAGAATACAGCAAATTGTCCTGAAGATTATACACCATGATCAAGTGGGATTTATCTGAGAGAGGCAGGAAAGGTTCAACATACATATATCCATAAATGTAATATACCATAGTAAAAGAGCCAAGGAAAAAATCATATGATCATCTCAATAGATGCAGAGAAATCTTCTGACAAAGTCCCACACCCATTCATGATAAAAACCCTACAGAAAATGGAATAGATGGTCTTTATCTCAATCTGATAAAAGCCATTTATGACAAACTAACAGCCAACATCATACTAAATGGACAAAAACTTCAAGCTTTCACTCTAAAATCAGAAACAAGACAAGGATGTCCAGTGTTTCTATTCTTATTCAACACAGTCCTGGAAACTTTTGCTGGAGCAATTAGGATAAGAGAAAGAAATAAAAGGAATAAAGATAGGAAAGGGAAAAGTTAAACTAACTTTATTTACAAATGACATGATACTCTATATAGAAGATCCCAAAAACTCCACCAAAAGACTACTAGATTTAATAAGCAAATTCAGGAAGATAGCTGGATATAAATTTAACACTCAAAAATCAATAGCCTAGGCCAGGGATTTAGCTCAGCCACATAAGCACCTGCCTGGCAAGTGTGAGGTTGTAAGTTAGAATCCTGGTACCAAAAAAAAAAAAAAAAAAATCAATAGCCTTGATATACACAATAACAAACTCACTGAGAGAGAAATCAAGAGACTAAAATACCTTTTTTAATAGCACCCAAAAAAAATGAAATATCTAGGAATCAAGTCAACAAAGGATGTAAAAGACTACATTGAAAACTACAGTACTCTGAAAAAGGAGATTGAAGAGGATATTAGAGAGATTCTGTGCTCTCAGGTAGAAAGAACCTATGTAGTGAAAATGGTCATACTTCCAAAACAGTTACACAGATTGAATGCAATCTCAATCAAAATTCCAATAGCATACCTCACAGAATTAGAGAAAACAATCCAAGAATTCATCTGGAACCAGAAGTCACCCAGAATAGCACAGGCAATCCTAAGCAACAAAGACAACACAGGGGACATCACAATCCCTGACTTGAAATTATACTAAAAACAACTGTAATAAAAACAGTGTCATATTGACAAAACAAAACAAAAACAAACAAACAAACAAAAAACAGACTTCAAGATCAATGGAACAAATTAGAAGATGCAGAAACAACTCCAGACATACTAAACCACCTTACCTTTGACAAAGGTGCCTAACACATTCCCTGGAAAAAACATAGCTTCTTTAAAAAACGATGTTGGAAAAACTAGCTCTACACATTGCAAAGATTAAAAATGGACTCATATCTTTCACCATGTACCAACCTAAAATCAGAATGGATCAAAGATCTTAATATTAAGACAGAAACATTAAATCTGCTGGAAGATAAAGTAGGTAAAACTCTTGAAGGCATTGGTGTAGGCAAAGACTTCCTGAACAAAACCCCAATTGCACAGGAACTATCACAAAGGATCAACAACAGGAATCTCACACTATTGAAAACTTTTGCACAGAAAGAGGAAACCACCAACAGTGAAGAGACAACCCACAAAGTGGCAGGAAATGTTTGCCAGCTATTCCTTAGACAAAGGATTACTATCAAAAACACATAAAGAACTTAAAAGCAAAACAAAACAAAAAAACCCAGTCCTCCCAGATTTAAAGATCCAATCCAAAAAGGGCATTTGAGATTAATACACACTTCTCATATGAAGAAATATGAACAGCAAATAAATATGTGAAAAAATGTTCAACATCACTGGTCATTCGAGATGCAAGTTAAAACAACACTGAGATTTTACTTCACCCCAGAAAGGATGGCTACTATTAAGAAATCAATCAATAACAAATGCTGGAGGTGCTGTGGGGGAAAAGGAACCCTTCTCCATTGTTGGTGGAAATGCAGAGTGGTACAACCACTGTGGAAATCAGTGTAGAGATTTCTCAAAAAACTAGGACTATAGGTCCTTTCGAGCCAGCTATTCCTCTTCTGGATATCTTCCCAAAAGAATTAAAAACATCATACCACAGCAACAAAGTGCACCCATTGTTATAGCAGCACAATTTGTAACAGCTGGATCTTGGAAATAACCTAAACGCCCACCAACTGAGAAATGGATAAAAAAGATGTGGTATTTTTCTACGATGGAGTACTACTCAACCATAAAGAAGGAAAAACTGGAGACTCATAGGTAAATGGATGCAACTCGAGACCATACTCATTAGTGAAATAAATAAGACACACATATGTAACTATCATATTGTCTCACAAAAACTGAAAGTAACAACATACATATATGTGCAAGTATATGCTTATAAAAAATAGTTAAGATAGTTATACTATTGATGTCTCTGAGTTCAATGAAGAGAAAGATTTCACTGATATTGTTTGGACAATTATAAGCATATGTCTTATGCTCTGGGTGAATGATTTGGGGATGACAATGCACAATGTATGTACTATTGTTGATCCTTGATTGATGTGTTTTGACATTTTTAGTTTTTCTTTTTTCCTTGAAATAAAATGGATTTGGAAAAAAACCCAGTCTGAGCTTTATAGTGAGACTCTGTCTCAAATAACAAACAAAAAGTAGAATAGTACAATATATTTTAATTGAGATAACTAATTGCCCAGAAATTACACTTACTTTGGCTGGAAGACTGCTCTGTCGAGGTTTCTGTATCAAAATGTGGACCTGAAGAAGTATGAAGAACTCTCTTACTGTTATTCTCCCATCCTTGAGTTTCTGAGAAAAGAAAAAAGTGTATGACCATTGAGTATAAGCAAACTATGCATGAGTAGATTTTATTTAAGATTATTTCTTTTTTTTTAATTTAAAGAGAAAAAAGGACATTAAAAAAAGCAGTAAAAGGGTACAAGTAATACAGAATTCAAGAAAAAAAAAATATAGAGTAAGAAATCACTAGTTAATAGGTTACTTATTGTCTTCTTAAAAGATTATTTCTTAATGGGGTCAGGGGATTAGGTCAGTAGTACAGTGCCTGCCTGGCAAGCATAAGATCCAGAGTTGAACTGCTAGTACCAAAAAACAATACAAAACAAAAAATTATTTCTTAAGGGTATTCACAAAAGGCAAAGCATATGTCTTTTTTTCGTCTTTTTCGTCTTCTTTTTCTTCTTTATCGGTACCAGGGATCGAACTCACGACTGTCTGCTTACAAGGCAGGCGCTTATGCCGCTGAGCTAAATACCCAGCCCCAAAGCATATGTCTTTTAATCTTCATTTCTTTTTCTTTTTCTTTTTCAAGACAGGGTCTCACTGTGCAGTCCAGGCTGAGCCTTAAACTCACTATATAGCCCAGACTGGCCTCGAATTCATGGTGATTCTCCTACCTCAGCCTCATGAGTGCTGGGATTACAAGCATGCACTACCAGGCCCAGCTTTAATCTTGTTTTCTACTTCATATAGTCTAGGTGTTGGCCCCCTCAAAAACTTATGCTGAAATTTAATCCTCAGAGTCTTTGGGAGGTAATTAACATTAGATGAGGTCATGAGGTAGGGTCCCTATGATTGCATCTGTGGCTTCTGAAGACACCCAGGTTAGCAAGCTTGTTCTATCTTACTATGTGATAGTCTGTGCAGTTGCAGACTCTGCCTAGCAAAAAGGCCCCACCAGAAACTGAGTCAATGCCAGTGCCATGTTATAGGACTTCTCAGTAAATAAACCTCTGTCAAGTAAATAAACCTCTATTTTTTGTTGTAAACTCCTATTTTCTATAAATTACCTAGTCTATGGTATTTGGTTATGGCAACAGAAAATGGCCTAAAATTCTACTTCATATAATTGTTGAGTCCTTAACAAAGAAAACTAATCTGTATGCTCGAAATATTTCATATTTCAGGTGTGTGATGCATGCCTGTAATCCCAGCACTCAGAACTCTGAAGTAGGAATATCACCTAGAGTTTGAGCACAGATTGGGCTTCACAGTGAGTTCAAAGCCAGCCTGAACTACATATCCTGTCTCAAAAAACCAAAGAAAAGTAATTTTTTTTGGTGTGAGATACTGGAGATTGAAACCTTGGAGATACATTCCCATTTTTACTTTTATTATTTAATTTTATTTAATATTTATTTATATATATATTTTTTGAGACAGAGTCTTGCTGTGTAGTTCAGGCTGTCCTCGAACATGCAGTAATCCTCCTGCCTCAGCCACCTGAGTGATAAGATTATAGGTAAGTGCCACTACAGTTAGGCCTCATTAAAGTCACTAAATTGCCCAAGTGGTATTCAAACTTGTAATCCTTCTGACTCAGCCTCCCAGAATGCTGGGATTATAGGCATTTGCCACCATGCCCACTTTTTAAAAAAATGTTTAAAAACAAGAATATTAGTCCATTAGAAATAAGTACTTCCAGGGATATAGCTCAGTGTCCTAGCACCTGCCTGGCAAGTATGAGGTGCTAGGTGCAATTCTCAGTACCAAAAAAAAAAAAAGTACTTTTAACATACCTCCCTCAAGTTCTCTTCACAAATAGTGTGTCCGAAAAACTGGGATTCCATTTGACTATTCCGGTACACTAGAAGTAAAGCAAATTCAAGTGATAAATAAAGTTACAGATATAATTTTAGTTATCTTTCAGATTTATACATTGTTCATGATCTTGAATCTACCCACTGGGATGGTTCTAGGAAGAAAATCATGTAGCAAGGCTAAATATATCACAGTTTTAAGGTTCCATTCAATGCTTCTTCATAAATTATAAAACTCTGAAGTAACTGTATTCCTTTGTAGTATATCACTCCTTAATTTATTAAATAAGAATTAAAGTAAATCATACTTAATAACTCTTTATAACCTTGAAAAGGTTTAAACTATATTCAAGTATCTCATAAACTGAAATGCATTTATTAATAGTGAAGAATACATACTTAAAAATAGAATGTTGATGATAGCTATTATTAAACCTTCATAAAGATCTTACTGCTTAAGTCCAGAGAGATCCCATCAGCCTTGATTGAATCCAGAGAGCTGCTGCCACTAGATGAGGTCCTGCTCAGGTTTTTTATCAATACACTGTTAGCATTTTTATCTATATCCTCTTCAGTATAGTGATCAAAAATCTAAAATTACCAATTAAGAAACATCATCAGAATAACGATACAAACAACTACATGTTTGTTGAACACAAATATATCATTACTAACATAAAATTTATCTATAAGTCACATGAAATATCTTTATAAAGAATTAGAGAATCAGGCAACTTTGGCATTTAATTATAGTTAAAAGTAATTTTATTAAATATATAATAATCTTAGCCAGGCACGGTGGCACACATCTGTCATCCCAGCACTTGGAAAGCTAAGGAGGCAAAGAGGACTACCATGAGTTCAAGACCAGCCAGGGCTACATAGTGAATTCATGGACAGCCTGGACTACATAGTGACAGTCTGTCTCAAAACACCAAAATAAATAAATAAATAGATAGATAAAATTTATATATATATATATATATATATATATAAACACATAAATAAAAATATATAATTTTATGCATTAAAGTATATATACAAACTGTTTCTTAGCTGTATCTAAGTTATAGCTGGGACCTATAAACTATCAAATGTTAGGGCTGGGGATTTAGCTCAGCAGCATAAACACCTGCCTTGCAAGCAGGCAGTCGTGAGTTCAATCCCCGGTATCGATAAAAAAGGAAAAAGACAAAAAAAAAAAATTATCAAATGTTGACTTACCCAATTATTCAACTACTAGCTATCAATAACCGTATTACTACATCAGAGAAAACCAGACTCTACATGGTGGCCCTGGCTAGTGTACAGAAATGAAACTTAGGATGGGGCCATGGCAGCAGCCTTAAGATGCACCAGGCCCAGGGAGGACAATAAATTTGGAGGATTCAGCCAGGAAAAAGAAAGAAATAAGTATTTTTTTTCTTTTTCTTTTTGGTACCAGGGATTGAGTTCATGACCTTGCATTTGCCAGGCAGGCACTTGTGCCACTGAGCCAAACCCTCCCCGCCAAGAAATTTATTTCTTGGCTTTAGTACTTGCCTCTCAAGCTGACTAGGACTCCTTTGGCTGAAATCAAATAATAACATAGTCTGCTTTTTACCATTTTAATCATTTGACTTTACAGCTTTAAATACAATCTTCAGAGCTAGGCATAGTGATATATGCCTATAATCCTAGCACTTGGGAGGCTGAGGCAGGAGAATCCTGAAGAGCTCAAAGCCAGCTTTGGCTACATAGCGCAGAGACAGCCTGAATTATATAGAGGGCCCTCTCTCAAAACAACGAACTTTTAAAAAAAAGCATCTTCGTAATCTTCTTACCTTTTTGGGACACTGGGGATTGAAACCAGCACTTCATACATGCCCGCCAAGTGCTCTCTCACTGAACTATATTCTTAGTTCTCTACATGTTTTTTGAATATATTCTTTTTACTGGCAGCTAAAATGCAAGTTCCATGAAAGACATTTTTGTTGGTACAGTCCCACCAATGCAATCTAAAATAGTGCCTTGAACAAGATTAGTTTTATTGAACAAGATAATACTAATGTTAATAAATGTGGTCAGTATAATTATAAAATTATAGGTACTAGTTTTTTTGTTTTTTGTTTTTGTCTTTTTATCGGTACCGGGGATCGAACTCACAACTGCCTGCTTGCAAGGCAGGCACTTACGCCGCTGAGCTAAATCCCCAGCCCCTGGGTACTAGTTTTTTAAAGCTTCATAACTACTTCCTCATGACCTCATCTATTTTTTTTTTTTTCTTTTCATGGTGATGGTGGTGTATTTTCTTTAGTTTTTTCATGGTATCACTATGGTGGCCTTCATGATTCTAATGCTTAGCCTCCCAAACCCTGAGATTACAGGGATTAGAAATGTGGGTGACCATGCTTGATGACATCATCTTAAAGAGACAGTGAAATCATTCTATATTTATTTATATAGTTTTTTTTTTTTTTTGTATTTTTTTTTTTACCGGTACCAGGGATCAAATTCACGACCACACGCTTGCAAGGCAGGTGCTTATGCCACTGAGCTAAATCCCCAGCCCCTATTTATATAGATCTTAACAGAATGTAAACTTGTAGGTATTTCATTAATCTTTATTTTCCCACCTATTAAAAAACCTTGGTTTGAGTGACCAGTTTTAATCTCTACAAAGCTATCCAAACAAATGTCTCTCAATTTAAAAATCAAAAATTAAAAGAAGTCTGTTTTCTTCCGATAAATACAAAGTCTTGTTTCACTTTAAGATACTTGGCTTGACCTAGGCATTTTTTGACACACTAAGAAATGAATGCTTAGTTTCTATATATCTTCATCAGCCAAGGAAAATTGGTCAAGCTTTTCTTTACTTTTTGGAGACTGAATCTATGGCTTTCACATTACTCTACTTCCCCAGCCCTTTTTATTTATTTTTAATATGGAGGCAGTGTCTTAAATTGTTCAGGCTGGCCCAAAACAGCCATAACAAATCTTTTAGAGCTTTCAATGATACAAACAGCCAGCTGTGGCATCAATGCCATAGATTTGCTACCACTGGCCTAGAACTTGCAATCTTCCTGTGTCAGCCTCCCAAATCCTGGGATTACAGGTGTGTTCTATCACACTCAGGTAAGCTTCTTTTTTGCAGTTTACATATCAGAAAACTTTCTAGTGCTCACTTTGGCAGCACATATACTATTAAAATTGGAATAATACAGATAAGATTAGTATGACCATTACAAGAATAACATGCAAATTCATTCAACACTCCATGATATTAAAACAAAACTTTTCCACTCCCCAAATATTTCTAACACTGAAGATGACTTTTTCAAAGTAGTCCCAAGAGATTCTCATATACAAAGCAACACTGACAACTCACCAGAGGTGACAGAATTTGAGAATTAAACAATTTCAACTTTTGTTGTCTTTGCAATACTAGGAATTAAACCCAAGTCCTCTGCACTAAGCTACATTCCCAGCTCATTATTTTATTTTTAAAATTTGAGACAGGATTTTGTTAAATTGTTAAATTGCCCAGGCTTGGCTGGAACTTTGAATCTTGTACCCCGGCCTCCCAGTCTGCTGGATTACAGGTACGTACTACCAGGTCTTGTTTTGTATTTTTGGCTGTGCTGGAGAATTAACTTAAGGAATGCTGAGCTATCTTACCAGTCCTTGTTTTATTTTGAAATAGAGTTTCACTAAAGTGTCCAGACTGCCCTCAAATTCTGAATCCTTTTGCTTCAGTCTCACACACAGCTAGAATTATAGGCTCTTGAGACCACATTCCACTAATATTGGCCAATTTTTGTAATCCTTTCCACTTTTTGTTGCTATTATCACTATAAGTTATTTTGAAATCTGTTAGTAAATTATTTTTTGGAGATTGTATATAGGAATGTTTCTGTATCCTTATAATGGAAATAACTAATTTCTACATACTTATAGACTAAAATTCAAGGATATCCACTAGTTTAAAAAACGAACACCTCAAGAACATCCCTTGGTTCAAAACAGCTCAACGGGTGTAGTGGCACATGTCTGTAATCTCAGTACTGAGGAGGCTAAGGCAGGAGGAACATTGTGAGTTCAAGGCCAATTTGTACTATATAGCAAGACCCCATCTCAAAATAACAGAAAAAACAAAAAGAGCTTACCTCCTGATGCTGTGTAGCATCACTAGAATTAATCTCATATTTTCTGATTTTTTTCTCATTCTCAACATCATCTTTGTCTTGTACCCAGGTTCTTTTTTGGCTGTTGCTGGTTTCTTCCATTTTGTCTTCAGATGGTGACATCTCTTTTTGATATGTCTCAATCAAAGGCTTTCCCTCAATTTCTATGTTAATTGAGTCTGAGGAATTAATCTCACCTGAATATATGGGAAGATTTTCCTCATTTATATACTGAGATGGACTTAAATTCAATTTAGCTGCAATAGATCCAATTCCTGAATCTTTGGTGGAGACAGTCTGAGTTTCTAAATGATGTAAAGCAGCTGTCTCTATTGGCATCTGCTCTAGGTCATCAATACCAGTGACACTACAATTTCTCTTGTTTGGCAATTTGGGCAAAAATATTCCCAAAGGACATCTCCTCATTTTATCTTTAACAACTGTCTTTAATGGTACAAGGGTAGATTCATCTCCATTATTTTTATTTTCTTCAGCTCTGTTATGTTTAGCATCACTGGGGGATATGTTAACATTACCTATTTCTGTAGACTGTGCTGTAGTCACATTACTGAGTGCTTTGTTTTCTAGTTTGAGTATTTCTTCTGAAGAAGGCAGTATATAAGCAGTTTGAAAATCTAAAAACTCTCCAGGTTTTCCATTAAAATTATTCAGGCTTGGCTTATCACTACTAAAATATGGAACATCAGATGCAAGTATAGGACCTGTTTCTTTAGCATTGGCATGAATTTGAATAACTTGGGCAGTCAAGTCTGTGTTACTGTGGATATCTGTATTTTCCTTTAGTTCTTTTTCACAGCCGATAGCAAACTGTTTCTCATTATTGAAAATTTTGGATTTGTCTGAACATGTGGGTGCAGAGCAGTTCTCTGTAACAATATTTAAACTCTCATTTTCAGTGTTAGACAGCTTTGAGACATCTTCACTGGCAACATTCTGTCCTTTTTGGGTGAACAGGAGTTGTTGGGTTGAGACATGAGGCTGAGAAGTAATGAAGGCATCATCAACAAACATGTCTATTTGATCCTTTGGAGGTTTAAAAGATACATGCTTTAAATTGAGTTCAGTCATTTCCCCTAGGTTTTGATTATGCACTAAAGTTTGACTAGGTAATAGATTTTGAGGCTCTTTTTGCAGATCTTGATCTTTGAGCAGTGTTACAGCATAGTCTATCTGTCCTGTGGAATTAGTTGGAATAACTTCTTCCTTCTCTAACAAAGAACAAGGAGCAAAAAGAGGTGGGCCCTCAGATTCCAAATAGAATTCACTGGCTAAATTATCTGTAAAGGCAAGGTCATTTTGCACTAGGTACTTACTGACTTTATCTTTATCACATAAGGACATGACATTATTCTCCAAATTATTAAAAGGAGAAATAACATCTGGTGAACAAGAATTATCACTGGATCTACAAATAGCAGTCACATGACTACCTGTAAAATCCACATTTTTTCTATCTGTACTATTTAACTGCCAGCTTTCAACTTTGGCTTTTTCCAATGTATAGGTTTGGTCTACAACTTTTTCCTCGCCCTTTTCACCTGTAGCATGGACATGAAATTTGATGATTCCCATTTCACTCTGATGCTTAGAGTATGTATTCGTAGGAATAGAAGATATTATATGATCCTTTTGCTCAGGGTGAACAATTTTGCTTTCTATAGACAGTATTTGGTTTTTAGTGTCTTCTTCATCATAGTTATCAACCTTAGGAAAATAAACATTTAAGTTTTTTTCTTCTGTCATTCCAAATTTAGGATGATCTTTAAGTATTTTCTCTGTGGCTTGACAATCGATGAAAACAGTATGGGAGTTGGTGACTTCCAAATCATTATCATCTACAAACATTATAGTTTTGTCCACAGGTCTAATAGTTACTTCATCTGCCAACATAGTTCTATTTGCTAAGGCAACTGTATGACTTCTAGTGATTTCCATGTCATCTTGCCCACAGTCATACAAAACAGTTCTAGAGATTCCTGTCGAAGGTACCAAAGTGAAGTTTCCCCTCTCTTCAAGAGCACTTTTGCTATTTATTCCCACCATAGAAGTCTGGATGATATCCATGTCATTTTTATCATCCTCTGAAGATGTAATGGGCTTGTCATCTTGTGGCCTAAGGCTTTTTCTTCTCTGACTTTTGACTGATAGAGGCTCATTGATAGATACAGGCTTTTGTTTATCTTTGACATTTTCCCAAGTGGTTAATTTAGATATGCCCATATTTTCATCAGATAAAAATGCTATAGTTTTCTCTGTAGGATCTCTGTTAGAACATTCTAGCACTGTTACTTGTCTGTCTTTTGGTGCTAGGTGATCACTTTTAGAAAAGAAAACATTATCCTCAGAAGATGTCACTTTTGGTTTTTGTAGGCTTTTCCTTCTGGACTGTTGAAAGTTAGATCTATCAGAAAGTATGGTTCTCTCTTCTGCTTGGTAGTCAATGAAAACAGTGTGAGATTTCGTCATTTCTAGTTCATCACAATCATTTACAAATATTACAGTTTTGTCCACAGACCTAGAACCTGTTTCATCTGGTGAAACAGGTTTACATTCTAAAGCAGTTGTGTGACTTCTAGTAATCTCCATATCATCCTCCCAACATGCATACAAAATAGTTTTAGAAGTTCCTTCCAAAGGTATCAAATGAGAGTTGGCCTTTTCTACTAAAGGTTTATGATTTATTTCCACTGTGTAACTCTTGGTGATATCCATATCATTCTGACTACCCTCTGAAAATACTAGAGTCTTATCAATTTTTAGTGCACCAACATTTTTCCTTCCATAATTTTTGAAATTTTGTTTTTCTTTTAGAAATTCAGGATTCTGCATATTTTTGTCATCTAACGCATTCTTATCATTACACATAAATACTTCAGTTTTTTCATTAGGACTCTTATCACATTGTTCCACTTTTATATTTGTCTTTGTACTTTCTCTTGGAAGCTGGGTGGTTCTGTGTTCTACATTAGCATTATTAATTTCTTCTACTTCAGTAGGACCAAATCCAATGACAACAGTGTGACTCTTGGTTAGATCCATACCTTGCTCCTCCTCTGAACAAACAGTCAACGTATCATGAGAACAGTCAGGTGTGGGATCCTCTAAATTTTTCCTCGGTGACTCAGGAAGTATAAAATTCGGGTCTAGTACAGATTTCACTACATGATTGGTCAGAGCAGACTGCCTTTCTGATGAAAGTGATGGCTCTGTGTTAGAAAATGAAGAGTCCTCGTTTGAAATTGTATTTCTATTATTTCCTAGTGGTGCTTGTTTTTGAAGACTTGCCCCTGAATAGACTATATTATGGTTTGTTGCTGTGTCCTCAGTATAGCCAGCTGATGGAGAATCTTTATCATGATAGAGCAGGTTTTGCTGTAATCTCTCTTTAGGTATACCAGGAACGAAGTTATAATTTACATTCATTTTTCTATCTTCTGACCCAATTATATAATTTTGGAGCATCTTTCCTTTTTTAGGTATTGATGTGGCCATCTGTACATCTGCTTGATATTGTTCAAAAATCTGATTATCTATTACAACTGTGTGACTCTTGGTAAAGTCAATGCTGTCCTCTGAGTAAATAGTTTTCTCTGTGATACAAGGTATGGCATCTGGATTGGGACATATTTTAAAATAATTACTGTCATGGTTTAACAAATTTGTCTCCTCTCTCACACTTGAAAGACACTTGGTCAGCTCCATGGCATCATTACAAGTAGAATAAAAAACTGTCTTATTACCTGGAATAAGTAGTTCACTAGAACATATAGATTCTTGGGTCACTGACAATGTTCTGTTATCTTGATTGGAAGTTTGAGTGATTCTGCAAGTTTCTGACTCTGCAATATGACTTCTGTTTATAGGTAGATTATCTGGAGAGTTTAAGGAAGGGTCTGGAAAAGCAGCATTGAATTTCTTAAAGATTGTTTTCTTTCCTAGAGCTTTAGTTTCACAGTCTGTTGCAATATCCATGACAGCCTGAGTTTGATTTTCTGTTTCAGATGAATTGTCTACAGAAGGTAAAACCTGTAATGTGTGGTTAGTTGCCAAATCCATGCAGTCATTATCATAAATTGTAATGTCACCTTTGAATTTTCTTAAGTTGGCCTCACCGGTTATGGGAACGAAAGTCTGAATATTGTTTGTATGACACTGCGTTAAATTCATCCCATCATCTTGTTCTCTAAAGACTCTAGTTATATTACTACTTTTCTCATCTACATTAAAAGATGTACATATTTGATATGTGGAAGGAGTATTATCTGATTTCTTGGAAAAAATAGGAATTTCAGAATTTTCTTTATTAGGCCCGGTAAAAAAAGCATTACACTTCCCAGTTTTCAATCTTTTTATGAAGTCACTAAAATTTTTTTTCTCCGAAGTGTTTTGATCCATGGAAATGCTTAATTCTTTTTTCATTCTTGAATCCTCAATGTGGCACTTTAAGTTAGCTAGAAATGATGTGGTGTCTATCTTAGCATACTCTTCATTTTTGGAACAATCTAAAAGGTCTTTGGTAATCATCACAGTGTTACTTGCTGTCAGATCCATCTGGTTTTCATCTGAAAAGATGACTGTCTGATCATTTGTATGTTTCCTTTCATGTTTGTGTTCTTTACTTGAAAACTATTCAGAAAGAAAATAAAAGAGATTAGGCCAAATGTAAATTTCTAAAATATATTCTACAACATTACTATTTAAACAGTTCTCAGTGAGTCAATGCTGTGGTATGTTGTATGCAATTTGTTTTTAAAAATTTTTGTAAAGGTTGAATAATTTACTTTTTTAGTGTTTGGGAACAAATTAAAAATTCAAGGATAAATGTATATCCTGAAGGATGACTTAAAATTGAAAAGAAAGAAAAGCTCCATAAACACCAGATGTAACCATAATGAAGATTCTATATTGGATAGGTCATTCTAATCCTAAACAAAAAAGTCTTAGAAGGCATAGATAGATGCATGTTAGCTAACTTATTTTATACTCTGGGCTCTGGTCTTTTAGTGTATAAAGACACAGTCTAACTCCTTGTTACTCAAAGCATCATCTATGGGCCTATACACTATCAATGAGACTGTTATAAATACAGAGTCTCATAGTCTATTCCTTATCTACTGGATATGAATCAACTAAACTTTTTTTTAAAGGAGAGTTTTAATTGGCTTTAAATGAATCTATATTTTAATAAAGTCCTAGGTAATGCATATGTTTATTAAGGTTTTATAAGTCCTGGTATATGTCCGTATTATTTAAATTGCTAATGATTTAACTATCCTTAGTTAACTGGGCAGGTAGGAAATTTTTCCAGTCTATATTGATTCATTTTGTTAAGTTATCCCTAAGTCATGTCATTACTATTAATTTTTTGGTATTTTTAAAGTTTTTTTTTTTTTTTTAGACAGGGTCCCCCCAGGCAGTTTAAGCTGGACTTGAACTCACTTTGTAGCCAAGGTTGGTCTCAAACTCACATTTCTCCTACTTCAGTCTTCCAAGAGCTAGGATTACAGGCATGTACCACCATGCCTAGCTTTGTACTTTTAAAATTTTAACTGTAGATATTTAAAAATAAAAGTACTTGCATGAACTCATACCTCTTTTTGCTGTACCTGGGTCTGAATGGGAGCACAAAGCAATGTATTCATTCCTATTAAGGAAAAAGAAAAAAAAATGTAGTCACCAAAAATTTCTATCAAGACTCTGATTTTCCACTTCCTAGGCCCTTTAACAGTTAAAAGTACTATCTTTACTAGATACTAAAGTTCTTCATAAGGGCCTAAGAATTAAATTTCATTAAGATTTTTAATTGTCTTTTGGGGAAGTGCTGGGGAATGAATCCAGGCCTTGCAAGTGCTCTATCATTAAGCTATACCACCAGTTTCTAAATTCTTTGAAAGACAGAGATCGATGGTTATTGTTTCCTCTGTGTGAATATTTGTAGAATGTGGCAACAATTTTAAAAGTTAGAAATTTAAACGATTACTTATTATATTTATTATGTCTTTTTTTACTTCCCATATAGCAGAGGTACATAATGAAGAATACTAAATGATGAGAATGAAAGATCAGGATAAGATTTTAAGGATCTTTTATGCTATGTTAAGGAGTTCCATAATGAAACATAAGCATTTTATAAAAATAAGTACAAAACCAGGCATGATGGCACACTCCTATATTTCTAGCACTCAGGAGGCTGAGGCAGGCAGATCATTGTAAGTTTGAGACCAGGCTGGGCTAAAAGTGAGTTTAAGGCCAGCTTGAACTGCCTAACAAGACCTGTCTCAAAAAGACAAGAAAAAATATCCATTATAAGATATAATGCACTTTAGAAAATATTCATTTTAGAAAAGTAATAAAAACATAATAAAGAAAATAAATCCAAGAAAAGATGAACCAATAAGGTAGCTACAACAATAGTTCAGGTATAATATGGTAAGAGTTTCTTTTACGGCAAGAAACAACAAAAAGAATTAGCTGGGTGTGGTGCTGCACACCTGTAATCCCAGCACTCAAGAGGTTGAGGCAGGAAGATCACTGTGACTTCAAGACCAGCCTGGGCTACAAAGAGCTCAAGGCCAACCTAAAATGCATAAGGAGACCCTGTCTCAAGAAGACCAAAAAAAAAAAAAAAAAAAAGATTCAAAACATTTTAAAACTGAAATCCAGGCATGGTGATCCACATCTGTTACTCTCAGTGCTTGGAAAGAAGGACAATGCAGGAGCACTGCAACAAGTTTGAGGCCATCCTAAACTATAGGAAGAGCCTGTCTCAAAAAAACCAAAAAAAATTATTATATAAAGATTTAATCACAAACTTAACTTTGTCTTTTTCCTTTTTTTTTTTTTTTTTTATCAGTACCAGGGATCGAACCCACGACTGCCTGCTTGTAAGGCAGGCGCTTATGCCGCTGAGCTAAATCCCTAGCCCCACAAACTTAACTTTGGAAATAAGGAATTGAGGATACTATATACTAACAGGGAAAATATTTATATATATGCATGTATATGGCAAACTTTAGTACATATGACAAATAATTATAAGACTTTTTGTGAGCCAGGCATGGTGGCACACGTCTATAATCCCAGCACTTGGAAGACTGAGGCAGGAAGACTGTTGCAAGTTCAAGACCAGCCTCGGCTACAAAGTCAATTCAAGGCCAGCCTGAACTGCATAGTAAGACCCTATCTCAGGGGGCTGGGGATTTAGCTCAGTGGCATAAGCACCTGCCTTGCAAGCAGGCAGTCGTGAGTTCGATCCCCAGTACCGATAAAAAGGAAAAAGACAAAAAAAAAAAAAAAAAAAAAAAGACCCTATCTCAAAAAGACCAAAAAAAAAAAAAAAGACTTTTTGTTTGTTTTTTGAGACAAGGTCTCTCTTTGTATTGCAGGCTGGCCTTGAGCTTACTTCGTAGCCCAGGATGGCCTCAAACTCACTGTGATCCATCTTGTCTCACCCTGAGAATTTTAGCAAAAGCCTAATTTATATCAATCTTCCATTTATTCAGCAAGCACTGATTCAGGCTTATAATGTACAAAAATTTCCAAATGTGCATGGCACAAGGAAGAACAAGACAAAATTTCTGGACTTAAGAACTCAAAGTTTAATAAGAGAGCCAAAGTAAATACCTAAAATTTTATGTGATAAATTCTAAACTAGACTGAAAAACAAACAGGGTGGTCAGTAAGCATGTAACATAGTGGCTAACTCCATGATTTTGTCAGTAAAGAATCTATTTAAGATAGTGTTACCTGCAGAATAGTGCATATCTGTGAATTATTACCAATTCATGATGATAAGAAACAACACTTATAGCAAATGTAAATCATGTGATAATTCCTTCATCAAGAAAGCCTTGCTGGCCGGCATGGTGGCACACACCTGTAATCTCAGTACTTGGAAGAGTGAGGCAGAAAGATCACTGTGAGTTTGAGGCCAGCCTGGGCTACAAAGTGAGTTCAAACCAGACTGAACTGCATAGCAAAATCTTGTCTCAGAAGAAGACCGAAAAAAACACCCCAAAGCAAAAAAAGCCTAAGAAAAAAATGTCAGCAGAACACAACAATTAAATTTGCACTGCATTTAATTTACATTATGATGAATGTTCCTTTTCTGTCAAGAAGTGTAAAACTTTAAAGATTGGCTACTTTGACTACTCCAGTTAGGTGAAATATAAAAGTAAAATGAGGGGTCAGGGATATAGCTCAGTGGCAGTGTCTGCCTGGCAAGTGCTAGGTTGTGAGTTTCATCTGCAGTACCAAAAAAAAAAAAAAAAAAAAAAAAAAAGCAAAATGAAGTGAAAAAAAGAAAACTGACAGCCAAATTGGAATCAGAAAGCATTTTAGGTAGAGAAAATGGCATTCATAATGCATACACACAGAAAATGTTCACGGGGGGATTGCAAATAGTTCATCAGGGTCTAGAGCACAGAATACCTCTAAAGGGCAGGACATAAGGTTGGAGAAAAGAATAGTTTTTAGTGCAAATTATAAAGCACTTTCTAAGTCAGTGTTAAGGAATTTGGACTTCATCCCATCAGCAAAAAGGGTCATTGAACCATTTTTAAAATTTTTATTTCATTTATTTTTTCACTGAACCATTCTAAATGAGGAGGTAATATAATTAAATTTAGAAATATCAAGAACGAACTGGAAAGATATGAAACTAAATATAACAGTCCAAGAAAAAATAATGAAGACTTGCATTAAAACAATGGCAGAAAAATAAGAGATAAAGAGAGTTGCAAAATATTTAGGAGACAGAATAGATAGAAAGTAGAGGCTAATGAATATGAGGAATAAAGGAAGAGTTCAAAATAATTCCTCCATTCTAGACTTGAATGAGTGAGCAGAAATCCAAGATAGAAAATCAGAAGGTACAACAAGTTTGAGAGACATCATAACATGCTTATCAAAATTTATATAAAGGCCTTGTATAAAGAACCAAGCTTTCTTTAAATTATTTTTTCATGAATCCTATATATATTACCTATCAAGAGACAAAGAGAAAAGTATACAATAAAAGTATTATGACCATACTTACCAGTAATCTCACAATAACTATCTTCTGAATTATTCCTAAAAATCAAAAAGGCATTTTTATAATCTTTATCCCATACAGTTACCGAGAATAGCAATATTTAAAAGAGTAGGGAAAGTCGGGCACGATGGTAGACTCCTATATTCCTGTGTCATGATGGCACACTCAGCAAGGAGGCTGAGGCAGGATTGCTGCAAGATGGAAGCCAGCCTGGGTTGTATGGTGAGTTCAAGGCCATCCTGATTGTGTAGTGGAAAAAAAGAATAAGGAAAGCTGGGCACACCACGGGATCACACAGTGATTTACGCCTGTGATCCCCGTACTCTGGTAGGTTGAGGCAGAAATACTGGAAGTTTGTGCCCAGTCTAGGCCATTCAGAGACTTAGTGAGACCCTATCTCTAAAAACTAAGTTTGAGAATGAAATCGCTGCATTAGGGCACGTGCACTTAAAATCCTGAATGATACTGCCAAATTGCCTATAAAATTTACAGTCCCACTAGTAATCAGCAACTGTTTTTTTGGGGTGGGTGGGACCAGGAATCAAACTCTGAATCTTGCATTTGCCAGGCAGAGTGCTATGCCACTGAGCTATTTACTCCTGGCCCTGAACTTCTTCTGTATATCCTTAACTGATAAAAAATATCTCAGTGGAAGGGGCTAGGGATTTAGTTCAGCGGCATAAGCACCTGCCTTACAAGCAGGCGGTCATGAATTCGATCCCCGGTACCGATAAAAATGAAAAAGACAAAAAAAAAAAAAAAACTCAGTGGAGAGTTTTTGGCAACCCACTTGGGACTGCTTCTGACTCTCTCAGATAAATATATTCGACTCTTTAAAAAAAAAATCTCAGTGTAATCCAAATTTGTATTTTTCTTATGATTAATACAGGTAAGCATCTTTTCATTTGCTTAAAAGTTACTTACTTTTCTATGTAGATGTTTAGCATTCCAAATCTGAAATTGAGAACTTTTTGAATGTGACACTCAAAAAGGCTTGTATTTGGAGCATTTTAGAATTCAGAGTTTCAGATTAGGGATACTCAGCTGATAAAATCTACACAAATATTAAAAATCTCAAAAACTGTGAACTCTGAAACACTTCTGGTTCAAAGTATTTTGGATAACATGTAATTGTTATTAATATTATAACAAAAAGACTAATGAAAACAATCTATTAATGAATTTAGTAATTTATATATGAAAGTAATCATCAGTCTACTAAAACTATAAATTAGATAATACACATCTTCATTAGACAGAGCAGTAATTACACTACATTTTGCAAAGACTTTATGTTTTAAATTAATGCTACGTATTTCCCCAAAGGGCTACAAAAACACAAAAATGTTTTGTTTTTGTTTTTTGAGACAGCATCTTGCTATAAAGTACAGGCTGGCCTTGAACTCACTAAGTAGCTGAGAGTGGCCTCAACACTCACAGGGATCCTCCTGTCTCAGACCCTCAAGTGCTGGGATTACAGGTATGTGCCACCTCTTTTTGTGGCCAAAAAGAAATTTTTTTTCTTTTTTCTAATTTTTACAAAGATAGAGTTATTTATTCATGTTATATTACTGGATTTCACAGGCAAAACTCCAGCTGTCTGTTCTTGAACACCAAGGTCAAGTACACCCCCATCCCCCAGTAAATACACATCATATGTGAGAAATAAAAATGCATAGCACAACAGGTCTCAAGGAAATGAAAGTTGTTTCCTGGTTGTGTGATGCAATCTATACCTACTCTGTGGAGACCCTCATTAGGCTAAATGCCAGTACAGCATTTCCTTTATCCTCCTGTGCCAACCTCAATCTTTCCCATGTCACATGGGGTTACCAGCAACATGATAGGCAGACACAAAGAAAAGTATAACATATGACAAATTCCACAGAAGGCTCCCTGAACTCTCAGCCCTGGAATTTCCAGTGAGAAAACCAAAGACACAACATTTCACAGGCTAGGAAAATGTCCTTGGTTGTGCCTTGGGACTGGGGCTACCCTCTGTAGACATTAAAAAGTCATCAAATAGTGGGTACAAGTGAAGCAGAATTTCCCTTGGTTCTGAAAATGAACCATGTACTCATGAATGAAAATGTAACAGGAAAAAAGAAACAAAAAAGAAAATACAGAATTTTAAGAGTAGGGACTGGGGATTTAGCTCAGCGGCATGAGTTTGATCCCTGGTACCAAAAAAAAAGAATTTTAAAAGTGAAGGAAGTAACAAAAGAAGTCACCATTCAGCACATTTGTTTCCTTTCTTTTAGGGCACTTTGGAAAAGTCAGGCTCTAGGGACAGAAAAGCTTCTATATTTCTCAAAACTTACTCTTCAATACCTAGCTCCCAGGTCTCTGCCCCAGAGGTCTTACCCACATCAAGGATCCAAAGATGATTTTACTCTTCATAAAGCCGGGCCAGCTAACTCAAGAGGCCCATTTTTGGCCTCTACAGCATATATTATTTTTTCTCCTAAAAAAGTTTGATTCCCTCCCACATTTAAAACACCATTAATAATACACAGGCAATTCTAGTTTATATAACACACCCAGAAAAATTGTCATGACTTAACATTAAATAGCCATGCAAAGATGGATCAACACAAAATCAAGCTAGACCATAATCAGAACTTGATTTGTTCTTTAAACTAGAAGCTGCTTCTTTAAAAACATCTTTACATTCAGAAAAATCAGACAACTTAGAGACAACATTGTAAGTGAGAACACCAAGGGCCTTTACTCTAATGGCTAAAGTTGCCTTGGGTTTAATACATAAACAGGACAAAGGTTCAAGGCTCAAGTTTTAAAATTTTTTTGCTGTGAAGACACACATAAAATCTAGTTTTTTTTTTTTTTAAAAGGCACATAACAGGGGCTGGGGATTTAGCTCAGCGGCATAAGCGCCTGCCTTGGAAGCAGGCAGTCATGAGTTTGATTCCTGATACCGATAAAAAGGGAAAAGGAAAAAGACAAAAAAAAAAAAAAAAAAAAAAGGCACATAACATACAGTAATAGGTGCATACCACTGAAAAAAGGGCACATAATAGGAAACTGGTTGAAACTTTGTGTTTTTTGTAAAACTTGACAACCAAAAGGTACCCTCCCAACCAATTTCAGCAGTAGTCTCCAATTTTTCTTCTTTCTTTCTTATTTTTATTTTTGGTACTGGAGATCGAACTCATGATCTTGCGCTTAACAGGTAGGTATTTACGCCACTAGCTAAATCTCCGATCCTCCAATTTTTCATAAAATAATACAAACGTCCCATTTTTAACCAAAATTCTTATCCATTTTACAAGTTAGCAATTTCATCAGTGGGAATGAGTCCCATGGTCACCAATTTTGAGCTGTGCAGTTCTGAGGCTTTGTGGTGACACTGTGAGCATGTCCAGAAGCCCCCACAGCCTGATATTTTCTACATTGACAAACACCTTGAACTGCTAAGAAGTCACACAAGCCAAGTTGTAGACAAAATGTCACACTCCTCCTGGTCATCAGGAGAGGTGTCTGAATGATGAGCAAGAGACATATTACTCAGACTGCACAAATGAGAGGGACCAGTCCAACAGACTGACAGACACACAGCAGAGATCCCTGGCCACTGTAAATCTACTATTTGAATCAAAACACTAGGTTGGTGTCCCAATATCCACTGTGATTTTTGTATATAATTGGTGTCTCTCTATGTCCAACAGCTGATAGGTGAGTGAGTTCAAACCATCAGAGTACATTGTCTCCTCAGTGTGTGCATTTTGGGCAAACCTCTGAGGATTGGGTTCATTTTCCTTGTCTTTTGAGTGGCGGAACATGCGATACCTCCCAACCACAGCATTTGGGCGAGATACAGACATGCCCTTAAGAGATAATCTGTTAAAAATATCATCATCTTCTCCTCCCCAGCCCCAGTAATTATTAGGAAATCCATTTATGATAATAAACTGTCGTTTACTTAGAGCAGAGACACCTCCAAAATACTGAACATAAGGCAGGCTAAATCCAAACTTGTCCATTGCAACAGAAATATGTCGTGGCTGTGAAAAACACCTGTAAGCATTATGATCATCCATTGGGATGAGGTCCACATCACTGAACACAAAGCAGTTGTAGTCATAGTCCTTTAAGGCTTCTTGAAAGCCAATATTGAGAAGTTTAGCACGATTGAATATATAGTCTCCAGCCTGGTTGATAACATAGATACCATAGTCTAATTGTTGGCGCTGTAGAAGGGGGTGCAAATAATACAGCAAATATTTGAGGTGCTCCTGCCGGTTACGGAATGGAATGATGATGGCCACCTTGTGAGGAGAGATGCATTCCTTGGGGGTATAACGGCCGCCCATCCTTATCTCTGGATTCTGTGTTGCCAAAAATTCCAGATCCACAGGGATGTTAAATTTGATCACCATGGGTCCAATAAGTAGTGGGGACTCCTTGGGGCAAGTGGGCAGCAATAGTGCTTTTGTGGGGAACATTGGGACAGAAGTCAAGTTGTTTGTGGGGCTGTGGTCAGAATTCACACCAGGACTGGAGACTTGACCCAGGAGAGGCTGAGCAGAGATATTCAAAGGAGGCAGTGCCCAGGTCACTCCAGACTGGGGTTGCCGAGGGGGATGCCTGCTGGCAACGATGCCCAGTACTGTTGTGGGGACTCCAATTAGCCGGGGCAGGTGGCTCAGGTTGAGGCTGGACAGGTAGTAGACAAGGGTGACACCAAAGTGCAGTGCAGAGAGGGCCACAAGCAGGCAACAGGCACGGTACAGGGAGCCACAGGGCAATGTGGCACTGCCACTCAGTAGCTGCTCCTGAAACCTCATCTTCCCATGCTGGCTTTAAGTGGGAGGTGAGCTACAGGTGAGTCTGCCCAAAGAAAAATGTTTTGAATGTCACCCTGTAGCTAAGGCTGGTCTCAAAGTTGAAGACATCCTCTTGCCTCAGCCTCCTGAGTGCTGAGATCACAGGCATTCATCCCCACACCTGACCTAGGAATAAACTTTTTAAACAGAATTTGAAATGTCTCTTACTTACCAGTTAAACAGAACATTTTCTCCTGCTTCTGTTTCTAAAAATAAAATAAAAGTTTTTCAAAGATACACCGATAAAGCATTAAACAAACAAAAACTCATAAACAGAGATTAACAATTCGAAAAAACGAATTACTTACTATTCACCCTACTTTATATTCCCATGTCTCAAAGATTTTTGTTTGAGACAGGATCTTGCTCTGTTGCCCAGGCTGGCCTTAAAATAACAATTCTCCTGCTTTAGCCTTCAGAATAGTTGGGGTCACACATACATACCACTCTGCCTGGCTTGATGGTACCTTTTTTTTTTTTTGTCTTTTTGAGACAGGGTCTCCCTATGCAGTTCAGACTGGTCTTGAGTTCACTTTGTAGCACAGGCTGGTCTTGAACTTGCAACTGTCCTCCTGCCTCAGCCTCCTAAGTGTTGGGATTACAGGCAAGTACCACCATGCAGGCTTCATAGTAAACTTTAAGTATGAATATGGTAGCACATACCTGTAATCCCAGCACTTTGGGAGGTCTGAGGCCAGCCTGAGTCAGTGACTTAACAAGATCTGCCTTAGAAAAATTTAAAAAAGGGCTGGGGATACAACTTAATATAAAGGCCTCTGAAAGGGGGGAGAACCAGACACTAAGTTATATCAATTACCTGGTTAGATAGCCATACTAAAATTTCAAAGAAAAGAGTTAGCAGGGACTATAGTAACATAACATATTTACCTGTAATTCCAGACTTTTTCGCTATTTTCGTATGAGACTCTGTCTGGAATACTCTAAAACTGAAAACAAAGATGAATGGAAATATGTGTATTTTAATTAGAATTTTTTGGTATTAATTTATAGTATATTTTGAAATAAGTAAAGAAAATCTTTCTTTCTTTTTTGAGGTAGTGCTGGGAATCAAATCCCAGTTTCATGAATTCATGAATGTTAGTTTAGTGTTCTATCAAGTTTCACCCTCTGTGCAAAGACACCAGGGGGAAAAAAAGATAAACATTTTATTTCAATTTCCACTATTATATTATTTACTATTATTATTTAAAATGTCAAAATTAGTCTACCACATTAAAGCCTGCTATGATTTCCTTTAATGAGTCCTGACCCAATCATTGTTTTACTCTTTTCAATAACCTAAAATATTGATTTGATTCAACAATTATCAAACCCTTCCTATATACCTGGCATTATACTATATCCTGGGATACAAACACATGATTCTTGGCCTCAAATAGCTTTCACTACAAGAACAGTGACTTTTACAAAATACTGGGTTCCAGTATGTTATTTTCATTCATGCATATAACATATTTTGATCATATCTATCTCCTATTACTGTCCCTGAAAACCGCATTCTCTTGTTCTCTTTCTCTTGTGCAGTAAGACCCCCTTCTACTTTTCATGCCATCTTTTTTTTAAATTCCTCACACTTGTCTTATAATACAGTACTTGTCTTTGAGTCTCTTAATTAACTTAACATGATCACCAGTTCCATCCATTAAACTGTAAATAATGTAATTTCATCCTTCTTCTTTGACTGAATACTATATTATGCACACACACCATATTTTCTTTCTTGTATTGTTTATTTTTTTTTGAAACAGGGTCTCACTATATACCCAGGGTAGCCTCTAACTTGAAGGCTTCCTGCCTCCACCTGCTGAATGTTGGGATTACAGGCATGTACCACTGCACCATTCTATACCACATTTTCCTTATCCATTCTTCTGCTGATGGGCTCTTAGGCAGGTTTTATATCTTTATATCTTAGGTAGGTTTTATATCCCAAAAATACAGGTATTTGAGTATCCCTAAGTATACTGGCTTTAATTCCTTCAGGTGTATTTTATAAAGGAGGAATACAGCTGGTAATTTTTTCTAGTTTTCTAGTGCTAGTACAAGATAGTTCTGCTTTTAGTTTTTTGAGGAACCTCCATACTGATTTCCATAATGACCACACTAATATGCATCACTACCAGCAGCAGTACAGAAAGGTTCCTTTTCCCCTGGCAATCTCACCAACATTTACTGTTTTTTTTAAAAAATTCTTTTTTTTGCTTTGACTTACTGTTTTTGTTTTATTGGTAATACAAATTACTGGGTTTCATTTTGGCAATTTTGCATATGCATTTATTATTTTCATCCCCCCCTGCAACCCTATTTTTGTATTATTGATAACAGCCATTTTGACTGGGGTAAGATAAGACTCTAAATGTAGTTTAGATGAAGGAGAACAGATGGGAAGGGGAAATAAGAATTTATATGTGTTTTGCACATAGACTAACTCAAGGTGAGTGAAATGATCTTGTACTAACAAAGATTTTTTAAATGTAGTTTTGATTTGCATTTTTCTTATGGCTAAAAATGTAGAACTTTTTCATATACTTATTGACCATTTGTACATCTTTTGAGAAGTGTCTGTTCAGTTTATGTGCCTATTTATTGATTGATGTGACAGTTATCTGATTGCATCAACTTAAACTCCTCTCTTCACCTTTGAGGTTGTCTCCTGGCTTCCAGCAGACTCCTTGGCCTTCTGATATGAACTTGCATAAACACTATAGTGAGCTGCAGGTCTTCAACTTCTGGCTGGATCTTTCAGCTCTCCAGTAAGCTGACAGCTATTTTACATTCTTCCACACCTGACTGTAGGCAGCTACTGTAAGTCTACCTCGTAAATCTTTAGATATCCTGCATTAAGTGTTTCTCTAGTGCGTGCTTCAGCAGCACATATACTAACATCTGTTTCTCTAGTGAGCGTGAAATACTAAAATTGAGATCTTTGCTTTTTTGCTATTAAATTCTTCGTATATTTTAGATACTAATCTTTTCTTGGGACAATAGCCACCAAAGATTTTTCTCTGATTCTGTAGGTTATCTCTTCATTCTGTTGGCTATTTCTCTTATTGTGTAGAAACTTTAAGTGCTAAGTGCTAAGACAACAGGTGTGTGACACCATGCCCAGTCATGTGGCCATTTTAACAATATTAATTCTGCTGACCCATTAACATAACAGGTCTTTTATTTTCTAGTGTCTTCTTAAATTCTGTCTTCAGTGTTTTGTAATTTTCACAATAGAGATCTTTCATCTTCTTGGTTGGGTAAATTTGCAGATTTTTTTTAAAAGTTATTCCAAATCAAATTGTTTTGCTAATTTCTAGTTCATTACTGGTATATAAAAAGACTATGGGATTTTTTCTTAATGTTGGTTTTTGTATTCCTTTTCAAAGTCAGATCACCTATCTAACCTTAACTATCTTTTTTTTTGTTTTTTTGGTTTTTTTTTGAGACACAATTGTGTAGTTCAGGCTGGCCTTGAACTTACACTGTTGCCCAGGATGGACTTGAACTCATGGCAATCCACCTGCCTCAGCCTCCTAAGTGCTGAGATTACACACGTCCCACCATTCCTGGCTGGCGTTATCTTACTTATAAAATGAAGGGTTTGAAGGGTCTCCAAAAGGTTCCTTCTAATTCTCGACTTTCAAAAATTTATTTTCATACATCTATATTATATGGAGATATAGGAAAGAAATCATATCCCAGGTACAAAAGTTCTCAACTCAAAAGAAACACAACCACCAGGTCTGGTGGTGCACATCTGTAATCCTAGCACTTGAGACATTGAGACAAGAAGATAGCACTTAGGAGGCTGAGACAGGCAGACTGCCTAGGTTACATAGTGATTTTAAGGACAGCCTGAGATATGTGAGACTCTGCCTCAAAAAATAAATAAATAAATAAATAAATAAATAAATAAATAAATAAATAAATAAAAAACAAAGAACCACAGTCAGGCTGGGTATGTCGCTTAGTGGTAAAATGCTTGCCTAGAATCTGGTCCCAGCATCACAAAGAAGAGGAGGAAGAAGAGGATGAGGAAGAAGAAAAAGCAAAAGCAGAAGAATTTTAATAAATTAATAGCAACAAAATACAATAGAAAAAATATATAGCTATATTCTATCTGGTTAGTTCTATATAAGAAATATATGGATTTCCATATATAATTTTGTATCATACTATTATTACCTGTGGTATATTCTCGGATTTTTCAAATATACAATCATTTTTTCTGAAAAAGGCAAAAGATTTACTTCCACATTTCTCATTTTTATAGCTCCAACTTCATTATCTTTTCATTGGTTACCACCTCAAATACAATGTTAAATAACAATGGTGATAGTAGATATTGTTTTATTTCTGATTTTAAGAAAACCTCAATATTGCTCTTGAACATAACAGTCAACAACCTGTTAAACAACAATTCTGTTATGTTTCTTTAATCCAAATACCTTATCCAAATCGTGTTAACATATTTGATTTGGTATAGAAAAAAGCATTACCTATAACATTTTTTTCCTTTCAACTTACTTTATAGTATCTGCAAAGCTGACTCGTCGAGAGTTTTTCTTATTTCTCAAAGCACTGGATTCCTAGGTAGAGAGAATACATGGTATGATGCTTAATGAAACCACTGTGGATTAATTCTTCAGAGATCAAGTCTGATTCTAAATTAATTTGAAATTATTTACCAAAAGATCCCAATGTAGAGTACTTAATGAACATGAGTATGATTTTCAATGAGTTGACTATGATACAACAAATCAAGAAAGAGAGGGAACAAAAGTAATGTTACCTATTATGGTGACCTTATTGTAATAAAGACTTTATAAAATTTTAATTGTAGCAAGATGTATATACATAGGGCCAGAGATACAACTCAGTGGCATAAGCACCTGCCTGGCAAGCTCAAGGTCCTGAGTTTGATTCTTGGTACCAAAAAATAAATAAAATATATATAACATAAAATGTAAATTGTAGAATCTAGCTGATGAATAGATGAGAATTCACTGCAAAATTCCACCTTTTGATATGTTTGAAGACATGTTAAACCAGGTGTAATGGCATATACTTGTAATTCCAGCACTTTGGGAAGCTGAGGATCAGAAATTCAAGCCCAGACTGGGCAACTTAAGAGACTTAGCGATACCCTGTCTTAAAATTTTAAAAAATTCTGGAGATGTAGCACAGTGTTAAGGCCTTTAATCTCCAGTATTAAAGGAAAGGAAAAAAAGGAGTAAAAAGAATGAAGGACTGGCCATATTAGAGATCACATCATGTATAAGTACTTGTAGGCTTAAAGTTTATGTCTTGTTTGGAGAACAAACAACTGAATAGTGAGATATATGTGTGAAAGAGACAAGAAAGAAGGCTGAAAATATATGATTTACAGATTATTAATACCAGCAGAGTCAAGTTTTTAGATTTTTTCCCCAATGTTTGGAATCAACTCAGGACCCTGCACATGCTGTACAACCATTTGACTACCCTGCCTGTAAGAGTTTGGATTTTGACCTAAAGACTACAGAATGCTTAGTCTTACACATTCAAATAAGAATCGTGTATGATCTTCTGTCTTCTTATAGTTAATAAAATACCACTTTGAAAATAGCAATCTAGGGCTGTAGATTTAGCTCAGCAGCATAAGCGCCTGCCTTGCAAGTGTGCGGTTGTGAGTTTGATCCCTGGTACCGATAAAAACGAAAAAAAAAAAAAAAAAAAAAAAGAAAGAAAGAAATCTATAAGGCATTTGCACTACTTACCTGAACTGTTTCATTCCCATTTTTTAGGTCCTGAAGAGGACTCCTTGGGGGTTTCAAAATCTAGAGGCAATAATTAAGAATTATTCAAGAAAATCTAGTATATGTGTTAATAATCAGTATTTCAAGTTATCCCATAAATAGTAAAACTTTCTATAAAAACCTATGAAATGCCTCAAAAGTCGTATTACTCATTGCTTTATGGCAGATTTAAATAACTGATTTTTTCTAATCCTGTCCCTGATTATTTTAATTTAGTTTCCAGGGTTTCACTATGCAATTCAACTCACAGCAATCCTCCTGCCTCAGCTTCCTGGGTGTCTGATCATTTTGCTCCCTCTCATTCCACGTGGTCTGTGTGAAGCTCCATCCAGTTATGGGTATAGGAAGTAGTGCTGTCTAGAACAATCTATTATTTGTTTATCAATAATGATTGGTTCAGGAACAAAGACTTGATCCTATCAGGATAACTCTACCAACAAAATTCAGTTCTTGACCTTTTTTTTTGTTTTAATCTTGAGGAAATAGATACTATTTTTCAAATAGGATTTGAACTTGGAAATAGGTACGGCCAGATGCACAACAATCACAGGTAGAGAGTCTGTCTGCTAATAGAGATTGCCCAAAGAAAATAGTCAATAGAAAAAGAAAAGGAATCCTACCAGGGTAATACTGTAGGACTCCCTGGTCAGTAAGTGGTATCTATAGCCATCTGTCACTATGCTTTTTTCAGTTTTATAACCCAATGTACATTTTACGCTTAAATCAGTTTGAATTTTTTTATCTTGCAACAGCTGTGTACTCTAAATTAATTATAGTTTTAAACAGCTTTCTTAAAGTATAATTTAAACAGCATAAGATTCATTGAATTATACTCAAATTCATAACATACGATTTTTTACAGAATTTACATATTTACCAAATTGGGTAACCAGATTAAATATTTGAGTCTTTATCCAGAGAACAATAGGGAAACCAGCAGTGGTTGAAGGGGAAACCAACCAAAATTACTGTGGCATACAATCATCATTCAACAAAAAGTAAGAATTATTGGGTTGGGTGTTTAGCTCAGTGGCGTAAGTGCCTGCAAATGCAAAGTCGTGAGTTTGATCTCTGTACCAAAAAAGAAAAAAAAAAAAAAAAAAAGACTTATTAATTAAAATGTTTCTTACTGAGGAATGCCGTCTTCTAATAGGTCTCTCTGTATTAGCACTGAAAAAAAAGGGAAAAAAAAAACTGTATACACAGGTAAAAGATTGAATTTTCAAAAGCCATGATCACATTAATCCTTCCATGCTATGGCCAATTGGCCCCCATTTTCATTTAGCATTCTGGCCAGCACAATTTATATTGCAGCACAAGACTTCAAATTCAGTATTTAGGAATTCAATGTTGTGTTTTTCACTTTGTTTTGTTTTTGTAGGGATTAAACTCTGAGTCTTGCACATGCTAAGCAAGTGTTCTACCACTGATTTATAATCCCAGGCCGGTTTTTTGTCCTTTCGAAACAAGGTCATATTTTCACTTTCTGAAAGCTGGAGTTTTTTAATTTGCAAAAACTTTTTGTTCAATAACCAAGGCCTGCTGGCTCTCAAATAATGTTTTCATTCACGGTAAGGACAGTTCACCTTTGATGCTTTCATTTTCTTTAAGTTATCAAATTTTAGCTGAAGTAAATCTATGCAGTAGGTAGTTATTATCTTCCAGAGCACCAGAGCTGGCAGGTATGAAAGCCTTAAACTCTAAACTTTCACATAAATTATTAAATTTCTTTAAGCTTCTAATTTTGCCTAAAAGATGTTTTACCATTCTTCTGTTCCAACATGGCAAACAACCATTTCTGCTGCACAAATTCTGTTGGAAATCTTTCATCTGCAACAGTGTGGCTATGTGTACCTTCATTCTTCACATCTGTTCTCTATTAAATGCATTTTGCTTTAGTGACTCATATGTACTTAACTCTCATAATGATAAGCTAGCATTCCATTGCTGCCCTCCCATCTTCTAACTCTGCAAAAAGTTGCCTTTATTACTGGGATCCAATGCTTGCTGGAGTGACTGGCTCAACTATACCTCAAGATCTTGTTTTCAGGGGCTGGGGATTTAGTTCAGCGGCATAAGCGCCTGCCTTGCAAGCAGGCAGTTGTGAGTTCGATCCCTGGTACTGATGAAAACGAAAAAGACAAAAAAAAAAAAAAAAAAAAGATCTTGTTTTCTACTGAAGCTTTCAAGGTATTGCAGTAAGAAACTGCATCTTTTTTCTCTTCTTTAAGCCAGTATACCCGATTCATTAACTTACTGTTAAGACTTTCTGTCTGTACTGTCATTCATTCACTTCTCTAAGGGTGGTCTTCACACCTTCCATTTCAGTTAGCTCAATCTGAAGAGCCAGTATCATCTCTGAAGACATGCTTTCATGTACATACTCAGACATTATCTATATTTCCTGACTTCACAGAACTTCCTTTCTTTGTGCTTCAACTGTTTTTCATTAACCTTAGCTTTGTCCATTTTCAGTTTTTTTCTAATATTAGTTTCATCCACTTCCCATCCATGGCTTCTACTCAGTTGCTCTTCTAATTGCCCTTGCTGCATTTTCTGTTATGTTTAAATGTTTGTTTTGGAAAAGGGTGTCACTATGTGATTCAGGCTGGCCTCAAAACACACAGTTCTCTTGCCTCAGCCTCCAGAATGCTAGGATTACAGGCATGCACCACCAGGCACAGCTTGCTGTTATTTAATAGATTCATGTTTACAGCTCATTCTTTCTTTTTTGGTACCAGGGACCAAACTCACAAGCTCATGTTTGCCAAACAGGCACTTATGCCACTGAGTTAAACTCCTGGTCCTCCACCTGGCTAAAACTTTCTAACATTACACTCAAGCACAGGTTGGCCTCCTCAGCCTCTTAAGCACTGGGATTACAGGAATGCACCAGATGCCTGGCTTAACATTTGACTCTTGAATTCAACCTCTCTCTGAAGAGCATACTTTTCTTGTTTATAATTATCAGTCACAGTCTTCATTTCACTATTTAACCAATCAATTCTGCAACTCATCTTGGCCCTCTAGTAGTTGTAAACTATACTGTGTAGCTGTTAGTTATATTTTTTCAACCTCTAAACTTCCTTTGAAGATCTGCAATTATATGTGCCTACATGTTCTTTTCCTATTTTAAGCCTTATTCCTATCCTAGTTGCTGCAGTCAGGGAGTCTAATTCAAAGTGACAGGATGCTAATGCTCTTATTCATTCAGGAGTCTTTGGTAAGTGCCAGACAACTGTGCTTTGTGCAACATAATTTACCATACCTAGTGAGGTGTAAGACCAATAGTCTACAAATCAAAAGATTCTAGCTCTGGTCTTACAATTTTTTTTTTTTACCAAGTTTTGAAAATACAAATGCCCATAAGGTGAAATGATAATTTGTTAAGAGTAAGAAAGACAAGTAGCATGGAGAGTTTAGTGATCTGGAGAATTCCTGGATGGGCTAAAAATCACAGTCATAGCCAGACATGGTGGCATACACCTGTAATCCCAGCACTAGGGAGGCAGAGGCAGGATTGCTGTGTGTCCAAGGCCAGCTTGGGCTACAAAGTGAGTTCAAGGCCAGCCTGAACTGTAAAATGAGACCCTGTTTTTAAAAAAAAAAAAAAAAAAACCAAAAACCAAAAACAGCCACAATGATTAGTCTGCTATAGTAGCTGTTTGAAGTAATGTATGAGAGCTGGGGATTTAGCTCAGTGGTGTAAGCACCTGCCTGGCAAGCATGAGGTTGTGAGTTCGATCCCTGGTACAAATAAATAAAAAAAGTAACCTATGAAGGGCAGAGATGTAGCTCAGCCTCACAATGCCTGCCTGGCAAATGTGAAGTCCAGAGTTTGATTCCCAATACAAAAACAACAATAAGGACAAAGTAATATATGACCCTAGAATTGCTGAAATTGATTTTTTTTGTGTTTGTTTTTTAAGACAGGGTTTCACTTTGTAGTACAGGCTGGCCTGGGAATTCACATGATCCTCCTGCCTAAGCTTCCCTAGTATTGGGATTATAGGCATCTATCACCACATCCAGCTAAAATAGATTTTTCAAGAGAAACTGAAATTATTTTATGAAATCCTGGAGATTTTGTAATTTGAAAACTAATTCAAAAATTAATAAACATGTATAGTCCGAAAATATCATGTCCATAGCCTGCAAACAGGTCGTCAGCTGGTGATACCAGCCGTAGACAAATCATTTCATTTCTCTGGGCATCAGTTTTCTCATCATTAAATTAAAGAGATGGCACGTAATGTTTAAAGATTCTTTCACTTTTGACTCCAGATGAATTTATACAAAGATGATAAAGGAAGATCTCACTTTGTAACATTAACTTTTTCTCCCTGGGACACAATAAAAAAAGATTTCAGAAGTTATTGATAAATCTTACTAGTTGGAAAATATTTTTCTCTAAGAGTGTAACTTTTTTTTTTTCTCTTTGAGACAGAGACTCACTGTGTAGTCCAGAATGGCCTGGAATTCAAGATCCTCTTGCCTCAGCCTCTTGGGTGCTGATTAGAAGTATATATGACTATGACTTATGAATATAATATTTTTAGCTGCACTGAATGAACTTACTTTTCTTCATTACTCTCTGAAGACATTCCATCCATTTTTGAAGAACACTTTTCTGTAACAACCACACAATATTAGAAAAAGTTAGAAGGAAAATAAAATCTATAAAATTGAGAGCACAGTTGTGATTTTACGGTTACTAAGAGAGAACCAAAAATAAGAAGGAAAAAGCTAATGTGTGAGCTCTAAGCCATGAACTATTTAACGAACTTTATTAAACCATCTTGTTAATACTTCTAGAAAATTTTAAAATTTAAGATACAATCTGTAATCAAGATGATATGTATGTTATTGGGAGAAATAAAATTTTGTGTACTTAGTAAGAGCTTATGGATGTTATAATTCAACCCCAAAATGGAAGTCAGATATCTAAAACAATAGATTTGCATCATATACATATTTACCTTTAAAAAATTGAATATAAGTACTCAGCAAAAAAATTTAAGACATAAAAATAACATATAAAGTAGTGCAGCTAATTATGATTGACATTCTAATCAATGAAAATTTGCCTAAAAACTTGAAGAAGCATAACCTGAAATTTTTTCAAGTAGTCTCAGCTCCTTCCTACCCATAATTCTACAGATTTTTCCCTTGATGCATAAACTCTATACCCACATTTCTGGGTAAGAAAAAGATGTCACTGCAGATTTTTTTTTTTTTAAAGAATAACTAGAAGTTTTTATTTAACTGTTATTAACATTTTCACCAGTCATAATTAACAGTATTTTAAAAAACCAGTAACAACCATTAGCTTAATGGTTAAACTGAAAACAATACACATGGCCCCTAATCATTCCATTCACTTGTATCTTGGGTACCACCCCTCAGTTCAAGTTGCCATGACCTCTCACATAGAATACTATAGTATCTGCCCCCCTGGTATCCCTGGTTTGCCTCTTTATCAAGACCTATAAATTTCTATAGAATCTGATCCCTACTTGCCTCTCAGACTTCCATTTCTCCCCACTGTTTTTCTCATTATGCTAGCCACATTAGCCTTTCAGTTTCTGTGTATCTAGGCTGTTTGAAATCTTTCATAAACCAACACATTTATACATTTATATAAATTTGCTATTCTCTCTCAGCAAGAAAAACACTCTTGATAGTAATGCATATATCTCCTTTGTAGTACTACCAGAATTGTAATTTAAAATTCTGCTATGTAAATGAATTATTCATTCCTACCATCACTCCAAACTTTGCCCAAAGTGATGAAAATACAGCAGGTATGTATCACATTTACTATGAAAGCCTAGCAGTGCAGTACTTTGTAAACAAAAGAATCTCTATAATAATCCAATGAACGAGTAATTAAATAATTATTTAAAGTTACCTGGGGTGAGAATATAGTTTAGTGGTAAGGCATACTTGCAAACTTAGGTTTGATTATTTGGTTATTTGGGTTTGATTTCCAGAACTGTAATTAATAATAAGGTTGCCTTTATAATTATCAACTTGCTTTTTTTTTTTTTTTTTTTGTACTGGGAATTGATCCCAGGGTTTGCAAATGTTAGACAAATGATCTTATCACAAGCTGCATTACCATCCCTTTTAAGAAACATTTTATTTTGAGACATGGTCTAGTTCAATTACCCAGGGTAGCTTGAAACTTGGACTCTTGCCTCAATCTCCCTAACAGCTGGGCTTACAAAACATGTACCACCAACCCCAGCTCAGTTTACATAGTTTTGTCTCCTTTGCAAATACTTTCAAACTCAGTCAACATATTCAAAATCCATAGGAAAAAAAATTACTGTCAGCTCAAGGTCACCTAAACATGGCTGTTTGAAATAACTGCATCATTCCTTCCTGCCTACAGACCAATTAGCACTTAATTAACTGATAAGATTCAAAGCTTAAGTCACAAAATTTCATTTACTACATAACTAAGTTTCATCTTCAACCAACATAGGGAACCTCACATTAATATGTTAAACTTCATTTATAAAACTCATTGATTTCTGTCATATTAATTGATTATTAGCTTTTTTTTTTGGTATGTGGAATTGAACTCATGTTTGACTTCATGTTTGCCTGGAATTGATTATTGATAGACTCCAAAATCAGGCATCTGGCACCTAGGGATACTGTAACATACGAGAGGTATTTGGATATTTTAAGTTTTTGAGACACAGACCCATTCTTCTCTTTCACTCCCAACTCTGTCAATACAGGAGCTTAAACCCAGTGGCACTCTAACACCAAGTTACAGCCTTACTTCTTTTCATTTTGAAATAGGATCTCATTAACTTTCCCAGGCTGTTCTTGAATTTGCAATCCTCTTGACTCACTTACAGAGTAGATGGGATTACAGGTGTGTGCCACTGTCCCACACATACAACCATTCTTGACATCAGTCAGGCATGAACTACTGCTATCATTATATTAGTCTTAGTAACATATTGTGGAATTAGATCATTGACAGTATGAATAAAAGCAAGTACTTTTTATCAAACTCATTCAGGAAGTAAAAGTGGCATTGTACAATCTGATTTCAAAATTTGAGAAGTTGTACAGTGTCCAAGAGTTAATACATACTGAATTGTTGAGGATTATCTAAGAAAAAAGTAAAAATAGCTTTTTCATTCAATGTATAAAATTTTAATGGCTACTAAGTTGTTAGGCCATAAATACTATTTAAATTGTTTGGATCTAGTTAATGAATGGAACTATTAGATCTTTCTTTTAGCTAATGGTGCCATCTGAGCCAAGAAAGTTTGGGAACCACTAGTCTAAATAATCCAGAGGGCCAGGTGGTGGTGCATGCTTATATTCCCTGAGGCTGAGGCAGGAAGATCACCATGAATTAGGAGCCAGTCCAGGTTACATAGTGAAACCCCATCTCAAAAAGTTAAAAAAAAAAAAAAAAAAAAAAAAAACAGAAGTCTGTAAACCATTAACAATGGGCCAAATCAATCCTGAGCTAAGGGTACTTTTTACATTTTTAATGAGTTATCAAAAAAAAAGTAGGGGAGGAGACCAAGGTGGTAGAGTGATAAGCAGAGAACAGCCTCTCTGAGAGTCACTATCCAGATGCTGGAAAATAGCATAGTGAGGCAGGCAAGGAGGGAAGTGGGTCCACTGGACCCAGGAAGAATTTGAAATGCAAACTGAGGCCCACAGAGATAGTGAAGAGAGAAATTCTAGTGAAGAATGCAGTATCTGGCAGCACCTTCTTCCTGAGACAGGACTCACTGCAGGTGAAGAGCAGTTTGAACCTGCAGATACAAGGTCACAGGGATGGCTAGTGACCACAGAGGCCTTAGCAAAGAGACATGGCAGTGGAGGAGCACAGCAGATGGGAGGGGCTGCACTGGCTGACACTGTTGGTCCTGATATTCTATGATTGAGACTAACTAAAAATACTGTGGCCAAGGAACCAGAGACTAAGCTAAACAAGCCAACAATTTTTCATCTCCAAGAAACTAAAGCCGTAAGATCTTCCAACAGATTCAAAACCCAAAAACCAGCTGCATTTGGAAGATACCTCAGAGAAGTATCACCTAAGAGTGTTATAGTGTGTTCTGAAGGACCCTACTTAAGCCTCATGTAATCATGGACAGGGCTGAGTCTGGGGTTCCTGATTGGTTTGTTTTTTGGTGCTCGGATTGGTGTTGTCAGTGCTACACTCACCCAGGGGTGGAGCCAGGATACAGGGTAAGGGTTGGGGGAAGAAGGCATGGTTTCTTGTTTGCACCTTATTGTTTGCCATACCACCCTGCCTTGCAGCCAGCTGAGTATGGACTGAAATCTCTAAGAACTGTAAGACATAAATGTTTTCTTTCCTAATTTTGGGCACCAGGTATTTTGTCTCAGCAACAAGAGAAAAGTAACCAAAACAAAGGGTCCTAAATATTAGCAATAAAGCAACCCCCCATAAGCAACTTATAGGCATCACTCCAGAAATTAAACTCAAAAAAGAGAAAATAAAATGAGAAAACACTCAAGCAAAATGCAGTCCAGGCATCCAGTTCACTAAAGGCAAATTCAAGGGGCAATGAGATGGGACAATCTGAAAGGCCCCTATCAGGTCTCTCTAAAGTGGCAACAACAAAGCAATTGAATAAGGCTCTGGAAAAAATGAAATCAGAAATAACCTCTGCGATAACTACAGAGATTACCAAAATATATATCATGCTCAATGACTTTAGAGCAGATACATACAAAAAAAGACCTACAGGCTTAAGAAAATTATGGAAGCTCAGCATAGGAAAGAAATGGAATCCATAAAGCAGATTCAAGCAGATATTCGGTGATAAGATTCGGCCAGCCTGGAACTTAGCTATCTCTAACATGACATTCACCCAACTGGCTACCAGCCCAGGGAAACAACTTATCTCTCCAAAAGTAAAGTAACTTCTGTGTTGTTTTTCTAGTTCCAGAAAAACAAACAAACAAAAAAACACCTCCCACTCCCTTTTTTGTACATGCATCAAGCTTTCTCCAATCCCAAGACTCCACCCAATCACCCAATCACACCCCCACCCTTCAGCAGAACTCCATAAAAACCGTTTTCCAGCTCCCCTTTTGAGGGATCTTGCATTCTTCTGCAGCCCTTCCAGGTCTACAATAAAGGATCCTTTATCTCTCTCACTCTCTCTCTCAGCTATGCCATTCGGATCAGTTGGGGCATGTAGGTCCTAGGGGCCTCCCCCAGTTTGAGCTCCCCCCACCAATAAGCCATCTCTCTATTTTTCTCTCATCTCTGCCATTGCCATTACTAGCCTTCATCCGCCACCGACACACATCAGTTCTCACAGATCCTCACAGGTGAGCCACCTCTCACTTTGGGGCTCCTGTCTCATAAATCATATCAGGATCATCTCTTGTACACATCCCTTAAGAGGGCCACGTCCTATAAAAGACACACACACACACACACACACACACACACCCCTACCCATTCCCTTGGTGACACCTGGCAGATACAGGTGCTGGGGATCTCGTTCTCATTCACATTCCTGAGAAGGGTGATGATTCTTCCTGGGAATTGTGACATAGCCTTTGAGGACTTTGATTTACCCTTAATTCGCCCACAATAGAAAATATTTC